ATTGCAAGAAGTTTTTCATATCATTGGCTTTATATGGTATGCCCATAGAATATTCTCATGTTCGTGATCAAATTCTGGGTAGCCTCACAAAAGCTACTATGGATAGTACATAGGCAACTCTCCTTCGTGTTCCTTCCAAAGCCTTATTTTAGCCTTTTCCTCCTATTTCCATTGACTCTTCTGTTTTGGTTTCTTGCAACACCAACTGACTTCCACAGTGGAAGGGCGGCAAAGGATGTCCCTGGTGTGATTATTGCCACAAACTAGGACACATAATTGATAAATGCTAGACTCTACATGGTTGACCTCCTCGCACTGCTCAGGATGCTCAGACCTCCATGTCTCCTTCAACTTTTGCTCTACTGTTGCCTTTCGATCTAAACCCATCATCTTCCTATGATGATTTCTTGAAATGGTATGAAGACCGTCAGGCGTCTAGTTCTATTGTTGCTGTTGCAAACACTGGTAATTCCTTTGTTGGCTTCTTTTACTCTTCGGGCCATTGGGTCCTTGACTTTGGGGCCACTAATCATATCACTAGTAATAAATTCTTTTTTTCTTTTCTTTCTACTTCTAGTTATTTACCTTCTGTTATCATGGCAAAGGCTCTCAAACTCAATCCCTAGGTGTTGGTATTGTTCATCTTCTTCTTTCTCTTTCTATTCACAATATCCTTTATGTCCTCGAGGCTTCCTTTAATTTATTGTCCATCAGTTAACTTACCCGGTCTCTTGACTATGTCATCTCTTTTACCAAAAGTTCTGTTTCCTTACAGGACTGGAGTACGAGGACAGCAATTGGCTTCGGATGAGAGTCTCATGGCCTTTATCAGCTCAACAAGCTTTCTCTTGTTGGTTCAGCAATGACATCTCACTTCTGATTCATGTTCGTTTAGGACATCCATGTCTTGATAAGTTGAAATAATTATACCCTAGTCTTTCTAAGTTAGAGTCTCTGTCTTGTGAGTCATGTCAATTAGAAAAGTATGTTAGTAATTCTTTTTCTAGTCCCACTATGAGTCGGGCTTCGTCCTCTTTTGTTTTAGTTCATTCAGATGTTTGGGGTCCAAGTCGTATTTCCTCTACATTAGGGTCCAGATGTTTTGTTATTTTTATAGACAATTTTTTCCATTGTACTTGATTATATTTAATGAAAGAATGTTCAAAATTTTTTCATGAAATAAAAAATCAATTTGGTATCCCTATTCGCACTTTACAAAGTGATAATGTACGTGAGTATCTGTTTACTCAATTTCAGACCTTTATGGTATCTTATGGTATGTTCCATCAAACATTTGTCCTCATATCCTTCCTCCCAACAAAATTAAGTTGCAAAACACAAAAATATGAATCTTCTTGAGACCACTTGAACTCTTCTTCTCCACTCTCATGTTCCTCATCAGTTTTGGGGTAATGTGGTACTTACTGCGTGTTATCTCATCAACCGCACGCCTTCCTCCATTCTAAAAAGTAAAATCCCTCATCAAGTTCTATATCCTCACCACTCTCTTCATCCTTTACCACCTTGGGTCTTTGGTTCTACATATTTTGCTCATGCTCTTGGTTCTAGCATTGACAAGCTCTCTCTTCGGTCTCATAAGTGGGTTTTTCTCAGGTACCCACGATCTCAAAAAGGATACAAGCGCTATTCCCCTGCTTTTTCATCTCTGCTAATGTTACTTTCTTTGATTCCATTCCATTCTTTGAACCTAGAACATCTATATCCGAGTCTTCTTCACCCATGACTGCACCTTTGTCAATCTTTTTTTGTCCTTTAGAGGAGTCTCTATCCCCTCCACTCTCATCTCCTCCACCTTTGCAGGTCTATCAGCGCCGTACTCGTCCTATAATGCAGCCACTTAGCACTAACAACACCATGGACTTACCTTTGGAGCCAACTTTTTTGCGTCATCTTCTGGTCCTACCTCCTAAATCTAACATCCTCATTGCCCTTCGAAAAGGTATATGATCTACTTGTAATCTTTCTCTTTATTATATTTCTTTGAGTTATCATTGTCTCTCTCCTTTCTATTATTCTTGTCTTTCTTCTTTGTCCTCTGTTTTTATTCCTAAGAGTGCAGGTGATACATTTGCCCATCCAGGATGACAACAAGCTATGCTAGACGAGATGTGTACATTATAGAACAATGAAACTTAGGACCTCGTTCCTCTACCACCAGGGGAGTCAGTTGTTGATTATTGATGGGTGTATACAGTAAAGGTTGGTCTAGACGGCAAGGTTGACCAGCTTAAGATTTGTCTTATCGCCAAGGGCTATACTCAAATCTTCAAGTTGGATTATGGCGACACTTTCTCTCCCGTGGCCAAATTGCCTTCTATGTGACTATTCGTGTCTATTGTTGTCATACATCATTGACCTCTCTATCAGTTGGATATGAATAATGCTTTCTTACATGGTAATCTGCTCGAGGAAGTCTACATGGAGCAACCTTCTTGCTTTGTTGCTCAAGGGGAGTCTTCTAGTCTTGTATGTTGATTGCAAAAATCTTTATATGGTTTCAAGCAGTCACCCAGAGCATGGTTCAGCAGATTTAGTAATATGGTTCAACAGTTTAGCATGACTCGGAGCGAGGCTGACCATTCTGTCTTCTATCATCACTCACCTACTGATTGCATCTACCTGGTTGTTTATGTTGATGACATTATCATCATGGGTAGTGATCATCTCGGCATTGCACAGGTGAAACAACATCTTTTCAAACATTTTTAGACAAAAGATCTTGAAAAACTCAAATATTACTTGGGAATAGAAGTAGCACAGTTCAAAAATGGGATCATATATCCCAAAAGAAGTATGCAATGAATATTCTGAAAGAAACAGGAATGTTAAATTCCAAGACAGTCAACACTCCCATGGATCCCAATGTCAAGCTCCTGCCAAATCAGGAGGAGCCTCTTTTAGATCCTGAAAGGTACAGACGATTAGTAGAGAAGTTGAACTACCTCACTGTTACTTATCCAGATATCTTGTTTGCAGTGAGTGTAGTAAGTCAATTCCTCAACTTTCAATGTAAGAAACTTTGGGATGCTGTGACTTGCATTGTTCGATACATCAAAGGGACTCCAAGAAAAGGTCTTTTGTATGAAGACAAAGGACACACTCGAGTTGTAGAATTTTCTAATGCAGATTGGATAAGATCTCACATAGATAGAAGGTCCACCTCTGGATTCTGTATATTTGTCGAAGATAACCTTGTCTCTTGGAAAAGTAAGAAGCAGAATGTTATAGCCAGATCCAATACGGAGGCGAAGTATCGAGCTATGGCTATAGCGAGTCAGGAGCTTATATGGCTCAAACAATTGCTTTAAGAACTAAAGTTTGGAAATGTTACACATATGTCACTTTATATGTGATAACCAGGCCGCCATGCATATTGCAATATTCCGTGAGAGGATAAAATACATTGAAATTGATTGCCACTTTGTCAGAGAGAAAGTCATATCTGGGGAAATATCTACTAGTTTTGTCAATTCCCATAATCAATTAGCAGATATATTTACTAAGTCACTAGGGGTCCTCAGATTAACTACGTATGTAACAAGCTTGGTGCATATGATCTATATGTTCCAACTTAAGGGAGAGTATTAGAATCTTGTAAATATAGTAACTGTATATTTTGTAATTATGTACTCTTCCCTACAAAATTGAATAGCTCCGCTGTACTCTACACATGGATTCATTCTCTCAATATTTCCTCTCTCAACAAACTCCAACTTTTATTTGAGAATTATCTACCAAGGTAACAAAATTTGAGTAAGATAGATGAGAGAAAAGGGATTTGATATTAGGATAAGAACCACCAGAGTAGAGGATCCAAGATCTATAAAAAAATGCTACAAGATTATCAAATTGAGCATTTGCGGCAATAGGAGAGGTGGGCTATTGGGATCATTCAACTGGAGAAAATCATTGTATTCAGCAGTAGCCCAGGAATATATTGTAGTTTGCTATTACAGTCAATTTTTCATGCACCAGAGAGAGAAGGTTGCTGGTGATTGGTCGCACCCAAAAAAAGTTATCATGTTGGTTTGGTACAGATGGGTGAGACGAACTTGCCAAAAAAAAGGGGGCAGCATTGATGGAGCTATGGTTGCCAAAGGGTGGCAGTGCTGGTTGCAGAGGCACACACACTATGCAAAGGAGGTGCAATGGCAGGCGAAAAAAGGCACATAGCCACATAGTATTCCCGAGTACTGTGTTCATCCAAAAATGAGGATTAACTGGCAAAAATGGATTGAGAAAAAAATCAAAGAATTACTAATACCATATAAGAAAAGAGATTACTAAATGTTGTGTGTCATATGATCGCACATGAATTATATTTATAATCACATATAAATTAGGCTATAACAGAATCAATACAAAGGGATGAAAATGAATCCCTAATTTACAGTTACATGTAACAAATTCAACCTTTTGAGCTAAGCTTTCGGGTTGAGTTAGGCTTAGAGCGCAAATTCAACATGGTATTAATGCCTATCATAGATCCGATATTGAGCCACCTTTGGCTGAAGTAAAAAAATCTAGCCCTACAAAATTTTTCCTGTGTAATTAACTTGGTCTTGTGGATTTCTCAATGCAACGTACCTGGTCTCGCGACTTTCCCATTGCTACTTACCTGGTTCTGCGGCTTATCCAGTAATATATTAAAAAAAAAAAAAAGCGCTACAGTTTCCACGCTCCAATCTTGAGCATGAGAGGGGTGTTAAAGTCTCACATCAACTATAAATATGGTTAAATAAGAGTTTATAAAGGTTAAAACAATCTTCACCTTACAACCTAACTTTTGAGGTTGAGTTAGACTGAGAGCCCAAATTCAACAGTTATGAATGCTTTTCAATTAACTCAATGTTTTGCTGAATGTTTTGATGCTTGTGCACTTGTGCATTGTAATTTTTTTCTAACTTATGTTTATCGCATCTAGGGAAAAAGTTGTAGTAATAGTAGAAAACAAGTCAAGAAGGAAGTTTCAAGGAAGCATGGACCCAAACACAATTGTATCTACAGCGACTGAAAGTGCATTACAATTTGGGGGAAGTCTGGTTAAACGGCATTTGGGTTACTTTTTTAATTACAATGAAAAATTTGAAGAGATTAAACATCATGTTGAGATGCTGGATGATGCCAGAAACAGGGTGCGAAATGAAGTTAACGTTGCAGAAATGAATGCAGAAGAAATTGAAAATGATGTTCAACATTGGTTGAAACAGGTGGATGAGAAGATCAAAGAATATGAAAGTTTTCTTCGTGATGAATGCCATGCCAAAACAAGTTGCTCCATTGGTTTCTTTCCAAATAACTTGCCATTAAGGTACCAGTTAGGCAAAAAAGCTACGAAGATGGTAGAGGAAATGAAAGCAGATGGACTTTGGAATAGAAAGTTTCATAAAGTTTCATATAGAGAAGGCCCATCCATGGATGCTGCTTTGTCAAACACTGGTTATGAAAGCTTTGGGTCAAGAAATAAAACTACAGAGATGATTATGCAAGCACTGGAAGACTCTACAATTAATATGATTGGAGTCTATGGGGTTGGTGGTGTGGGTAAGACCACTTTAGTCAAAGAAGTTGCTAAAAAAGCTCAAGAAAAGAAGTTGTTCAATGTGGTTGTTATGGCAAACATAACAAGAAATCTTGACATAAAAAAAGTTCAAGGACAAATTGCTGAGATTTTAGGAATGAGATTGGAAGAGGAAAGTGAAATTGTACGAGCAGATCGAATACGGAGGAGATTAAAGAAAGAAAAGGAGAACACACTTATAATCCTAGATGATCTTTGGGATGGGTTGGACTTGAATAGATTGGGGATTCCACTTAGTGAAAATGATGATGGAAGCCAACGGGAAGTCAAGGATATAACTGATTTTGGTTACACTAAAATGGACGAGGAAAAGTTATTTTCTGATTATAATAAGAAGAAAAAGGAAAAGTTATCTGCTGATTACAATAAGATGAAAAAAGAAAAGTTATCTGGTGATCACAAAGGATGCAAAATTCTTCTAACATCGAGAAGTAAAGATGTATTATGTAATCAAATGGATGTGCAAGAGAGATCAATTTTCCCAGTAGGAGTCCTTGACGAAAAGGAGGCGGAGACTTTGCTTAAGAAAATGGCTGGAATACATGTTAAAAATTCTGAGTTTGATGCGAAAGCAATTGACATAGCCAAAATGTGTGCTGGATTGCCCATAGCATTAGTTTCCATTGGAAGGGCACTAAAGAATAAGAGCTCCTTTGTGTGGGAGGATGTCTGTCAGCAAATTAAAAGGCAAAGTTTAACTGGGGGGCAGGAATCTATTGAGTTCTCTGCAAAGTTGAGTTATGATCATCTAAAAAATGAGCAGCTTAAGCATATTTTTTTACATTGTGCTAGAATGGGAAATGATCCCTTGATTATGGACTTGGTGAAGTTCTGTATTGGTTTGGGTTTGCTTCAAGGGATCTACACAATAAGAGAAGCCAGAAATAGAGTGAATGTCTTGATAGAAGAGCTAAAAGAATCAAGTTTGTTGGTTGAAAGTTACTCTACTGACCGCTTCAACATGCATGACATCATGCGTGATGTTGCTCTTTCAATATTATCCAAAGAGAAACATGCTTTTTTTATGAAAAATGCCATACTAGATGAATGGCCTCACAAAGATGAACTTGAAAGGCACACTGCTATTTTTTTACACTATTGTGATATTAATGATGAGCTTCCTGAGAGAATATATTGTCCAAGACTTGAAGTCTTCCATATTGACAATAAAGATGATTTTCTGAAAGTACCAGACAACTTTTTTAAAGATATGACTGAACTCAGGGTATTGATATTGTCTGGTGTTAATCTGTCAAGCTTACCTTCTTCAATTAAATGCTTGAAAAAACTGAGAATGCTTGTTTTGGAGAGGTGCACTCTAGGAAAGAACTTATCAATCATTGGAGAGTTGAAGAAATTAAGAATTCTTAGTCTTTCAGGGTCGAATATTGAAAGTCTACCTGTTGAATTGGGGCAATTGGATAAGCTGCAACATTTCGACTTAAGCAACTGCTCAAAACTAAGAGTTATACCTTCCAACATCATATCAAGGATGAACAGTTTGGAAGAGTTTCATATGAGAGACAACTTGATTTTATGGGAAACTGAACATAAAATCCAAAGTGAAAATGCTAGCCTTTCTGAGTTGAGGCATTTGAATCAGTTAAGAAGTCTAGAAATACACATTCCCAGTGTTGTCCATTTTCCACAGAACTTGTTCTTTGACAAGTTGGATAGTTACAAGATTATCATTGGAGAATTCAACATCCTTACAGTGGGAGAATTCAAAATGCCTGACAAGTATGAATCAGTGAAATTTTTGGCATTGCACCTGAAAGAAGGTATTGACATTCATTCTGAAAAATGGGTTAAAATGTTGTTCAAAGGTGTTGAAAACTTGCTTCTGGGAGAACTTGATGTTCATGATGTTTTCTATGAATTAAATGTTGAAGGATTTCCAAATTTGAAACATTTGTCCATTGTAAATAATTTTGGCATTCAGTACATAATCAAGTCAAAGGAGCAGTCACACCCTTTAGAGGCTTTTCACAAATTGGAGTCCATGAGTCTTTACAAACTGGAGAATTTGAAGAAAATATGTCACAATGAACTTACTGAGGCCTCTTTCTGCAGATTAAAAGTTATCAAGATTAAATCATGTGGTCAATTGGGAAACCTTTTCCCATTTTCCATGCTCAGGCTCCTCATCATGCTTGAAACAATTGAAGTGTGTGATTGTGATTCTTTGAAGGAGATAGTTTCTGTTGAAAGACAAACTTATACCATCAGTAATGTGAAAGATGACAAGATTGAATTTCCTCAATTACGACTTTTAACATTACAATCTTTGCCAGCATTTACTTGTTTATATACTGGACATAAGATGCCTTCAATCACACAATTGTTGGAACTCCAAGTGCCAAACAAGGACATAGAAATTATGGCTGAAGTGGAGCAAGGTGACACCAATGCTTGCCTTTCACTCTTCAATGAAATGGTATGTAAAATATTTTATCATAATATTTTATCCTTTACTTTACCTCTCCAATCTCTAATATTTCGTTTGAAAGAAGAAAGAAGCCATGTTTTAAGTCTAGTCATTTCTCCTTGACGCATCAATTTTTTTAAATTAAAATCAGCTACTCTTTTGTTCTAACAGGTTTCAATTCCCAAATTAGAATGGTTGGAGTTGTCCTCAATCAACATCCAGAAGATATGGAGTGACCAATCTTTGCATTGTTTTCAAAATTTGCTCACACTGAATGTGACAGATTGTGGTAATTTAAAATATTTACTGTCATTCTCCATTGCTGGAAGTTTGGTTAATCTCCAAAGCCTTTTTGTAAGTTCATGTGGAATGATGGAGGATATATTTCGTGCAGAAGATGCAAGGGTGTGTAGATTCATTTAATTCATTTGATTCTTAATATAATTTGTTGTTAACTGCATTGATTGCTGAGATCTTTTATTTGACCACCAAACAATCAATTTTTCCTGCAGCAAAATATTGATGTTTTTCCAAAGTTGAAGAAAATGGAGATCATCCGCATGGCGAAACTGAATACCATTTGGCAAGAAAATGTTGGTCTTCATTCCTTTCGTAGTTTGGATTCTTTGACAATAACAGAGTGCCACAAACTTGTTACGATTTTTCCTAGTTATATGGGGCAAAGAATTCTGAGTCTTCACAGCTTGGTGATTATTGATTGCAAGTTAGTGGAAAACATATTTGACTTTGGCAATATTCCACGACCTTCTAATAGGAATGAAACAAACTTGCATAATGTTGATTTACAATTGCTTCCAAATTTGATGCATGTATGGAAAGAAGACTCTGGTGACACTCTTAAATATAATAATCTGCAAAACATAAGCATTTATGGAAGTCCAAATTTAAAATATCTCTTTCCATTTTCTGTTGCCAATGAACTAGAAAAACTGCAATCCCTTGAGGTAATTGGTTGCTGGGGAATGAAGGAGATTGTTGCTTGGGACAAAGGATCAAATGAAACGGCCATTACCTTTAAGTTCCCTCATCTAAACATGGTATCGTTACAACAATTATTTGAACTTGGGAGCTTTTATAGGGGAAATCACACTTTAGAGTGGCCATCATTGAAGAAGATGTTGATACTCAATTGTTACAAGTTGGAAATACTCAATACAGAAACCATAATTTCACAAATGAAGCCAATTGTTTTAGCTACAGAAAAGGTACAAATTAAAAACCATGAATTAAGAATTATATAATCTAACTCTCACTGAAGGATATGAGAAGATGCCTTTTATTTCTTATAAATGAAATAACATATATTATAGATCTTCTTGTACATACGGTTCGAAATATGCTTTGACATTGATAAATCTTTATTTTATTATATATGTTTTAGGTGATATACAACTTGGAATATATGGCAATGAGCTTGAACGTAGCAAAATTGTTGCAGAATTACATTATTAGTGTTCATAGAATGCACAAACTACAATCACTTGTCTTGTTTGGACTGAAGAATACTGAGATTCTCTTTTGGTTTCTTCATAGACTTCCCAATTTGGAAAGCTTAACGTTGCAAAGTTGTCTCTTCAAAAGCGTTTGGGATCCAGCAAGCCTCATTTCACATGAAAAAATAGGGGTTGTTATGCAACTTAAGGAGTTGGTATTAAATAATTTGTTGTATTTAGAGGAGATAGGGTTTGAACACGACCCCCTTCTTCAAAGGGTAGAGCGCTTAATCATTCTTGGATGTCATAAATTGACAAGTATAATGCCTTCCTCGGTATCTTACAATTACTTGACACATTTGGAAGTGACTAATTGCGTGGGATTAAGTAATTTAATGACATCCTCAACTGCCAAGAGTTTGGTTCAACTTGTAACAATGAAGGTAAGTTGGTGTCAAATGATTGAGGAAATTGTTACAGACACTGAGAAGGAAAATGTACAAGAGATTGAGTTTAGACAATTAAAAGCTTTAGAATTGGTGTCTCTACAAAGTCTCAAAAGTTTCTGTAGTTCCATGAATTGTGACTTAAAGCTCCCATTACTAGAAAACTTAGTAGTAAGTGAATGTCCTCAAATGACAAAATTCGCTGAAGTCCAAAGTGCTCCGAAGTTACAAAAAGTACATGTTGTAGCAGGAGAAAAAGATAAATGGTATTGGAAAGGTGATTTGAATACCACTTTAGAAAAAATTATCAAAGATCAGGTACGCATTAGAGTATTTATTAACCATCACAAATTTTATCATCCCTGCACATAAATTATCTTTTTCCTCCATGAAATATTTTGTCAGTAACTGTTCTATTATTGAATAATTATGTCGTAATAATAATATAAAAAGATGTATAGTGTGTGCATGTGTGTATAGGAAAGAGATCAACTTACTTTTGGAGTAAGTTTTTCAAACTTACTTCAATTAATAATTTTTATGTTGATAAAATATTTTTGGCTTAATTGCTTTTTTTTATTCCTGTACTTTAACCTAGGTGCAATTTATAATTTTAATTGTTCACATTTAGTCTTTTAACTTTTTTAATTATTCAAATTAAGTCTTTCATCCCAAAATTTCATCTAATAATTAAAAAAAATATAATGGATGTATGACATATTATTGATGTGTATAAATTACTAAAGAAAAATGTTAAAATAAAATATTTTTATTTAATTATTTTTTATTTTAAAATTTATATAAATCAATGATATATTATATGTTTGTTATATTTTTATTAATTACTAAATAAAATTTTGGGGTGAAGAACATAATTTGAACAATAAGAAAACTAGAAGAATTACATGTGAGCAATTAAAGTTTTATAAACCAAAATCACACATAAGTTAAAATATAAGGACAAAAAGTGTAATTAAGCCGATATTATTTCATTGTTGACCAATATTTTAATATTTTCTTTCTTCTAAAATAAAATAAAGTTCAAGTGCATTTTATTAAATTGTTCTTAAATTTAAAAAAAAATCTTTTCTCGTAAAAGTGTTTTTGTTATGCTTTAGTTGCTATTGTATCCTATCGTTTTAAGTTTTATGCTGATAGAGAAGCATTGAAACAAGATCAAATATATATTTTAAGCTAAATTATATTAAATGATATGTTACAAGAAAGATCAAAACATAATAAAATGTTCATATCAGAAACTAAACATAAGTTTTTTTTTTACAGGAACTAATTCATGAATAAATAAGAACCAAATATATATTTTAACTTATTTTATTTTTTAGGTTAAAAGATATATTTACTTTTTATCATTGACATTCATTTTTCAATTAGTCTTTGTACTAAAAAAAACTTATGTTCAGTCCCTATATGAGTATTTTTTTAATTTACTTTTTTTATAGTTTTTGATCAAGTTCAGAGCATTATATAGTGTATAATGTATTTAATCGAGGTCACCTAATAAGATAAGGGTTGATTGTTGTTAGTAATTTATTTTATTTTTTGCAAGCGATGTTGTTGTTTATTTCCATAGTATACTTTTCATACAAATCTGATGTTACAAGGTTCTTCACTTTGTAGGTTTCTTTCGAAAGTTTAAAGCATATGCAACTTATCAACTATCCTGAGTTGAAGGAAGTCCGACATGGCAAACCTGCTTTACCAGATAACTTCTTCCGCAATTTAAAAATATTGGAGGTGAACTCTCTTTGTGAAAACAGAGAAATTGTAATTCCATCTCACATACTTCCTTACTTGAAGAGTTTGGAAGAATTGAATGTGGATGGCTGCGATGAAGTGCAAGTAATATTTGAAATAGATGACAGTGAGACCAAGAAAACCAAAGGAACAGTCTTTCATTTAAAAAAGCTTATTTTAGATGACTTGCGACATTTGAAATGTGTATGGAACAAAAACCCTCAAGGAATAGTCAGCTTTCCCAATTTACAAGAAGTGGTTGTTAAAGATTGTAAAAGATTGACAAAGCTGTTCCCTTTATCCATTGCAAGAAATCTGGCTAAGCTTAAGACACTTGAAGTAATAAAGTGTAAGAGGTTGGAAGAAATTGTTGGAAAGGAAGATCAAATGGAACTTGAAACAACTGAAATGTTTGAATTCCCTTGTTTATCCTCACTAGTTCTTCGTAAGTTGCCACGACTTACTTGCTTCTATCTTGGAAGACACCATCTGGAATGCCCCATGTTAGAGTGCTTAGATGTGTCTTATTGTTGTATGTTGAAGCTATTCATGTCAGAATTTAATAGTCACCAGGCAGTTGTTGAGGGTCCAGATCGTACACTAAACAGGGGGCTACAACAGCCTCTTTTCTTGGTTGAAAAGGTGAAAAGGCATTAGCAGTTTTTTCTTTGTTTTGTTTCCTTTTCTTTTCATTATTTTCCATCTTCTGATTGCCTATATTTTCTTTTTGTGAAATTCTCTTGCCTTTGTAGGTCATTCATAAACTGAAGGAATTGGCAATCAATGAGAAAAACATTATCTTTTTGAGCGATAGAGATTTATCACTCATTCGCAAATTAAAGCTATGCTTTGAGGATATCAATGAGAAAGCTACTCTGCCTTTTGATTTCCTTCACAAGTTACCCAATTTAGAATATCTTAAAGTGAAAAAATGCACTGGCCTCATGACATTATTTCCCTCGAAAAAATTCCACGTTCGCGATGGAACACTTGTGGGATTGAAAAAATTAGCCTTAATTCAACTCCATGAGCTCAATTTGATAGGGTTAGAGCATCCATGGGTAAAGCCATTCTCTGAAAAGCTCAAGAAATTTAAGGTTATCAAATGCTCTAGATTGGAAAAATTAGTGCACAGTGCAGTATCTTTCAACAGTCTAAAAGAGTTGCATGTTTATAAATGTCAAGGGATGAAGTATTTATTCACAATTTCAACAGCCAAAAGTTTGGAGCAACTTCAGATCCTATATATACTGAACTGTGAATCAATAAAAGAAATAGTAAATAAAGAAGATGAAGATGCTTCTCATGAGATAATATTTAAACAGCTCAGTTTGTTAATGCTGCTTTCTTTACCAAGCTTAGTGACCTTCTATTCAGGGAATGCCACTTTGCAATTTTCATCTTTGGAATCAGCAACAGTAATTGGATGCCCCAATATGCAAACCTTCTCTCGAGGAGTCGTAGATGCACCAATGTTTCAGAAGATCCAGAATTCATTTTCACCTTTGGATCTTTACTTCCACAATGATCTCAATACAACAATGGAGAGGTTGTTTCACAGAAAAAAGGCAAGGAATATGTCATCCAAATTGAATGTCATTTGTTTATATCTATTAGAATAGATTATATACATGTACACACATATATATAAAACAATAAATTAATCATTATTGTAACATAAAAAAATAGATAAAAATATCTAAAAATATTCTAGAATTAGTTCCTTATTTAATTTTATCATTATCTCTTAGGATTTGTTATCAGTTTCCTTATCATGATTTGTTTTCTTAATTTTATAGGATTATAATCAGTATAATTAAGGGTTTGTGCTCTAGTTGGTATATACATCCAAAGCATTTCAACACATTGTCATACATCTCAATCAATATCAATTTTACCTAAACCACTACAAATTTAAAATATCTATCTATAAGTAAATTTAATCCCTTCAAATTAAACACCACTAATGTTTAAGTGAGTATATTGGTCTTAGTTCCCTTCAAACAACTAACCTTTACAATTTTTGGCCAGTGGAGTTAGTTCCTGTAATTGACATTCCATTCATTACAACTGTAGGACTTGGTTTCAAATCCATGAATCACCTGTTGGTAGATAATATGTAATCCTACTATGAAGAATCATTAAAGTTGGTGATTTGATTTGATTTGACTTGACCTTGGAATAAGAAAAGTTTCCTCTCATCGTACTTTTTTTAAAAAAAACAAACTAATTTTCAAGTTTGGCACTGCATCATTTTAACATTGATCTTGATGATTTGTAGTTAGTGAATTTATGTTTTTGCAATCTAAAGAAGAATATTATAAACACCCCAACTTATTTATATGTTAAGTTCTTCAAATTAACTGATGATTTTACTTGTACAGTTGGCGGAGTATGCATTTAATATACAACCTTCGGAATATGGTAATCACCCTCAATTTGAAGTGTGGCCTGGTTTTGTTCCAATCCCAAGTGACAATTCTTTCAAAATTTTGAAATCTTTAGTTGTAGTACAATGTGAGTCTTTGTCAAATGTGATTCCTTTTTATTTACTTCAATTTCTATGTAACTTGAAAGAGATTGAGGTAAGAAACTGTCAATCTGTTAAGGCAATATTCGATGTGAAAGATATAGGAGCAGATATGAAAACAACTTTTCAGCTTTCTCTTCCTTTGAAGAAATTGATTTTAAATCAGTTGCCAAATCTGGAGTATATCTGGAATATGAATCCTGATGAAATTCTTAGCTTTCAAGACTTAGAAGAAGTGTACATAGATAGCTGTCAAAGCCTTAAGAGTTTGTTTCCAACATCATTGTCCAGTCATCTTGTTACGCTTTGTGTGAGACATTGTGGAAGATTGGTAGAAATTTTTGCAGAGGATGAAGCAGCCATGAAGGAAGAACCTAAACAGTTCATTTTTCATTGTCTGACCTCATTAACACTATGGGAGTTGCCAGAGCTCAAGTATTTCTACCCTGGAAAACACTCACTGGAATGGCCAATGCTAAAATATATAGATATTTACTGTTGTGACAAGTTGAAATTGTTTACAACTCAAAATCACAGTGGTGAAGATGCACATAAAGAGGATCAACATGGTTTTTCAATTGATCAGCAAGCCATTTTTTTGGTAGAAAAGGTACCAAAAAGATTTCCTCTATTATGTTTTGCTTGCAGGTTTCAGTATGGATAAATTATTTTAAAAAAAATGCTAGTAACACACTTCTTGACATCCCATGCTGGTAACTTGGGTCCACTTTCTATTATTGGGACCAGCATTAAAAAAAGAAAACCAGTAATAAAAGAATATTAAAAAAATGGGATGAAATGGTTTTACTAACATTTTCTTTCATTGACAACTTAGATGATGAAAAAATGAAATTCTACTTTTATTTAGTTTTTCCCAATTTCAATTGAATCACATATATATGACCAATTTGTAATTAATTTAGAGGGAGAGCCAAAAGAACAACAATAATCAAGTCTTATTCCACTAGGTGAAGGGAGACCCAAAAGAAGAGATTTAACAATAAATAATATCTCAGATAATTTGATTCTTTAACCGAGTTCAATGACATTATGTGACCCATGTAACTGACTTCATATTTGTGAGATAAGGTTTGGTTGTTATTATTTATAAAAAAATGTTTAACTTGTAAAGCATTCTCTGACCAAAATACAAAGAGAAATGTTCGCAACACACTTTTTCAAACACATTCTTTAATATTGTATATAATTTATATGTTGTGGGTCTTTCTATCTAATAAGTAAGAGATTAAAAATTCAGGATACAAAACAAAGCTACTGAGCTGAGCTTCTTAAAGTAGTCTCTGTCGTGTCAAAACATGGAGTGTTGTTGCTAGCATTCTTCATGAATGATATTGAAAGTGTGAAACTTAATGAATCTTTTTACTTTTTAATATAATCAAAACTTTATTCATAGTTAAATGAGTTAGGCTCATTACATTCTTTTTTCTATTTTTTTTTAATATTTCCCAGATTTTTCCAAACTTGGAGCAATTATCACTCCGAAAGGAAGATGCCATGTTGATTTCACAAGTACAGTTTCAGGTAACCTCACGTTTTTTCTCTCTGTGTCTTAGATATTGTCACACTTACTGTTGCATTTTTTTCCTCTCGTAATGACCTTTTTTTCTTGTATTTCTCATGATACCATTTGTGCTTCTTATTTTCTCTGTGGTGTTCTGATTCCTAGGTTATCCCTAACTTGGAGCATCAAGTAATCACCAAGGGAGAAACTATGACTGGGCAAGGACAATTTGGTGCAAACGTCGCACTTTCACACCTCATGCAAAATTTACAAATTCTCATATTGCAGTGCTATCATGAGGATGATGAGTCAAATATATTCTCTACTGGATTACTTGAAAAGATACCCAACCTTGAAAAACTTGAAGTTCGTTGTAGTTCTTTCAATGAAATGTTCCCCTCCCAAAGACCTGTTGGTGATTGTACCAAAATCATTTCAAAGCTGAAAGGCTTATGTTTGAATGGTGTTGACAAGCTTAGTTCCACAGGATTAGAGCATTCATGGGTAGAACCATTACTTAAAACACTAGAAATATTGGAAGTGTTTTCTTGCCCTTGCCTCAAAATCATGGTGCCATCCACTGTGTCGTTTTCAAATCTTACCTTTTTGGATGTTGGTGTATGTCATGGATTGGTATATTTGCTCACATCCTCAACAGCCAGAAGTCTAGGTCAACTGAGGCACATGTACATAAGGGATTGCCATGCAATACAGGAAATAGTGTCCAAAGAGGGAGATCATGAATCCAATGAAGAGATAACATTTGGGCAGCTCAATACTTTGTATCTTGAGTCTTTACCAAGCATTTTAGGATTTTACTCGGGAACTTCCAAGTTGAAATTCCCATCCCTGGATCAAGTGACTTTAATCGAATGCCCTCAAATGAAATATTCCTATGTACCTGATTTGCATCAATTCATACTCCAAGAGCCAATCTCATTGGAAGACCTGAATTAATAAGTAGGTATTAACTAGCTAAATTAATACTCATGGTTAAAGAAGACATATTATTTAGCAAATTTCATCATCTCTTTTACCATGTTTTTTTTCTAAATGCTCATGCAAATATCACTTTCTTCTTACCTTCCTTCTTGTCATTGTTGCTTATGTTGTGCACTGACGAAGGCCAGTTATAAGAGCATAAACATAAAGACCAGTTTTATTCTAACACTCTTCATAATTTGCTATTGGAAAATGTTTCTTGTGTACCGTTTCTAACACCCTATTCTTTATATCCTCTGGTTTGGGGATTAAGAAAAAGGTAGTGGTGATATGAATTACACCTTCTACTAATGTTATTGTACATTCTACTATTTGTTGATTAATTTCTGAATGAATGTATGTTTGAAATGCTTAAGAAGATGATTTAGTGATGATGCTGAGGGATCAAATTTAGCAAAACCAACATGTCCTATTCCTATGTGGTTTTATTTAGTGAAAAATGTTAACATTAACCTTGAGTTTAAACAAGTAATAATATTAAGACTTGATTGGAAAAATAAGTATTTACTACACTTTTTATATCTTTAATATAATACTTGTTTTCTTTCTCAATAAAAAAAACTTACTTTTTGGATGTTTAAATTCAGGCTTAAGTTGAAATTAACAAAACCCATACTTAGAGCATGTTTGATTTCTGTTTTAAAAACAGAAATCAAACATGTTCTTAAGTCTCTTCTCTTTCAATTTTGTTGGGTTGGTTTCATTTTTAAGTGTCATTTGGTTCTGATTTTCCCCCTTCTATATATTTCTGTTAGATTGATTGACTCATGTTATAATATAACCTTGTTAAAATGGTCCCATTCCCGCTAATCAATATATGAGAATTCTAATTGCAACCCACTGAAGAAATTATCGAGTTAGTAGTGTACATTTCTCAAATTGCATTCGAAATATATATATATATATTCCACCTGAATATTTACATATACTTGTTATTTTACTCAACTCACTTTTTTTGTTTGTTTCAGGAGTCCAGTGTTCACTGTACACTATTACTGATCGTCATATTAGGAACTATTCTTCCCTGATTGGTAAGTTACAAGAAGATATGTATTCTTGCCATATTTCACTTCTGTTCCCTTTCAGTGCAGCATAAGTATTTATCATGTTTGATATTTTTGCTGCCTAATTTTTTCTTTTCATTCATATAGAACACTTGAAATTGATTTTGAAAACTATGACTATACAGAACCAAATAAAAATGATAATTCCACTGGTTCACGAAGTTCAAAACTGACAATGCAATTTTTACACGGAACAAAACTTAGGTGTAGTTCTTTAGATATTGTTGATGCTGTTTACTAATCAAAATTAAAGTTTAATATCAATAATATGTGATAACATTAAAAGCAAACTTTTTATTAAAATAACAGTCTAATTTAAAATTGTAAATATTACTAATAATAACTAAAGAACAAAATATAACTTTTGTTCTTTCAAATATGTTGAAAGGATACTTGTACATTTTACGTATCAAAGTTGGGGAGGCAATGCCCTAAATCATTAAACTCTCTGACATCTTTCTGGAAAGACTATATGCTATAATAGTAGGTGTATTTTATGTAGCTTTGCTTGTTCTTGTATTCACTTTGTAACTAACAAAGTTGTTAAACTTGTATATTGTTCTTTAATTTTCTTTAGGTTGAGTTGGATTCCAGCATCACAATAAGAGACTGAGGGAACAATGATGCTAGCACAATTACTGATTAAGAATAATGGTTCATATGAAAAAAAAAAAAAAACTTTTTCTGTGGTTCCAATGAGTGTTGACCCACATGATTATGTATTGTACATTAATTGTGTATGATTTTTAGTAAGTTACATATTGTATATATGCCAGCGATCATTCCCTGAAGTTAAATACTCTCTGATGTTTGAGCTTTGTAATATTCCTTTTACTATTTTTTCATTTTCAAGACAATGAAGTGTTTATATTAATCTCTTTTTGGGCGTAGATGTTTGTTTTTCCGAAAGTTATTAAAAGTACAAATGGGTAGCATAAAAAACAGTTTAGTCCTAAAACTTTGAAAACAATTATTATGAGGAAATAGCTTATTGCATCACCATCTTTTTTATTTGAAACAATTTATTTTGTATTACATATGAAATTTAAATTTTATAATTTAGTAAATAATTTATTTTTTTTTGGAAATTAAATTCCTAAACTTCTGGAATTAAACTTCTGGCGGGTTTAAAATTGTTTTTAAAAAAAATTCAGAAGTAATTTACAGATTACTTTCGGAATCTAATTTATGGAAGAGTGTGTAATACATTTTGAAAATTTAATTCTAAAATATATTAAATAATTCTTTGAAATTAATTTTTAAAAGTTACGTAATAAAAGGTGGTGTAATATATATATATATATATATATATATATATATATATATATATATAAAGGATTAGTTTTCTAACTTGGTTATTTAAGTGAAATTTCATTAATTCAATATGGAATTATATAATGTTATTTTTGTGATCATGCATGCCAATTTTTAAATAAATTGATTATTCATAAGTATAAATATTATAGTCAATATTTTTTTATATTTTAAAAATTATATTGTGTATTAAAATAAAATTATTTGATGAAGTGTCAAATAACTTGTAAATTTTATAAAATTTTATAGGTTTGATTCACTTATTAAGAACTCTTAAATCTATGATTAAATTAATGAAGTTTCATGTCTATAATAGTTACTAAGCTGCGAGCACACAAACTACGGTGATTGTGTTTTTTTTTTAATTTAACTCCTTTATAATGAAGAGATGTATAAAGAAAAATGATGTTAAATTAAAAATTTTGTTCCACCTAATCTATATTCACCTCACCATGCTAAACCTTAAAATCAAAATCACTTTCCCTTTTTTTTTTAAACCTTCTTTCATCGTATCAATTAAAGAATAAAAAGTTAAATTGAGAATAAAGCATGAATTTGCCTCACATTCAACTTGTTGATGTTGAAGACCGCTTTGAAGTTGAGATGAATTCATATTTACAAATGATTTTGTTAGATATATTTTATTTTATATCATTGATTTCTAGTAAAAACAATCTTCATCTCTTAATTAAGGAATGATTTCTTGATAAGCAGTCTCACTTTTAACCTTTTTGGCATGTCTCTGAGACCTTAATCCATATTAAGTAACAAAGCTAAGTTATTTTGTTTGGGGTCTACATTTATATTCTTAATACCATATATAATCAATATTAAGAAATTATCATCTTAAGAAGCAAAAGTTGGTGCAAGTTGCATATATTCCTTCCTATTTTTTCTTCTTGACACTATTATTTGTTTTATTACTTATTATACCAAAATTTATTATATATATATTTTTTGCTTTTAGATAAAATGTTACTCTTTTTTTTTGTCTAAAGAAAATGTTACTTTTAGTAGAGAGAGCGATAATAGACTATAATTTGAAATGAATTTTTAATTAAGAACATTTTAGGGGAAAAAATATAAAAGGAGTGATAATAAACATAGAAGAGTGACAATAGACACTTTAAAAAATTGTTACTTTATGTCAAAAATCAGTCATCAAGCTTAGTGTCAAAGCCCATAAACCTATTCTTCAATATAATCAAAACCTTTTATATGAAAATGTTTTTAAAATGTCTTGGTAGGTTGTAAAGCCTTATGTAGTTTATCTATAATTATGATATCAATGCTTAATAAATATTTTGTTTGTAAGTCTTCTCTTTATTGGTAAAATATTTTTTCTAGATTTGATTCATCGTATTAGATTTGAATCTACAATAAATTATAGTAAACCAATGAATCCTCATTTTTAATAAGTGGCTTTCTTTCAAATGCAGAAATTTTACTAGAAGTTAAAAGGCAGCATCGACAACAATTAGGATCTTCATGGAGATTAAAACAATGCATGGCATGGAATTGGATTTCCAGGAAGCACTATGTCCTTTAACATTTGATGTTTTTGATTGGCTTTGTTTAGGTAGATACCCTTCCAAAATACAACATCCCTTTTATTTTTGGTCTTAAAAATACAATATCCCTCAAAATGCTACTACTCATACCTCTTTGTTTTAATTTTTAGCCTTTTATTTTATCTTTATCAATATTTCTTTTCAAATTTAATATATTTACATTTTAGTTCTTATATATTACACCTTCTCCTCCTTATAAGAACGATTTTTAAATATGTAACATATTGCACAATGTTAATACAATTTTCAATAAAAATTTCTATATATAAATTACAAATTATTATAAGATCTAGAGAGATAAAATCGTTTATTATTTCATAATGTTGAGACATTCTATATGAAGTGCTAATCTATCATTGAATATATCCATATTTTATTATATTTAAACACGATTAATTATCTCTACCATATTAATTTTTTAAAGATAACAAGAATTTTAGAGTATATTTGATTTACTTTTCAAAAACAATTTTATACTACAATTTATTTTTAAAAACTAAAAACTGTTTTTGAAAAGTAAATCAAACATATTTTTAATTTTTTTTCTTTTTTTTTCTCTGAATGAGATGTTTATATCAATATCTTGGATGGTGTTCTGGACAATGTCCCCAAGCCTAAACCTGCAGGCATCTTAGTATGATCCAAGAATGATGACAAATTATCATAATGGGTGAAGGGAACGTATGTGTATTTATATAACTTCGGCTTTATATTATTTTAATTTAATTCTATTTTTTATTTCTCTGATTTTGATTAGGTGAAATTATGTTTTAATTTTTAAAATTAATTAACTTTATTTTTAAAATTATGCAAATTTTCTCTCCCTTACACATTAATTTTCATTTATTTGAAATTTTTATTTTGTATTTTTCTATATACTCTTTTTGGGGTTGTAATGGAATTTGAACATGAGATAATTTAAAAGCTAAAAATTCAGTGAAAACTTTATAGAAGTTGAATGATTTTATAAAATATGATATAGGAATTTGAAGAGGAAATATTTTGAATTCTTTTTATAAAACTTTATGGTTGGTTAGTTTCAAGTAAAAGATAATTTAATTTTAAATATTTTGAGTAAAAATAAGAGTTTAGGATTTTTAAACAGAAAAAAAAATTGATAGAGAACTAAATTCACTGAATCTTAAAAGTATAGGGTGTTAATTAGCTCAGAAAAAATAAAAGGTAAAGTTACCTAAATTATTGAATCAAAAGTGTAAATATGTCTATTATTTTTAGTCCCTCTAATTTTTATTGTCTGTAATTTTAATTTTTTATTTTTTAGTTAATTTTTGTTGTCCTTTATCCAACTATATGAAATTTGATTTCCATTCTATCATATGATAATTATGACATCTTAATTTCAAGATACACTCAAATGCTTTTGAAATGTTTTCTATCAAAGATCCTTAAGTTGTTAGAATTAGAATTCTTTTGATTTTTTTTTATCAATCTTAATATAATCTTTTGTTGCTTTTAACATTTCATAAGAAAGCTACTTTTATATATATATATATAACAGAATCTTTTTACGTCAGTGTAAGTATAAAAATTGTATGAGCCTTTTATTTAATTTAAATCTAACGGGTTATAATTTATTATTTCACTGCCTGTTAGATTTAAGTTCAATAAAAGACTCAGATTGAGTGTAAGAATTTTTAGATTTACATTGATATAAAAAGATTTTTTATCATATATATATATATATATATATATAATATTATCATTTTGGACAATAATAATTTTATTTAATTAAATTCTTGTTATAATTTAGATCAGATTTAATATTATTAGAGGAGACAATTTTCAGTGAATTCAAATTTAAACTTATATTATCTTAATTAATTAAAAAATACTATTTAAATGCACTTTTCAATAGATCTTTTTAATCAATCTTTTAATAAGTTAAAAAAACTTAATTCATAAATTAATAATAATTAAAAATATATTGACTGGTATAAAAAATTAATTAATTACAAAATTATATTTTTTAAAAAAGTACATTACTTACTACTTAGTAAGTCAAAATTAAATATTTTAGATCTTTTCATAAAAATATGTAAATTTAAACATAAATTTTAAAAATAAAATTAAAGTTACTCTTTTAATCTTTTTTATAAGAAATAAAATAGAACATTTTTTTATCCTTATTATAAAAAAAATGATAGATTCAATATGCATTAATTAATAAATTTCTTTTATATTATTTTTTTATTATTATCATTAAATATATAAATTACTAAATACATCATTTAATATTATAGATATTTTTAGAATAAAATTTATATTTATAAAAAATATAATAAAATTAATTATTTTTTTTAATTATAATGATTTAGTCTTTTGTTTTTTGTAAAACAAATAAAAAAAATATTTCATAATTATATGATTTAAAATATTATGTCCAATTAATTTAGAAGGACTTCAAACCTTACCTAACTAGTCGCAGGGAAAAGAAATTGATGTTAGGTGGGGGGTTTTATGTTTATTATAAAAATATTCCTAGAAAAATTTATTATAAAAAATTCGATATTCTATTTTCCATATAACAAACACACCATAGATAGATATAAATAGAGAGAGAGAGAGAGATATTTATTTTATTTATAACTGCTTTGTTTCATTTGATACGAGTAATTATGAAATAGTTGTTGTTTGCTTCGGGCATTCCTCTATCTCCCTTCTCTTCTCTTCCCTTCGTACAAACAAAGTTACCATTCTCTCTCTCTGTTAATTTTTTCTCTTCGTTCTACTTCTAGGGTTTCGCTTCTGCGACGGACATGTCTTCTGCTCATCAAAGGTTTGCTTCCCCCCCCCCCCCTATTGCACTTTCCCTTCAACAAACGATACCCTTTTACTCTTCATTCTCAATTTTATTCTTTTCTGTAGAAATTTCCCTTTCAATTCCTTTTTTCTCCGTCTATTTAATTTTTTATTTGAAATTTCCCCCCTTTTGTGTTGATTGCGACTATTTTACCCCTAAAATGCTTGAATTTTATGACGCGTTACTCTTTTTTTTTTTTTAATGTTAATTTTGTTTTTGAATTTGTGTGGTTTTATACTGGGTTGATCATTTTTCCACCCCTTAAAGCAATTGCCTTTATCATCCCCTTGTAATCCATTCAACCATTCTTAGTTTTTGTCATGATTTGAATAGCCTAAGTGGTGGAAAAATTTCAATTTATGCACCTCATCACTATGTTATATGTCTCAGGGAATGAGGGGTAAAAGAAATATCCCAATTTTTAAGATATGGATATCTGTTTCAATTTTGGTAGTCATCATTCATGAACAAATTCCAATTTGACCTCCCAAAATAAAAAATTTCAATAAGACTCTACTTTTTCAGATTTTTTCTGAGTATTTGGGTCGTTCAATTTGAAGTTTACAATGCTAGCGGTTGCAGTTGACGTTATGCGCCAATTCAATTTTTCAGGTTTGAGAAGATAACCTAATTTTGTTTGTTCACCAACTGTCTTGAACACTATGGAACATCGAGTAGATTTCCTCGGTTGGCTTGATTCTGACACATCTAGTAAGGTTCTCATGTGTCTGGATGATCCGGCTGATCTTGTCCGGGTCAGCTGCGTCTCGCGGTCTTTGAGACACAATGGTGAGTTTAATTACATGAGAAGTTCAGCCTTCTGCTATGGTGGCTTACGTTTTACATTGACTTTCACATTTGATCTGTTGGTCCTTTTAGAATTATGTTTTCTACTCCATTTTAATCGTTTTGGAAAAGTGCCAGTCTCATACTGTCATACCTTTACAATTTTGAGAATGAGGTTACATTCAGATTGAATTATGTTTGGAATTTGTTTCTTACTCTTTTTGTACTGTTTATTTGTGCATTCTTTAAAGGGGTTCTTCGTAGTTCTATGTGGAGTGATATTTTCAAGATAAGTAGATGCTACTTTCCTGCTGCATCATCAGCCAACCTAGGTGACTAGGTCTTGTGAGTGTTACAGACTTCCTCTGAATTGTCAAGATCAAATCAAAGTTCATATTAAGTTGTGACCAACTCCATTGCCCCATTTATAATTCATTAGGGGAGATTTTTAAAAGAGAAGTCAAACTTTACTGTAAAAACACTTTCTGTTCAAATGCTCTTGTCTGTGTAAAAGTAGTGCTTAATTTAAGAGGAAAAAAACAAAATCTTGTGTTTGCATGAGCATGATTGACTTTGAATTGGAGGTGCCCCTTTTCATTGAACAGTGAGACACAAGTTATTGTTAGAATCATCTTTGTTTTAAAAAATATTTTTTAGAATTTGAATATACAATATAGATTAAAACACTATTTTGATCCCTCAGAGGTGTATTCACTTTCACTCCTGTCCCTTCCCGGTAGATGTGCTCAATCTGTACTAACTTTCCTTCTGGGCTTTTGAATTTATTAGAATTGAGAATTCACATCCATATTTTGACCAAAATGAAAATTGAATACATCTGTGACTGTCACATATATCTGCGTCGGGATTGGGAGGTGAATTGTATTACTCCTGTACGTTCTGTGCAATTGTTTTTGTGCATATCTTTTATATCCTTTCAAAATAACTCTGGATTTATGAAAAACTGAATGACAGAAGTTATTTTAGTGAATCTCATTACCAGTGGTCAATGCCATTGAACTGCAATTCTAATCGCAACAGAGACAAATTTCAGTTGAAAACATTAATTGCTGTGATTAACTTCTGGTATGATTTGCAGTGATTGCAAATGGTCTTTGGAAGCAGCTATGCTTGAGAATGTGTCCTCAGTTATCTAGAGTTGCTTGTGTTGTTGAACTGAATCAACATGGAGCAGAGCAACATGCAGAGGTTGGATCTAGCTACTCTATGGAATGGCTATCTCTGCAGAGAGATCATAGAGTCTATTCTTATTTAGCTAGAGCTTTCACATCATCTGTTGCAATGAATTGCATTGCTAAGACAATATCCGCTTCTAGCACTGATAATTTTCCTCAGGAGAGTATTGATAATACTCTAGAGCCAAGAGATAACATTGGTGGTAGATTTTCCTACTGGTCAAGTAATGGACAGAGTAATCCCAATGTGCCTGAGACATTAACATATGAGTTGGTCTCTCAAATTTGTGTTATTACAGAAATCAATATCCAGCCTTTCCAAGGTACTCTTGAAATCTTCACAACACAAGCTATGTTGTGACCCCATTTATTTTATATTTCTAACCTTTTTCGCTGACTATATTATGCTTTAACTGTCCAGCTTACTTTCAGATGGGTTCACCAATATATTCAGCAAAATCTGTTCGGTTTAAAATGGGTCATTCTAAATCATCTTTAGATGCCTTGGATGATGACAGGTTTGTATGGACCTACACTTCACCGGAGTTTCCAATGACTCAGGTATCTCACTTCTTATACTCAGCCAGTTTCTCTACTAGTTTTCCATTGAATAATTTCTGTTTCATTGATTTTCCTGATGCTTGATTATTATAACTGTATTCTGAAGTTTGTTCTAAATTTTTATATTTGCTTACTATAACCAGCAAACTTCTAGTGTTCAACTTTTGTTTCCTTTGTTTTATATGATGCTTTTGATTGAAGCAAATGGAAAATTGACAAAAGTCTTCAATGCAACTTAGGCTTCCTTTTGAGTTTTGGATAATACTTGATTTAATCATAATAATATTATCAGGTTTTAACAGGCGTTTAATACACCTACAATTATAGTCAAATCTAAGTAAACATTGGTATCTCAGTACAACTATATAACTTATCCTCTCCTTTACCACTTGATATTACATGATAACGAATCACCCCATAATGAAAATAAATGTGCTTCTGTACCCAATTTCCTTTCCCCTGCTAAACATTATGTGAAATCTTCCTTGGTCCATTGGACCAAACCATGTTCATATGGCAGATCTGCTTTTACTTCTAAGAGGATCTTTCATGTCACTCAAAAAATTTCAAATTGTATAATCACATACAAAGCTGCTGTAATACTGGAACCATACCTAGGGGGTTCTAAATTTCTGAGCAACATGCTGGCAAAATTAATAAATGAAACATAAGTGACATTCATTTTCAAGCAAGTTGCACTAGATGGTAATTGGACAAAGCTATATAGATAATATCAAACAGTGTATGTTCAATTTAACATAAAGTGGGAGCAGAATATGTTAATAACAGAATCCTTTGTTTGGGGCTTTATTTCAATGGTTGCTTAACTGCTCCTCATGTCGTTAGGCTTAGGTTTCAACAGGGCCTATTTTTCTTATTCTGGCAAGACCTTGCTATGTGATCTTCTCTTACCTCAAGAAGAAACCCCTATTCTGCTAACCCCCTTCCTAGGTTGCAGACCACCTATTTCACCTTGTTCATTTTTCTATTATAATTATTATTATTATTATTACTTCTTTTCTTTTCTTTTCTTTTTTTTTGGGTGGGGGGGGGGGGGTAAAAGATACAATGTATGCTTTTACATGGACAGAGATATGTATTTTTCTCTTGTAACTAGTGTCTGGTGCTCAACTTGTGATAGAACTTAGGGTTTTGGGCCATTTTACCTTTCTCTGACCAGCCAAATAAAAGTAAAAAAAAAATTTTCAACATGTGTTCTAGTTGAATATTATATCATTACTAAAATCATTTTTTTCAGCCAAAATATTAATAATCATAGTTATCATTCCTGGATAACAATGTGGAGTGGCCAACCCTAATACTGCTATAGTGGGACGATGGCTATATTGTAGACTATAGTAATTTATAATTTATATCAATATTAATACACATTCGTTTTTAACTATGAGAAGTGCTATACGTGCTTAATTCTGGGAAAAAAATGCACATGAACAGGAAAACCGGCTACAGAAGTTCAAGCTTCCAGAACCTGTGCTTTGTATTGGTGGTATCTTGCAGATAGAGCTATTGGGAAGGGTACAGAGACAAGAAATGGATGGCTTATTATACATCTGGTACATTCCATCTCGATTTGGTTTGTTGTTGGTATACTGGTTTATTTTTGAGGTTTTATAAACTTAATATCCTACATAAATGCCTAATAAGCCTTATGCAGGGTTAGATTTTAATGTTACTTTTATCTTCTTTATGCACAGAAAATCTGGCACATCAAATCATGAGTAATGGCCAGAAATGTCTGCATTTATTTTGTTTGAATAAACTCATACAAGTTGCCTCTTTCTTTTTTAGTTGAAAAATGGTAATAAATTTATAAGTTCCTTGGATTCCTTTTATGTATTAGCTATTTTGCATTGGGGATGTAATTAAGCTAGGTTTGGAGCAAAATTGCCTCACTTGGACCTGCACTTACACGGAGGTTTTTTGCCTCACTCAGATTGGGCTCAACTATCTTTTAAATAACTGCATTGGATATGAATTTCAAATGACAAATTTTAGCATAGTAAAAGAAGCAATATATATGGTTTCTCTTTCAACAACACTACAGGGCTCCATTTATGTAATCTTGTAAAATACTGCAAACCTGGACAAGCTAAAATGAAATGCCAAAGCGAGCTTGTCTTCTGGATAAGTCAACTTGAATGAGGTAAAAAGATCAGATATCCATCAAACTGGCTCTGGGATAATTTTCTTTCCTATTCATGAGAGTTCAATAACAGCTCCTAGACCCTAGTGGTGGTACCCTATAATATTAAATTTGTTTGGTAAAAAACATGGCTTGTTTATCCTCTCACCTGAAGATATATTTGTTTACTATGTTTACCAAGATTTCACCCCTTTCCCCCCATTCCCCCTTTCTAATGTTTTTATTTTGTTTTGTCTCGTTGCTGATTATTGCCTTTCATCTCACTGTTTGATGCATTCATGGAAAATAAAAAAAATCCTAGTGGAGTGTTTTCTCCTCCAGATTTTATAATAGATCAAACTGGGAAAATTGACATGAATATCAATTTTATCCTGCCTCTGTTCCATTTGGTATGAGTTTTTGCATACATCATGACATGGTTTTTCTAAGTATCCCTACATGTTACATAAAAAAAAATCATATTGCAGATTATTGTGCAAAGTTCTGACTTTTTTGTACTTGCAGTGTTTCTTATGTTCAAGTTCTGGGAGGATCGTTGTCACCACCATTTAGTGTGGAAATTCTGGAGCCCTCTGGAATGTTTGTGTTGAAGAGGGACCAGCTGGCTAACTGTCAACCCTTAATCACATCTGGAAATGAATCTCAAGCAATTTCTGCTGATTATATGCAAAGGGGACTGAGAGATTTCCAGCAGATTGTAACTATACTGCGTGGACATGTAGTAGGAGTTGTCGAAGATGATTGGGATGAAGATGAATATGAAGTTGACGATTATGAAGAATATGCCCTCTGATCTTTACTAGCATAAAGTGGTTTTATAATCCCCTCCCAGAACAATAAAGAAAACGAAAAAAAATGTTACAATCCCCCGAGGTGAGGAGTGGTTGCATTCAAATCAGTTTTCCTGATTTCCCTTTGTGAGATTACCCTTTAAATGTTCAGGTTATCTGTGCTTTGACTGCAGAATTGATTCTAAGTATTTACTTCTCTTGTAGATAATGGTCTTGGGTGTGGAACAAGTATACACCTTTTATATGCGATTTAACATCTGATGCTGTAGTTGTACCAAACGTCTGCCAAACCCTAAGCTTGAAACTTGAGGTTTCTCTCAAGTCTTACCTTGTATCATACCCCTAATACCATTAACTTAACTGTAGTTATACATCAAATTCTGTGCTAGTATACGTTATACTTAGTTTTAAATCTTCAGTCCAGGTTGACACAGAAAAAGGAAATACCACAGCCTACTTTGCAGAACAAGCGCAAACACCAAACTCTGCAGAAAGGCAATAAACAAGTTGAAAGTAAATAGAACTAGAGTTTATATGCTTGAAAGAGGTTAGCCAAATGACGAGGCCTACGGCTATGCCTACTATTTTGTCCTTAACTTATGTTATGCGTGTTTCGTTGGAGATTAAAATATCTTAAAAAATTAAACTCTAAAGTATTTATCTTAAAAATACAAGTTAAACTAAGTAGACAGGTATTGTAACACTGGTGAAGAAAATATCGAGGGTGGGTTGAGGCTAAGAACTAACTACTGGTGGACTCTACCTTCCTATTTTTTCTGGAAGTTGCAAATACTGCACAACTTTACCATAAATTATTAGCAAGTTGCACAATTTTACACACCTCAACTAAGGAACTTAAAACTGTCTAATTTTAATTAGTGAACGGCAATATAATACTGGATATTAAAACCAAAACAAGTGATATTAACTAGGATTCAAGCAACACCAAAGTAAAGAAAGCTTCAAGATTCAAAGCTACAGACTACGTGCCTAGCTGCACTAATATGATAAACGCAGAAATTGTGGAGCATAAGGTAATATGCCTCAGGACAATAACCTCTAGGAGACATGGCTTGCTTGATTTTATTGTGCATGGCCTCTTAACAAGGGAGCCTCTCTAACTCAGCTACTCCAATATCTTGAATCGATCAAATTGGGCAACGGTTTGAGTAGCTTGTATAGCACAAATTTTTTATTTTACAACTAAACTTTCATTTTGATTCCTAAAAGATTTTGAGTCTGACATTTTAGTCTCTAAAAAATTAAAAATTATTTTAGTCTCTAAACACAAACTCTGTTAACAAATTTAAACAGAAAAACTAACATGTTACATTAAGTACTATGTTAGTAATCCAGAAACGACGTCATTTTGAGAGGTTCTGAAAGTGAATTGACAAAACGCATGTAACTGAATCTGGGTTCGTTCTTGGTAACGATAAAGTTAGGGTTTTTTTTTCCTAATTTAGGAATTTTCTATTTTGATTGTTCAATTTTGCCAGTAAATCCTCTCTTGACACTGTGTTTCTTTGATTTGTAATAAAGTTCTGTTCTTGCATAAAAAAATTGTAACTTGTTTTTCTCCTCTCTATAACAAGATTTTTCTGAAATTTTTAATAAAGGAAACTTAGATAAAAATGCTAAAATTTGTAACTTAAATGAAAAATAGTTTCTTTCAACTTCTACACCAAGTTGTTAGCAAGTCTATGATATTCACTTTCTAACATTTTTACCAGCCATCATGATAGCAAATGCAAATGGGTATAGATTTGGCAAGCTAAACATTGGATCAAAAGATGTAAGCATTTTTTTACCTTTCGACTTTCATTACATCTGACCTTTGGACTAATATAACCTTTAAAAGATTCAAGTTTAGAACTAGTGAATATATGATCCTTTAGACCTTTCACTAATTTATAGTCTTGCATTTCATTCACATAACCTTTTCCTTGAGCTTATTTTTCCATTTCATACAAACTTTTCCAATCTATCCCATCTCTTGAATTTAGAAGCTTCTCATATTGCACTCCCCACTTTATTCCATATAATATGCTTATTTGGAGGGATGTGTTTCTCCTTGAAGCTCTCCTAGGAGTATATTTCCTACCTTTCAATTTCTAAATATTTCAATGTTAAACACAATTTTGGTGAAATATGCAATAAATTTTAAGATATTGTCTGAGACAAAAGAAGAAATATGCAATAAATAATTTTGTTTGTTTGTTGATATTAGTACATTGTTAATTTAAAGTAATTAAAATTATAATTTTTTTAATTGAATACTACATTTTTTAATATAATAAATATTTTTTTAAATAAACTCTTCCATTTTTATGTTATTTCAAATCAATTTTAATAATTAATATTAATAGAACATTTTTTTCCTAGCAAAATGGAACTCACACCCATGCAGATGTTCCTTCCTTTGAACTGCTGATTTGACACTTACAGAGGTTCAGTGGTGTTCTACTGTTTCAATTGGTACAGTATCAAATAGAATTTGATATTGATTAAAGTTTGAGTGAACTTTCATAAACTTTTATACGAAAAAAATCAGTATAAAAAATAAATAATTTTTTTCACAAGTTAAAAATAATTTATACTTCTGTTATAAAAAATTGTCTTATTTAATTTCTCTAAAATTTAAAAAGATAAATTATTTTAAACTTAAAAAAAATTATTTTTTTATAGTATTTTTTTTATAAAAACTTCTCTAACCACTTATATCTGTAACTTACTCTGCTTCCAGCGCTGCACATACTGAGATTCTGTTATTGAATGTGAAAAAGTAGGGTGGACAAATGCATTTTTCTTAGTTGTGATCGGCACCAGTAAGCAGGAACATATATGTTGAGCAATATTTCAATGACATGGTACCCACCTTGACATAACCAGGGTATTAGCAGCCCCTCATGTAGAAGGTACTAGCTCAGGACCATTATCAGCCTGCTTAGTGCCTTATGTGGTACATATTTTTATTTTCACGTTTGAAACAATGACGAATAGACCATCATTTTCATGTGAATTAAACACGATATTACATTGGCACCTAATGTATTAACATCAAATAATCCTCTGATGATAAAATCAATGGATTCAATTGTTACAAGGACCAATTTGAAGTTATTTGAAAGGCCATTTGATAACACCATGAAACATTGAGGAAGGGACCAATTTGATATTGCATATATCTTTCAGAGGACAAATTTATGTATTTATAAATGGACCAATATGATGTTGCAGGATTTGAAGGACCAAAATATATATATATATTCTCCACAATAAAACGGTTTCTGAAAACAATTGCAAACGAGGACCTTGTTTTCTACTATGATGAAAATTGGTCAGTGCTCACACAAACCAACATTTCCTGATATTCATATAGTTATTTGACGACTGTGACAAATCAAGAGAGCCCATCCGCGCTTCCATCTTCACGATGTTTTAGACTTGACTGGGGCAGGAAGTAACTGCATTGTACAAACAAGAGATTCTTGTCAGTGAAACTGATACTCGTAAGAATAACTACAGCACTAGAGAAAGACCGTGACCTTCCAATGATCTAGCGGGACACAATTTTTCTGTTGAAAAACTCGATTAATTTTAAACAAAGCTATTACAGTTGTGGGTCTTGAGGATACTTGTCAAGAGCTAATTTTGTATCCTTTGTTCATTGTAGTGCAAAAGGCATGTGCACACAGACAGGACACAGATAAAAAGTTTTAGGGACTTCACCTGATAGCACGATATCAGAGATGAAGCAAATCCAAATGCCCCCGTCACGCGGGGAGTGACTTTCTTGGGTGCCAACTGAAGCAGTCCAACTGCTACCACTATATCCATTCCAGCTTTGATGAGTGCCAGAGTCCTTTCGTTTGACTTATTGAGTTTTGCACGGTATTGCTCATTCTGCAGCCATAGGTGATGAATACACATATGAAGGTAAGGCAATTACAGTCCTAAAGTAAACCAAAAACAGAAAGTTTGTAGAATTTATACACAAATGAGGACAACATACATCATATTTATTGCTGTTCTTGAGTTCTTTCTCTAACTTCTTCATTGACGCAGAGAGTCTTCCCAGCTCCCCGAGCTGATCAAATGAGTCAAATATGTTATACAAAGGTTAAAAGTGAAGGAATATCAGGGCATATTGATACATACATATTAGCATCAATGAAGAAGGTAGGAAAGCCACAAACCTCAACCAAGGTGCCACACACTGAGGAACCCAGCCAACAGAAAAGAGATATCCGACCAATTAGTTCAGTGCGTTCTTTATTCTGTAGTTAGACACAAAATTTTTATATGTTGCTGAATGTTTTTCCCATATAATGGTACATACACAAACAACACAATGCTAAAGAAAATATGTATTCCCTACCTGGTAGATGCCTGATCTGCCAAGCCACACAAATTGATCAAGAAACAAGAAAGTCGAGAGTAATGCATTCTTAGACTGAGAAACAAAAAATCACCAAGATATTAGAAAAATGAACTAAAGATGAAAAAGGCAAAATATTCTTGGAGTTCTCATACCTTTCCCAACAGAATTAGGGGTAGGGGCGTGCCCTGTGGTGTTGGACTTATCAGAGCGTGTAGGTCATTGACAAACTGTGAATTAAAGAGTGAAGTATGAGATTAATGGTCATTGCACAAACAAATTAATTTGCAACAACTTTTTCTAGGCCCGGATGTCTATTTGATGTTAAAAGTGGCTAATACTAAAAAAAAATAATACAGTATTTGACTTTCTTTGATTTAACTTTTTTCCAATTATGTCCCTCAGAACCCAAACAAAGTGGTGCATACTACAGATCTCCTGTCTTCTTTAAACAAATCAATCAAAGGGGACACAAAAAAAAAGGAAAATGATACAAAGAAAGAAATACCATTATACACTGCAACTACCTAAAACAAAAAGAAAGTAGTGAACAGATGATCAAGTATGCTTCAAAAATCAAAAGTAAAAATTAGCTAAACCTTAAATAAACGGAAAACTTTTCGTGCCAAGCTGGTTGATTTGTCTACATTCTGGGCGGTACCAGGTTCCCCATTACTCAAAAACTTGGAACCATATTGAATTGCCCTGCATATCTTGTCCCTTGTTTCAGCCTTACCCAAATATAAAACAAGAAGACCAAGTTCTGCCCTTGTTGCATCCAATGTACTCATCTTCTACGTTAATTTCTGCCATATAACAAAATCACATCAGTTCATGTCAATTAAATTAGGAGAAAGAAGTAAGGAAAGTAAAATGTGATACTGACATTAAATGGGGAGGGAAAAGTGTTTAGATCTATAAATCTTAATTAATGCAGCAATGTGTACAGTATTTTCTTTAAGGAAAAAAATGTTCTTAAAAACAATTTATGTTGTTTAAAAATAGTATTGGTATTCATATTAAAAATAATAAGCACAGAGATCTTATCAAAACTCGCAAAAATGCTGATAATTTTTTGGGGAATTACAATTTATCAATTCTACAAATCTCCACAAATATTGAGAAAGCACCATAAGCAATTAGCAGGAATATTCATTTGACCTTCCACCTATCCAACTGGCATCATGTGACAGTCCCTTGTTTGAGTGTTTATAATATGTGCATTTGAAAACCCATCCTTCTCACAAGAATAAAATCCAACGGTAACACTCCATTTATATATAAAAAAATTGAAGAACACAAAGAAAACAGAGAATTTTCTCAGATTTCAATTTACTAGTAAAAAAAACATTTATTTTCATTTCCATTTATTCTCTCAACCTTCATGCACGGAACTAAGCATAGTACATTGGAAAGAACGTTAAATTATAATTAGATGATAAACTGTAAAGTTCCAATTCTAGACAATTGGGGCCTACATGCTTCAACTACAATAGCTTCAAAGGTGAAAGGGTAGGTAACAAATGGGGCAAAAATCATGTCGTAGGTTCTACTTTTTAACCTGCCTTACAAACACCAAGTAACATCCCCTCAATTTTGCAAAATTTTACTAATCAGATCAAATGAGGATAAGTTAATATGGTTAGAAAACTGTAAAATATTCATTTGAAGATAGATCAGTGATTCGTTATTCAGCAATTTTATTCAACAGATCTTGTTAATGAGATGATAGTTCATGAAAGGAAAACTCTACCACTAAACACGACCAATTAATGACACCACCTAAAAGTTGAAGATAAATGTCCATGATGCCTGCATCAAACTGAGACAAAGAAACACCTATTCATGGACCTTGCTTGAACTCTCTGATCAGATATGCTTCTGACTTCACAGTCAGGACAAAATTCATTTAGCCTCCTTCAACCCTCACAGTCAAGAATACAAATTACAACTGACTTAGGCTCTACAATCTAATATTGATAAGCTTAAAGATCCAAAATTTCATTAATTTGCTTTATGTTTGATATCGGGTCTGAGTCACATGACTCTAACATCTCATTGCTGTGCCATTAAAATTTCAGGCCAACTAGAGTTAACATAGTTAATATTATATTTTCAATTTAATAAACAGGAATTTAATTATAATTGTACAGTTGGGTCAATTTATACTTACAGGTATTAGCAATATCAATGAGCTTTTTCTTATATTCATTTTGTTATTCAGGATTTTATTGTTCATCAGAGGCTGTTCATTTAACTTGGACCTGACGTTGAGAAATACTTGGTCCCTAAGTTTGAATAGTCCTATGTAAGTGATACCACAAGCCATCATAGAAAACAGTGAAGAAAAAAATTTAAGGGAAAACTCTTTCTGCAAGGCACATGTTGTATCTATTTCTCTTGGACATGCAATACCTAGATTATTTTTCTTCTTTCATCTTCTAGACTTCTACCCTTATTAATCTCAACACCAATCCAGTTGTGATTTCCTTAGCAGATTGTATTAAATTTCCACCCCACCAAACTGTTAATTGTTCCTACCTTGAATTTTCCTCAATTTTCTTCAAACCTAAATCTTTCTAGCAAGTACCATTCAGATTACTCAAGCAGTGAAAATTTGACCATTTAATCCTCATCAACAACAGAAGTCTTTTCTTATTAGGTGCAGTCGATTACATGGATCAAACAATACCATTGTGTTGTCATAAACATGACAAAATCTCCTAAATTGCCATCCTTGAAAATAAACAGAGTAGAGACAACACAAATATATTTGGTGATGGTGACTGGGTGGAATGGGAAAAAATTATGTACATATTGTGTTAGCCCTTCCAACTGTGGAGACTTTTGGCTGCATCTTGCAAGGTTTAAGAGATAATCTTAAAACTCTATAATACATAACACTTAATCCTGGTTCTGTTTTCAAACAATAACTTGGATAAAATTTTAAGGGAGAATGGAAAAGTTATACTTTTTATCTCGAATATTACTAAACTTCACCTCATCAACAAATATGATCATCATCATATCCTGCTTTACAGACAAGATTTAAAGGACTGCATGATCCCATACGTCTAACTTAGAGTAGAATAGGTTAGTTAATAAGGCACTCTAAAGTCTAAAAAAAAGGTCTAATTTGCAAGTTCAAAGGCAATAGAAGAGATGATTATTTACGAGAACAAAAAACCTAGATATCTGCATATTGACCAGGGTACATAAAATTCACCCAAATGAAACAAGAAGAAGAATGAATACTTAGTTTGTCTAGGCCAAAATATTGAAACCAATGAGCAAATCTAAGAGCATCAACATTCAAATTTCTCCAGTAACAATAGACAAGTTATTCAAACAGCTTTCAGCAAATCAAGCTCAGGGAGTAATATGAATAAAACCAGAATCAAAATAACGTTTAGTCGAATAATCACGATTAAACATCATATAGTCAAAACAAAAAGCATAACTCAACTATGCCATGTTTGGCATACGATATAATATAAAAGAGAAAAATAGAATCAATCTATCTGGACTACCCCCTCGTCCAGTTACATCAATCTCTTTCTTATAACAACCACACAGCAAGAGTGACAACCTCGAAATCTTCGATTTCCCACGTCTCTCATATCATTTTCCTAGCAACCAAAAAGACTATAAACAACACAACATTAACAACAACAATAACCAACCCATCAAATCAAATCATAAAATTACAACGACCCAGTTCCGCAACCTCAATTCAAAATCAAATTAAAAGCTCCTCAAGTTGACCCGAGATCAAAATTCGCCAACCCAACCTTCAAAGATTGCAACTTCTGTATCTCAATCTGCAAGTTCGAAGGATCAAACAAGTGGGGTACGTGAATTCCCCACCCTATTTGCTGAAGAAAAAAAACAACACCGAGCAACGATAAAAAAAAAAAAAAAAAAGGGCGGGGAGAGAGAGAGAGAGAGAGAGAGAGTACCAAGTTAGAGAAGGGGGCGAAGGGAATTGTGCCGCGGAATCAGAATCAGAACGTGAAAAGAGAGAGCGTTGGCTTGGGTTTGGGCCTGAGGTAGATAGAGTTGTGATAAGGGCTTGTTTGGTCCTCTCCTCCTCAAAACAAACAAACAAAACGTATTGTTTCGTCCCTCCTCTTCCACCGTTCGATGATTCCCATGTCAACGTGTCAAGCTTTGGAATTTGCAACGCAAAATCTGGTTCCTTGGATCGTTGCTGTGGAGAGACTCGACACTCAACTGCGTTGTTAGCTTTGGAACACGCACTTCAAGGTCCATCTTGTCATGACGTAGATCTTTATCTCATATAAAAAATATGTTAGGTATTAATTAAGGAAATAAAAATATTAGCAATGTGAATTTATTGTAATTTTGAATACATTTTAAATATTTTTTAATTTTTTTAACTAATAACCATAAAGTATGACCAAGTTTTAAAAACGTGACTATGACTTCCTTAAACAATTATAATAACACGATTTTTAATATTATCTTCTCAATTCACGAGTATTACAGAAGTCATATCACCAATAAACAATTAAAAGATATTAACGAGTGTTTTAAGATATTATGTTAAAAAAATGTAATCCTTCATTCTTTAACCTCGGCATGGAACGGAGGATTCAGGAAGATTATTTGGTATTCTGATTACATGGAAACAGTTAAATTGGTGACTAACAATTCTACTATATTTCATATATATTTTAGTCTAAGAGAACAGGCGAAGAGAATTTTTATTTTGGTATTGGGTAAAAAGATTGAAATATCTTTAATTATTACTTTTGTTAAGGCAACATATTATGTAAATTTTCTGCCAAAATTAGGATTTTCTCAACAGTAATGCCTTGTCATATTTAGAGACAAAGGAAGGGAGGAGGAGGAACCTTAAGCTCCCTTGAGTAAATGTTATAATTTTTCAAAATAAAAAGAATACACAAATAAAAAAGAACATTTTTATTTGAAGATGTTTAAATATTTTTACTTTTAAAAATTCTCATAAAAAATTAAAAATCTTTCCCTTTCTCTCTTTTCTTTATAATATTATACTTAATATAGCACATTTCTTTTCTTTTTTTTTAAGCTAAAATAACTTCTTACAAGTTGATATACGTCCTTAATGGAGTAAAAAATAGGATATGATTATCATATACTAAATACGTGTAAATAAGACTAATATTATACTAATAGAAAGCTATACTGTGTATTCTCAAACCTAAGAGAAAATACTTTTTTTTTTATTATGTTATTTGTTTTTAACTGTCTTTGGAAGTTCACATTTTCAGTACTGCTATAGTGTTGATTCTTTTTTACGTAATTATAATATAATCCAATATATTATCCTAAGTTTTTTTAAAACAGGTTTATGGGCTATTTCTCATGCAGTTGTCTCTTGATTATAGGAAGCATTTATCTTGTTGGACACATGGGTTCCCGTTAGATCTCACTCAGGTAGGTGGATTGCTTCATTGTAATGCTGTATGGAGCTGTTGGTCGACATTATGCCTTGTTTTCTTTATTTCCTAACATTTTTTATGTATCAGCTGATGGCTGAAGAAAAGGGCTTGGTTGTTGATGTCAAAGTTTTCAATAGTGCTATATGGAAGCTGCAAAAGAGAGATCTAGAAATGCTCAAACAAAGGTATCTAATTTTGAATTTCACCATTGCCGCTCATCTTATAAGTGAAGAAACAATTTGTTCACCTTGAAATTAAAGAAAATTTATGTTCCAGGAAAACATCCACTGTGTCATGGCACCAGAGCAAAGGGATTCAAATGATATCCTACAACAGAGGCAAAAAAAAAAAAAGATATGGACAATTGATCCAACCTAATATATTAGATAGTTGAAGATGTAAGTATAATCATAAGCTCACTTGCACCCTTATCCTCACTACATGCAGATTTTATTATATTTTCCCAGTTCTCTAAATCAATTTCCACCTTTCTCTTCTCCATCTCTTCCAAAACAAAGCAGGCACCATCAATATTCCCAGAGTTCAACAGGCCAAAGACCAAACAGTTAAACGTTTCAGACCGCGGACAATGTCTACTTGTAAGCATTGCATTCAAAACATTCAGACCTACCGCAAAGTCCCCAATCTTGCATAAACCATCAACCATCATCCTGTATGTCACGGCATTCGGCTCACACCCACCAATCTGCATCTCAATTAACACTTTGTAAGCTTCCAATGCCTTCCCTTCCTTGCAAAGATAATTGATCAAAGTATTGAATGTAACAACATCCGGCTTAAGCTGTCTTTTCTTCATCTCATGGAGCAAAGCCTTGGCCTCTTCAATCTTCCCTCTCTTTCCAAGATCATTCATCAAAACACAAAAATTCACCAGCTGAGGTTTACACCCTCGATACGCCATATCAAACATTAGCTTCTTGGCCTCCTCATACTTCCCCACAGAGCACAAACCTTCCATCAACAAAGCATAAGTCACTTCATTCGCACGTTTTCCTTTCTGCTTCATGTCCGCAAGCAAGCTCATAGCTTTATCCAAATCACCCTTTCTAGACAAAAACCCAATGAGACTATTATAAGTGACCACACTCGGCTTCACTCTCTTCTGAAGCATTTCATCAAACACCTCGCATGCTTTTCTCCACTCACCCTTCCCCAACCACCCCTTAATCATTATATTGAAGGTAACAGTGTTTGGACGAAAACCCATTTCATAGGATCGAGCAAAAACATCACTGGCCTCGTCGAACCGATCATTATCAACTAGAACGTTGAGAAGCGCGTTGAAGGACATTAACGTGCGAACGCAATTAAACTGAGGCATTCTGTGAAAAAGTTCAACGGCCTTCTGGGGATCAAAATGTTGAAAGAGAGCAATGAAAAGGGTTTCTCTGCAGTGCATGTCGGTGTCTTTCATGTGAGTAAGAAGCGTTTCAACGGCTTCCAAGTTTCTAGAACGAGCTAGTTTGTAGAGTAGTGCGGCGTAGGAAGGGTAATAGTGCCTATAACCCTGTTCCTTGTAACGGTGAAAGAGAGATAAAGCTTCTTCTGCGTCTTCCACGTCTTTAACTTCATTGACGAAAGGAATGCGCTTGCGAAATTTAGAGGTTGAGGTTGGTCTTCGGCGGGGTGACGGTGTTTTGGTGTGTGATACGGATCCATTATTAGCACAATGGAACAATTGTTTTGGATTAATGGTTTTCGCTCTTCGATGGATCATTCAGAAACCCTCTCAGACCGAAATTTCAAAGTAATAATCCAGAATTGGAAGAAGAAGAACAAGAAGAAGAAGAAAAAGAAGGGGAGAATCAACTCAAGGAGAGAAATTTCTTTTGTAATTCTTTAAACGGCTCTTATTAAGAATTATAATATTTAATATTATTAATATATTAGTTTATAATTTTAAATAAATATTTTTAATATTAGGAGATTCTAGTGTAAAAAAAAATTATTAAGCCGTTAGATGTATTTATGATTTTTACTGATTATTGTATAATATGTTATAAAACTTACATTTTTCACATTTTTATTAGGATTGGAATATGTTTCACTCACATTAGGCTCAAGCTAAGTTATTTTTATTTATTAAATAAATTAAAATAAAATATGTATTTAGAACTTATTATTTAATTAAATCATGAAGTTTTAAGATTGATATCGTTGTTGTTATAATAATATTTGTTTTTATTGTAAGTTTTAAAATTATATATTTACTAACTTATTTAAAAGTTTATAATTATTGTTTACTTAATATAGTCCATTAATTTATTTCAAGGGGCTAAGTAAGAATTTAAAAATTAATGCTAAACTTTAGAGAAAAAAAAGGAGGTTAGATTCAACTTTAATAAAATCCTATTTTAAGTGAACTAGTTGTGTTTATACTTTAAGCTTGAGAAATAAACCAAATTCATTTAAGGTAAGGTATAATTTAATTTCACATATTTCTATGCTTAATGTCAATCATGGTGTTACTAACTTTTTAATTATTAAAGAGTTTGACTTTATTTTATTTTATCCAATGGAACACAACACAAAAACAAAAACAAAAACAAAAAAAGAATAGTTAGATAAGAACAAGAGTTCACTCTGCTCACTGAAAAATAGTTACAACAGAAGCATGCAACAAGCACCAAAGGAAACCATAGAGCTCAAACCCAACAATAGTTTAAGAAATGTATTTTATAAATACATTCAAAAAGTTGTAAACATAAAATTGACAACAAAAATGAATAGTTAACATAAACATGAATTCATGAGCAGTGAAACCAAACATACTTTCAAAGGATTAAAGGGAGATTCATTTGCCTTAAGAATAGATCACTGACAAAATGTCAATAATTTTAAACCCTCCTCTAATAGTTGTTTATAATTTAATCCGTTTGCAGTGTTACTGACATTTTCTTCATGATTCAATGTTGAACTTTCTCTATCATGGAGGACCATGGTTGCTTATGATGACTAGTGTGTTGGTGTTGAAAAGTTTTGGATTTTTGGAATAGGTTTAAGGGTATAATCCACAGGGAAAGATCCAACGGGGCCAGTGTGGGCACACACCCTCCCAAACTATATGAAGATGCATGAATACGTGATTGTCTGATTATTTATTAAGACAATTATTTTCTATAGTAATGATATTAGACTAATTGTTTAATGATTTTAAAACATATAAAATCACGTAGGACCAATTATAAGGTTTGTAATTAATTTATTTCATGATATATGTGTGTGTGTGTATATATATATATATATATATATATATATATATATATTAAAATATTTACTATACTTTTATTTTATTTTTTTAAATCACCTTTAAAATGCCTAATTTTATCCAAAAGTCTACTTATTGCATGAACTTCACACCAAAGCTTTAAATACCCATAATCCATGTTTATCAAAATAATTTACTAATGTAGCAAGCAATTGAACATGGAAAGTTTCAAATTAAGATTAGAGTAAAAATTTATTTGTTGTAATTTTTACTTCAATTATGATCTAGAAGTTCTAAAAGAAACTAAAAAGGATACTTTAATATTTGATAACAAAAGCTATCATTCTTATATCCCAATAACTGGGTAATATTGTGAGCTCTTGTTAGATAAGTAATGCTATTAAATAAAGATGATGTAATGAAAGTAGTTTATAAATTATCGTTAAAATTTTCCCTTAGAAAAACTTTATGATAATCCGTACTATGCTTTGACATTGGAAAGCTGAATCATTCCCTCGTGGAAAAAGAAATAAACTTTTCAGTGCTTCAAGTTGAAGGCAATGGCATAAACGGGGACAGCTGGTAATTATACATTTAAGGGATTTATTAACTTTAAAGATAAAAAGTTAATAATAATAATAAAATTTTATTAAAAAATATTTATTATATTTTTATAATTTTAATACAATAATTATATTTTTTTTTCATAAAATTTTTTATTTGTAAACGTTTAAATTCAATCCTAAAAATTAAAATTAACAAAATTTAATTTTATATCATGAAATTATTATAAATTCAGCACAATCATCACTTCTCATTAATAAAATCAACAATGACAAAAAGAAAAAAAGATTATCACTGCATGGTTATTATGAAAGTGGGTCATCCAAAAGGGAAACATCATCTGGAGAAATTTTATTGATCATGAGACAGTTCTCATTCTCAAGCTTAAATTTCCAAGAAAACGCTTCCAAAGACTGGATACAGAAAGTTTCTAAGTTGTTTACTTTCACAAAGTTATTTTTTTTTTTATCTTTTTAATTACAAATTGTGATTTTTTTATTTTTTTGTAAACAGTTGAAAACAACAAAAATGTTTTTCATGTTTTTGTACAAATTTTTAAATTAAAAGATTTTGTAACTAAAAATAAAAACAAACTATACTTTCTAAAATTAAACAGTGACTTAAATATTTATAATTTAATCCAACATAGATTAGAATCATTATACAGATAATCAAAGTGGGTAATGAAATAAATTAAATAAAGTGCATGAAGACAAAACACATTTTGTGTAAGAAATTTTAAGATGAGGACAGAATTCAAATAATGGTAAAACAAGTAGATTTAACTTATTATTAGACATTCCCCCAAGAAATTTGGAAGAAAACAAAAGAGATGGAAGGAGACAGAGTACACAAAGTTTAAATATTTATAATATAATCTAGGACTAACTATAATACGTGGATTAGTAAGCATGCACATTCCTGTTTGCAACTTAGCATTTTGCTGTGTGATACAAAAAGGAAGTTAAACAGTTTTTTCCTCTATTTCTTGCTAAACAAACTTCTCAATTTCCCTCTCTCCAACCTCTCATGTAACTTCTTAGCTCCTGGAATCTCCATCTCAGTGAGTTTCTTGAGATACCCAATTGCCCCATATGAGATCATTAGCTTCTTACACTTCTTACTTGAAGAAAGTGATCCAAGGCAAGAAACTGCATATTTCTTAGCAGTGTTCTGCGGACTTGGATCAAGCAACTGAACCAAGTTTGGCACACTTTTATCATCCTTCTGAACTTCTCTACGGTTCTGAGACACAATCATTAAGCTTGCAATTGCTTGAGCAGCAACCTCTCTAGCACTGTTTGACTTAGCCTCAAGCATTTTCACAAGCAGAGGGATGCATCCAGCTTCACCAACCAGTTTCTTCATCTCAGTCGAGCTGCAAACTCGGCATATTGCTCCCATGGCAGCTTGCTGAGCGCCTAAGGATCCGGACTTTAACACATGAACCAATCGGGGAATTAGGCCAAGGGAAATCAAGGTTTCTTCAGCAACTGATCCAACCAAATTCCTCAATGCTCCAACTGCGGATTCTTGAGGAAGTGGACCATCAAGATAAGCCAGAAGACTCCTAACACCACCTTCTGATATAACATTCTTCCTTAGATTCTCATTGCTTGCAGTGAGGTTCTGTAAGCACTCTGCTGCATACTCTTTGGAACCTAAGAGGATTCCACAGTTAAGCAAATTGATCATCACCCTCACAACCCCTTCTTCTGCCAAAGCTTGTCTCACCTCAGGAACAGCTGATATGTTCTTCAGAGTACATGCAGCTGCGGCCTGCGACACAGAATCACCAGTTTGACAAAGCTCAACCAAAGGACGAACCCCGCTGTGTCCCACCATTGTTCGTGCTGTTTCTGCTGACATGGACAACCTCTGAAGGGATATTGTCGCCTTTTCTTTCCCCACGGCACTGCCTGATTCCACAAGCCTTATAAGAGGTGGAAGAACGCCTTCAGAAACTAGCCAATTCTCGCAGCTCCCCGATTCTGCTAGCGAGCATATAACTGTTACTGTCTTCTCTCTTATCCTGGGAGAGGTAGCTGTGAGCAACTGAACCAAAGCAGCAATGTTGCTCCGACCAAGAACAGCTAAAACATTCTTTTCATCTTCTTTCATGGCTTCAACCACGCTGTCCAAAGCTCTGTGCTTTGCCTCCAAGTGCCCGATCTGAAGGCGTGCCAGCAATTCCCTTATGTTGTTGTGTGTTGCAACATCTGATTCCACCACTGAACTAGACACAGCCATTGGTAAAGTAGCCTCACCAAGCACACCAGTCTTGATCAAAAGCCCACAATCCCTTAAATTCAAATCAAGTTTCCCAATTAACGCATCAAGATCACTTTGCATCCGAAGCTTACCCTCGTACTTCTCCTTCAAACACAACTCAGCCAATTCATTTGCTTCTCTGAGTGTCTTCGACACAGCCTGTAACTGCTCCTTGCAAAGAGCATTCTTTGAGAAGCACGGATGGCTTGACAAGTCCGATAGATGCAACGGGATCTGTTCCAATTTCGAAATTATCATCTTCCATCTACCAGGGAAGCCCTTAACCACTCTTGCCTTATCAAGGGCCATAGGAACAAGTTCCTGTGCACATAACAACCACTCTTCAGCAGAACGTGCATCAAGTGCAACCTCGTCACCATCTTCCACCATGGTTTTGATTTGGTAGTTGCAGAAAACCGATGATTAGCTGCCACCAAATAGAATGCAAGAAAACCAAGCCTTCAAAGAAATGACCAAGATGCCAATTTGTAAATAGAAAATTAGATAGGTTGTGGTGGAGCAGTTGCAATCATACAATTCTTAAATTATAAATTAAGAATCCAATAGAAAACTCTGAGGCACAAAAAAACAACTAGTTCAACACCCAGAACAGCTTCGAGAATCTCTTATGATCACACAAAGCTTGTTTACTGAAGGCATGACTCGACCAACAAAACTGAAGTACCTAAACATGCCCCACTAGTCTTTCCTCTCACTTTAGCAATTGTGATCATTTAATGCCCTTGGAAAATTATAATTATATATTAAAATTGTTATAAATTAAATATTATTATGATTATAATTAAATTATGGTAGATGAACTATAGTTGTTGATGGAAATGAAATAAAATGCTTTTGATGGCTAAAACAATGCCCCCAATAAAGAAGCCCGTCGGCAGATATTTTAGTCACAAATCCAAAACTACCCCTCCATGTGAGTCCCAAAAGACACACCTAACACATGGTACAAGTGTAATATAGTACCCTTCCTAGGAATATATTGGTCATTAGGAAACAAAACAGTAACTTCACTTTTCAACCATGATGAAGATTGGTTATAGTGAGAGGGTCAAAGATGAATCTAGAGAGCTTTGTCATCTTGGTTTTGATCTGACCCATATCAACGGTCAAGGATTCTTCTAAGAGAGAATGAAGAAAGTAAAAGTCTTAGCTGTGTTTTCCCATCTTTCTCTTCATAAATGGGGCTACTGGTATGAGAAAGGGAGAGGCTTTCCTTTCAAGGGAAGACACAAGTCTCTATCTACAGTTGTATACACGCAACCAAGTAAAATGAATCATCACCAGAAAAAAAAAAATGCAAACAATAATTCAAAGAAATAAGAAAATTTCAATAAAATATACCTCAAATCAAGTTGACTAGCTCAATATTCAAAGATATTGTCTTGTTGAGAACCATTAGAATTTTAAGTGATGCCCAAAATCAGTCTTGTTCTCCAGTGTTTCTGTCAAACCCAAAACACAGTTGGGTTGTGTTCATGATATCATCTATCAACAGAAAGACAAAATCTAATATTCATACAAAAAACAAAATAATAAAAGGAAACAAAAGTGCACAACTTTTCTTTCCAGAAGTAGGAGATCAAAGTAACATAATTTCGTAAATTAAAAAAAATTAAAAACTTAAGGACCAACTAACCTTTAAGAATCAGTAACTGATAACACACAATGTCTCTCTTCTCTCTCTCTCTCTCTCTCTGACTCAGACACACACTAACGTGCCTCAAAGGATCACCAACTAACTACCCAAGACTTTGCTTTGACAACTCTCAACAATACTAAGTCCTGTGAATGTAATGCTTCCAGAATCAGCAATCAAGCACACCCTTGTCTTCAGCAAAACCGCGTCTTTCATGCTCCAAAGACATTAACACAGCGACCCAAAAACAGTTTCCTCAGAATCAGAAACACCCAGAAACGGTTTCTGCCTCATAATTGAGAAACAGACACAAAACACTCAAAATCTCATTTAATATAAACATTAAAAGAAAACACTGAAAAAATCAGAAGAATCTTTCACATAGAGTCAAATGTGATGATCAAGCTTCAGAAAACCAAAATAAACAAATAAAAACAGCTGAGCCTAAGAAATATTCAAGCATTTAGTACACACAAAAAGTACAATATAAAAACGTTCACAGCTTCACTTCACAATTCAAAAATCAAACTTCAAAGTTTCAAGTTCAGCACAACTCTCTCTCTCTCTCTCTCTTGAAATGGAAGATAATGTGTCAGTCTCGCTGTCTCGAAGATGAAGATTCTCTCTGTAAAAGGCATTATTTAACTGTTACAGGGAGAAGGAGAGCTTATGTTTCGAACAAGTTGGCTTAAAGGTCGAGCAGATTTTTCAATCGAACGGTCACGATTGATCACATAGGACAGGCATCGAAACCGTTGGGATTGGGTAAATTTTGAATTAGTACGAAATTCTCCAAATTTGTTTTTATTAAGAAACAATTATAACAATGCGACGCATATCCTTTAATTAATCCTTGCCCTGTATGCACGTCTTTGGACAATTTTAGAAAGGGTAATCATACTTAGTTTTACAATTTTTTAAACTTATATTTTTTCTTTTTTTATGTTATTATTTTTTATGTTACTTAATTTTTTAAATACTATTTTTTATCATTTTATTTATCGTAAGAATGTTTGTTAGAAAACAAAATAAAAGAATAAACTATAAAACACGAAACTATAAACAAAATTGTATAATTTACCCTTTTAAAAATGAAAGGAAGTAAATTTTAGATGAATAAAAATAAATAATGTTTTACGAGTAAAGAAATTAACTATTTTAAAAATGTTTATTCATATAGTCTATATATAAAACTTATAAAATTTGTAAGAATAAAATATTAGTTATATTTGAAAAGTAATTTTATGTTGTTATTTAATAAAGTTGATTTTTTTATATACTAATCCTTAAGATTATTTCTTTCATTTCTTTAATATTTTGAAATATTAACATGACCATAATATACAAAATCAAAACTTACAAATTTTAAAATAAAAAATAATGTTATCTGAAATTAATATGTACATGTTTATGTTTTTGTATACAATATTTTTAGAACGTGATTATTTTGAAGTAGAATAACATTTATGGCAAACGAAAATTACATTACACATTAAATTTAAGTGTATCGTTCATTTTTTAAGATCTTAAACTTAATTATTTTATATTTATTTTTAAAATGATTATAAGTATAAAAATAACATTTATTTATTGAGACATGTTTTTTGTAAATTTAAATAAACGCACTTACTTGATCATGATGAAGTGGATACAAGCGCCACGTGTGAAGTGGTCCCTGCTCTTCAAAGGAGTGGGTACAGTTGGCAACGTCACACGTATGAAGTAAATAACAGACTGAGCACGTGTTTGACCTCGTTCTTGTGCACTAAAATTTCAAATATACCAAGCCTAATTACATTTTTAACTTTATATGCGATTTTGATTATTTTAATTAGTTATATTTTATTTTTTAACTTAATTCTGTGGTAATTAAAATATTTTATTTGTAAGCATTTATACAATTTTTATTAATCCATAGAAATTAATAATATATCATTTTTTATAAATTAGTGAAAAAAAGTTTTAGAATGAAAAATTAACTTAAATAATTAAAATTTATTAAAAATTAAACCAATACAATAATAAAATTAAATTTTATATTTTTTATTAATTTTTATAAAGTATTCTTGAACACATATTATGTTATGTAAAATATTTGTATTAAGTCTAAAGTATTATTTATGATTGTTAACAATTGTAAATATTAAGAATTTAATTTGGTTAATCTGTAAATATAAATATTTTTACACTACAAATTAATTAAAATATATTATTAATATAATTTTATATTATTTATTATTTATTTATGATGGTTGATGATACGACAATCTATTATTAGTACACAAAGTAAAAAAATTTAGACTGAGTATATTTAAAATAAATTATTTTAAAACAATATAAAATACGATATTGAGTTAGAATGTTTTGATGTAGAATTGAATATCTTCTTAAAATACAAAGTTTAATTTTAATATATTGATTGTATAATAATTTTTACACTGTTAATAAATTAAATGTTATTGTAGATATTTTAAAACAATTATTATAAAATAAACTATTATTAATAATATTGTAATTCTTAATTGCGTGTAATTCAATTAAATTCTAAAATATATTGAGTTTATTTTTTCAAAGTTAATTTGGAGTCAAGGCGTTAATGAGATAGAATAAGTCGTGAACGTTCTAAATTGAGTTTGGTGAGTTGTATTGGATTGTTTATGATAATTAAATTATGGTCTCATTTTGATTTGGCTTTTTAAATTATTATTATCATTATCATTCAATTAAGAGTTTTATTTTTACGCCATTGCTGCGACTACTTTATGCTATCAATAAATAGTTTGAAATAATTAAGAGATAATTTAAATTTATTTTAGGGTTTTGTTAATTAATATCTTAGACTCTTAATGGTATTGGTTAACAATTTTAAAATAATATTTAATAGAATTCACATTAAGATACATTAAAAATTATGTATCAAAATTAATAATATTTTGATAAAATTATTTTATTTTTTATTTCTTAATCAATGCTTTACTACACTAATGAAAATTTGTCTTTGTTATATGATCCATGCAAGTGCTGCCCCCTTAAACGTTGGCATAAATCTTCAAAGTTTGTTTTATAAAAACTGGAAGGGCTCTTCACTCTCGTTCCTGACTATATTGAAAATTTCTCACAAAAATTGAAAAAGGTGATCTAGGATATGTATTTTCATTTGTGTTCCAATTTACGAGTATTTCACTTATATCCTAGTTATTCCCAAATGCATGATCTTGTCCACGAGCAACGCACCCCCGAATTCACCGATGCACTGTTCATATACTGTGACACTACTAATTATGAACAGCATTCTGAAACCTGTGTCATTCCATTTCGTGTTTTGTACATTTGTCATATGTAATCAAAGTCAACTCTGATCGCAAACACATTTGCTGATTGGCGTATACTTACTAATAAATGCAAATAATAAAATGGTGCATGAATACCCTTATCTTAAAAAAATCATAGGTTTACATTCCCCCGCTTAAAACAAGAGGATATTCACATTTCATATAGGACAGGACATGTCCTCACTGGAGGAAGTAAAAATAAGCTAATAAATAACAGGAACATAGTCCAGTGCAAAATTTTATTATTTGCAACAAGGGGCAGACAAAATTTCCTGATACCAAACTTAGTTTGCAAATTTCTCAACTGTTTCTATGATAAACTGTGATAGCCAAGAAGAATCTATTCAACAAAAAATACTACAAGCATGGAAACAATGAAACTCATGCAGGTGCAGCACTCGAGTTTTGACGTTTGCGGCCCCAAACAGGAGTCGTCTCAATAAGCTGATGAGGCACAAGTCGTCTCTCGCGCTTAGTGAGCTTCTTGAAGTTGTGGACTCTCAGCCTAGCAATATCTGCCTCTTCTTCAGGGGTTATCTCTCTCACTACAATTGTTAGTCTGCATTCTGCTCTCACTCTGATCCCCGATCTTCCTTTGGAATGGTAGGAAACCCTCTTTTTGAAAAACCCCTTTCCTACAAATGCTTCCGCTGCAAGAAACAAGAATGCGCGGAGATAAAACGACTAAGGTTGATTTCCTACTCTACATGGATTGAATGATGCAATGATATTCTATTATACATGACAGAACAATTATACTTCTAATTTTGAACTTGAAAATATTACCAACAATGAGACGTTCTGGATCTAACCCATGATTGTGAGAGGCATTTGCTTTGGCCGAATGAATAACCTGCAATGTGTAAGATTTTAAAACAAATGCTTTCGATTAAGGTAACAGAAGAATCTTCCATCTCCATTGAAATCAAACGGACCTTGAATATAAATTATCACAAGTTGTTGGGAATACCAACACAGAACATGGAAGAGGAAGTACCCCAAAGAATTTGATATTGTTGTTATAACTTCTAAGTGGAAAAAAATCATGAAATTGGAAAATGAAATCTAACAGGAAAATATACTTGCAATTCCTCCATAGTCATTGCCATGACATTGTCCCATTGTAAAAATCTGAATAATCTCTTTGAAACCTGGGCTCTTGGGATCAAAGACAAAAAGGAAGTGGGCTGGGGAAGGGGGCAAAGTGGGTGGTGAAGCAGAAGAACTTAGAAAGCAATTAAATATGTTGCTTTTACAGTCTTGTACAATGCTGAGACAATGAGAAATACTTAAGTGTTACAACCTGATACACAGTCTTTGCTGCTCGTTTTATTGTCACTTGCAACTGCATCAATGCATCTTTAACAAGCATACCACGAACCAGGGCAGCAACCAAGTTGACCTTCTTTGGACTCTAAAATACCATTGAAAACAATGTATGTAATAAGTGCAACCAGTCAGATGTGAATCAGATCGTCAAAGCTTAAACCATAAATTAAAACAGTTTCCACAGCAACCATGATCTAAGGAAAGCTTTTCAATGGCTAAAAAACTAAATGCTGACTTGACTGCAAAAGTTGTTACATGCTGATTAAAATAACACACAAAAGTTTCTGAACAAGATGGGAGGGGCCCATATAAATGAAACAAAGCATTATAATTTTTCAGTATTCATATTATTGCTATGTTGAATATACCAGCGGTGATACACTTTAACATGCACCCTAGAAATGTGATTACCACAAGATAACAGCAAAAATCAAGGTCTGTTGGTTCAAATGACAAGGAGGAATGGTGCCAGCATAATTGTACCAGCAGCTGCGGCTTAAAAGTTTAAGAATAGCAGAAAGGTTTGCACATGAAGAACCTGCACAGGTGGCAGGGAACACAAGGGGAGTGCTGGAGTATATATATGAAAGAAACAAGGTTATGCAAGAATTGAAGTATAGAGAGATACAAATCCTTGAAGTTTAGGCAGTATGTATATATATCCCTTCCTCTTCATGTTACTTCTTAATTCGTATAACAGTGACAGAAGGAGTTTGCTCATTTATCAATATACAGTTCTATTTCTATTCTCTGATTTACAAGATAATATAAATCTTGAAATAACTTTTTTAAAGTAAAATATGCAGCTGAATACCCTCAGTACATTGGCTTTACTGAATGAACATGTAACTACTATTTCTCAATTTAAATCATCAAATGACAATAATTTCCTTTGGCGTTTCCATGTTTAGTATATCAAATGTTAAACATTTTTTAGTGCACTTTTCAGCACTTAAAAGTAAAATCTTTTCAAATAAAATGCATTCAATTTATAATTTTTCAGGTTTATCAAACATTCTCTTAGTGTAAGATTGAATGTTAACTGTTAAGCACTTACATCGAAATTGTGCATGTAAAAAAATAAATAATAATAATCACAAACAGTTATAAGACATCTCAAACCTGCTTTATTCCCTTTAATACTGCTTGAACTTTTTCTGGCTTAGTAACAGCTTTCTGCTTCTGGTCGTCACCTTTTGAACCATCCAATAATGCAACTGGGGCTAATGGTGATGAAACAGGTGTTTCCTCAGATGAATTTGCCAGCAACCGAGTAGAACTTGAAATTCCCTGAAATGGAAACACTCAAATTATAAAATACAAAAGCTGAAGTTAAAAAGAGGGCACAATCAGTAGTAAATAAACGCAATCCATACAGAGATATTAAATTATAATAATTATAACACTAGCTCGGTATGCCCCAACATTGTAGTTTGATGAGTTGGAAGATAAATATAAAACAAAATTGTCTATTATGTAGTTTGATGAGGGATGATCATAAAGTCAAGAAAAGTTTTCCACAATTTAGCAAGCAGAAAGGAGAATCATCTTGAAGGTAATTTTGTTTATGACATAAAAAGAAATTCATTAAGAGAGATGAGATATATAAGAATGGGTGGATAAGTTATCCTCCACAAGAAAACTAATGAAAGAAAAAATTACAAAGAACCAGTAAAACAGAACTCAAGAGTAACCTTGCATGGCGGTCCTATCAATACATAAATCTGGAATGGCAAACCACTTAAAAGACCATGAGTTAAGCACCAAAGAGAAGCCAAAAATCTTATTCTTTCCCAAAACATTTCAACAAACATCAAAACACCTTGAAAAATCAAAACATTCTTCTCCAACTATTTGCACTATAGAAAAGCAAACATAGCACAATCCCACAAAATCATCATCTCTTTCTCTTGTTCAAACCCTTTAAACCTAATTGTCAAAAAATCTCTAGAGTTGGGATAAACCTAATAATCTCCACAAAACATCAAACAACCAATTGTACAAAAAATTAGCAATCAGAAAATGTGAAATCAAATATATAGCTGAATCAGATTTCACCATGCAGATAACACAAATATCAAGGGAGATTGCTGTTTTAGGTCTCCAAATCTGCAACAAATCACTACTACTACTGCTACTACAACAATAACAGCACACTTATTTGGTATACATTAATCCAACACTAGCTCACTATGCTCCATATCGTACCTGATGTTGCAAACAGTGATAAAGAGGGTTTGAGAAATATGGAGAAGTTGTGGCCCACGCGCTTCTCCCCAACTGACCTACAATTCGAAAGTAAGGGTTTTGATACAAACTCCACACAGATTCGGTGAAAGATATGAAAAGCGGAAAAGAGAAAAGTGTTAACCTTGTGATAAAGAAGAGGCTAAGCGAGAAATTACAATGCTCGCAGCTGAATGATTGGGAATGGCGTGGTGTTCAGCTACTACTCCCTTTTGAATGTGACGAAGAATTGGGAATATGTGTCTTTGCCACTGCACCATTTTATTCTGCAGAAGAACAAATGCTCATCAGATCAACAATTTGTGCTTTTCATCAGACCTAGCTAGGGCTGGGAGACTGTGCCTGCTGCTATCTTCATTTTCCCTCCTTTAATTTTAATTATATATAAAAAAGAAAACACTTTACTGCTCACCAATTTAGTTTTCCTCTGATTTTGAGTTTCATGAAATTTAAATAAATAAATAAAATCAGTTTTAATGACTGAGTTTAAAATAACAAATATATTACTTTTCACTATTTAAACTCAGTCATAAGAATTGATATTAGTAAAATCTTTAAATTAATTTTTATTTATTAAATGTAATAATAATGTGTTTAAATAAATTTTAAGTATAATTTTTACATTAAAACATTAAGTGCTGTGTGAAACTGATTATAAAAAGGTTAATCATATTTACAGTTTAAAATTTAACAAAATTTTACTTGATTATATATATATATATAATTTTTATCTCTCTTAATTTATATAATTGTATAAAAAAAATGTAGATAATTTTATATGATCAAGAATGATATGTATATAGATTATAAATTTTGTGGGAGTTCGAAAAAGCGATTAGTTATTTTAGATTGGGGCATGTCTATGTTAGATCTTTTTCAGAGGGGTTAAGCAAAGCAATGCAAGCATGCTGCATTCTCTGTTCATCTTTTAACCTTCTTGCCCATCATTTTGCCATTGTAGAATTGCTGCTGTTGGGCCAATTTCTGGGCCTTCATTTTTACCCCAAAACTAAGAAACTAAGTTTTAGACTCAAGGTTGTTCAAATAGCAAAGCATTCGAGTCTAATGTGAATTTCAATAAAAAGATGGTCTGCTCCCTTATTGCTCTCTGCCCCAATCATCAAAATCTTTACATGGAGGGACCCCTTTGCTCAGGCTCTTCCACTCACATAATTTTTAAAACCAATACATATTTTCACAATAAAAAAAAAAAAGTGTTTTTTTGGCTCTTCCAATAGCCATAATTTTTCAAGTTTCTTTTTTCAATTTGAGTCTGAAAAAATATGTAAAGTGAAAATAAGGCTTTTTTCATTGTTGAGTTAAAGTTAATTATATTTACGAAATATGTAAATTAAAACTACTAATAAATATTACTCTATTTTCTCACTTTACACGTTTTGTTATTTTAAAGAAGCTAAATCTAGAGAAAGAATGTAATCATAAGTAAATAAATATTTAATTACTTTATTATTTTATATTTTATAAAATTAGTATACTTTAAAAAAATTAGATAATGAGTAGAATGTCAGAAAAAAAAAAGTGAGACTTACACTGATAATTTCCCTCTCCTTCCCTAAATAGGAGGGATCCAAAATATGTGAACCTATGGAAATTATCAATTATCAAACAATAGATTAACGGCAGCTTTTTCCTTCTTTTTTTTTTTTCCTTTTCAACTCTATAGAGTCAAGTAAAGGCATATCGATAATTGATTAAATTTAAAGTCCACTATAATCATTTACATTCTAAATTTAAAGATAAATATTTATTTTCTCACTTTAGAGATAGAGACAAATTTATTTTTATATTTTTTTGCTCATTTATCTATTTTTGTGTGTAAGCCTTTTTTGCAAGTGAAGAAAAAATTCTCATTAAAGCATTTCTCTTTTTCTCACTTATCTTTTTAAGGTATCATTTTTAAATGAGTTTATCTAATCTATCTCACGGAATAAAAAAAACTCTATCCTAGGTAGACTAATAAGATATTTTGTTTTTAAGAAATTTAAATAAAATATTGAAACAGTTTTCAATATAATGCCTTAGTTTTACTGTCTAAGATAGGTTATTTATCTCAAGGTATAACTTATAAAAACTCTTTTTAAATTGTACAAACATGAAATTAAAGGAGACATATAAACGGGCGAGATTATTTTATATTATTCCCTGGATTTTGATTGCTTTGATGGGTTTCATGTGTATATGATGAAATGGGTGCTGAGTGCTGACTGATGTAAGGAAGCAGAAGAAGGAAGGTGAAGGGTCGTACAAGCCCATGTTTTTGTGTGCTTGTTACATTGCTTAGTGAAGGTGAAGTAGAAAATATGATGAAAGTGATGCCCCTTATGTTTGTCTTTATAGGGACATTCATGTGCTTGTAGTTAGGACTTCGATTATGGAGTGTTCTTCGATCTAGTTCCTGATTTGGCTTCCTAATTTTTTCATGTCTCTAGATCATAAGGCTTTTGTGTTATTATTTTGACTTGATAGTGTAGTTGAGTTTCAGCATTGGTTTTCCGTGTTTCAGTTCCTTCTTGAGTCAACATCAAGGTCCAAGGATACGATGTGTAAAGTCATAATCACGTGGGTGTGTTTTGTTTTTCATGTGAATAAATTGATTGCATTAGGAAATATTCACCACATTTGAAAAGGCTGAATAGTAGAATAATTGAGATGAAACAATGATGAAGTGGAAACTTAATTTTTCAAGCTTTTGGTTGTTTACATGATTCAAGTGCTCTTTCACCCAGATTTGATGTTTGTTTAGTACTTCAATTTGATTAATAATAGGTGCTTGTTGCTTACCTCCTTGCATGAACATATCGATAAAGGTTGATATTATGGCAAATAGCCACGTGAATTTGGCTAAATGGCAGTATGCATCACACTACCAAACTGTAATGTCTACCTTTAATTGGTAAGACAGAAAAAGGGAAACCCCTTTTTGTCTACTAAATTATTTTGTGTCATGTGAATGTTGTAAAGCATTTTCCAAGTGACAAGTTGATGCTAAAATGTGTTTGTTTGATTATCTACCATAACAAATTAGATGCTTGATATTATATGATCCTTTATTATATTAAGTCAAGCATAGAGTTTTACCTACACACTACCCTTGGCTCAAGGCATTAGTATCATAGTGTACTTATGTGAATCTCCTGGCCTAAAGACAACAAAAAAAAAAAACTTCTTTAATAAATTAAACCTAAAAATTGCAAATAAATTTTGCCTCGAATCACAATCTACTTGGCTTATTAATTACGTATTTGGATGAGAGAAAAAATAAAGAAAAAAAATGAAAAATAGAATTAAAAAGATAGTGTTAAGATGGATAGAAAAATAAATTAGATAAATTGAAATATATATATATATATATATATATATATATATATATATAAAGAGAGAATATTTTACCCTTATATTATTAATAGAAATACGCTATATAATTTATAATTTTTTTAATCAGGGCTATTTATGTCTTTAGAAGTCCAGCTCATCATGTTGCCTCATTTTATCGCAACATTCAAGGGAAATGTCTTATTGTGGGTTCCACTGAATTTTGAAAATTTCATTCACCATGTCAATGCAAACAAACTCATGACATGGTACAATTTTAGTGAATGTATATTTCAATTCACAGTATTTCAGTGGAAACAAGCGTAAAGAAAAAAATTGATTGAAATGACATCGGAGATGCTGCTATGTAAATCTCATCTTTCTCTATAGAGGAAAATGAAAAATTCCATGAAGAAGTGCCCTTTTGGGTTTTTTAATTATAACAAAGGACTGAAGGTTCTACAAGCTCAACACATGTGCAGATCTTCACATGTATGTACATGTACAGGTTTTGATATATATTTACTTCGGTAATTTTATAGATCTCATTTCATTTTTGAGAGATTTCTTATTCTGACAATGATATGATGGAAACTAGCAAACTAATTATTACACAGATGCCACTTTCCAGGTAGAAACCAGAAAGGGACAATCTAAGGTAGTTATATGTCATACTTAGACATAAAGTATTTCAGTTCTAACGCTTTAAAGTATGTTGAGGGTCCATTAGTTTTCTTAGTAACGTCTACATGTTTCACTTCTTTTCCATAAAAGTTTCATCTCAAAATTTTTAAAGGTTTTTTTCGTCCATGTAGTTATCTGATGCTGATATCTTATTGGGAGAATTCAATTAATTGTGAAATCATGTATAGGATCTAATCTCACCTTTTACCTTCAAATTTTGGAGATGGTTAATCCTTATGTTATTAATACATGCTTTCCTTGGTGCTGTTCTTAGGCACATTACTCAAGCTTAACCTGTTTCATATGTAAATAGTTGCTAAAGTTATTTTGGATAAATTTGAAGCTTATGAGCCTAATTAGTTGTTGAAGCTGTATTGACTAGGATTTGATATGTTTCCTTGGTGTAATTGACACTGTATATATAGTTAAGTCTCTTTTGGAGTGGGCATTCTCTTGTTATAGAAGATATCACATGAAAACCTTCCCTTTTGGAGCTCATGCTTTCTCATGCAAAGAGAGGTTCATTACATATATGAAGAGAAAACTACAAGTGTGAGTGACAACCTCTATATGTCTGAACAAATCTTGTCCCCATAGTTGCATATGTGTAGCTTCGATTGTTGCAAGGTTATGGATATATTATAGAAATTTTAAAAATATATTCTTTAACATACACGTTTTTTTATTTGTGATTAAAATTTATTAAAAATAACAAAAATAATGTAAATTTCACTGCTAATTATACAATTCTCATATGTATTTTTATAAATTGTAATAAATTTCAACAAATGAGACGAAATAGGTCAGAGAGAATGTGTTCCTTTCACTTCTGATCATTCTTTTGTTATTTATAAAAATTTTCAGCATATTTTACTTTGGTAGTGTGTTAATTTCTGAACATCTATAATATGAATGAATCATTAATTAATACTTCTATCTCTGTAATTTTTTTTTTTACAAAACTAGAAAAACTAAATAAATTATGAAAAAAATGTTAATCTCAATAGTTGGGATTGAGTTTAAGCAACCCACAATAACACAACTTCATTGAAGAAATGAGTATTTATTATATATTTATAATGTTAATATACATATATATATATATATATATATATATTAATAAAAAAATACTACTTTTAAATGCTTAATTTTAGTTTTTAAGAAATGAACTTAACAAAATTTATAAATTATTAATAAATATTTCTTTAAACTTTTTACTGTAATTAAATTTTTGAGATTTCGACTTTTAATCTTTTAAAAATATAGTTGTATTAAAAATTAGGGGGAATAACTTTTAACACTTCACTTGACTTAAATTAGTCCGTGGAGCCTAGATATCGACGGTTTTAGAACAAAAAATTGATCAACTGTATTAAAATACTAAATATGTTATTTATGAAAAAATTAATTTTTTTATTTAATAAGCATCAAAATATCACTTCATTTTTACTTTAAATTAAAGGTAATATGTCATTTTAATAGATGCTAATAATTAAAAAAATAAAAACACAAAATAAGGCGCTAACCGTTGAAATAGTATAAAGAAATGTCGGCTGTTGCTCAATTTTTATTGAAGACATGTAACCGTTGTCACTTTCTCCTAAGCATAAAGAAATGAAATAGTATGAAAAGATATATTGGATATTTTCTTCTTAATAAGCACTCAATTTCTTGAATGTATATATCCAAGTCAATTTATTATAGAGAAATATGGATTAACTTTCTTCCTTTTCCAGCAATATGACAAGTTAGTGGGCACCTCATTTTCATGATCGTAATCATAATCGATCCATTGAAGTTTGAACCAATTTAGTGTTGAATTATTTGGTACACCTTTGTTCTGTCTCTACAAGTAAAATACCTCTCTAAAGGGACCTAAGTTGACTAGTTACCTAACCTTTTTTATATGTAACTTTCATGTCAATTTTGGAGAATACTTGATTGACAATTCTTATTGATTACATGGAGAAGGTTTATGATATATTTCAGACACAACTTTTTTGTTTTCTTTTATTTTAAAAATTTGAGTTTTCTACGTTTCCTATATTTTATGCCTTTGCTTGTGACAGGAAGAAACTACCCAAAACATCAAAATTCCAAACTCCAAAGTTGTTTGCAAGGCCAAAAATAACCATGTCATTCTTATGGCTTCTTGTGGCCCTCCCTATCATCTTTCACTGTGTGAAGTGGAGTTCTATCTTTATACATGCTACCTTCAAAGTTCATATATTTGTTTTCTTTATGTCCTTTCATGAATCTGATTTTCAGTACTAAAGTTTACACTCAAGTACTTTTCCCTTCCTTGAATGTTAAAATCTGCTTTGAACTGAATATGAACATTCAAGTAGAACTTTGGCTCCACAATATAAATGATTAATCACCCAAAAGGGAAAGCAGATGTATTGGATCTTCTCCCACTTGCCTAGATTTAATTCTAGCTTCCAGTGAGAATGATGACTACATGTTTCATATTTTAAAATATTAAATATCTCGTTTAACTATCATAATTATGTTACAATCTATTAGCTTCATTTAATATACAAAAGGGGCATTTGAAAAAGTTTATTTGAGTTTTGTCACTGTCTTATATCAAATAGATGCAGCCCTGAAAAATAGTTTTTCTAAAAGTTTCTTCCCTGCAAGTTGCAATTGACCTCAAGGCATGTTTGGGGTCATGACGATGGTTAAAACTTAGAAGATTGAAAATTCTCACTGTATTTTAAATAGTGTCATGTGGGAAGAAGTGGAGATATCGTTATCCAAACACATAGAGAGTGTTGACTATTGGCATTGAGGTTTAATTGTATACAAAAAGCTTATGTCCCCTTCTCTTAATGGCTGGTATCTTTTCTTTCCTTTCCTTTCCTCCTATACTGTTATTATTTTTTTCCTTGAGCTAAGTGCTAGCTAGTGTTTGTATTTTTCTCATAAATTTTGTTCTCTTTTCCCTGTCACATGACTATTGTGAGGCTTTGTGTCACATTGAGAAGCTCACAAGGAGTCTTTTATTTGGTCAACTCAGGGTTGGTGGAATGAAAACTTTGCTTGAGTTTAATTATCTGCATTTGAGTTGCATTTCAATTTAAAAAAAAAAAAACTCTTTTTAAAAGAGAACTCAAACATACTCTTATTTTTAGAAATTAAAAATTTTGAATTAGGAAAAACAAATTACAGCATTTCTAAACCTAATTTACTTTAAAGTTCTTATATTCATTGACTTACGTGCAAGTTAAAAAGATACCACTGGGACTTTCAGGCAATTTGTTAATAGAATAATTATGCGATAAAGACAGCAAATAATATGCATCAAAGAGATCTACCCCTTTATTTAATTTTAAGTTTGAATCTGAGATTGGAATAAGTACCTTATCAGAACTCCAAGTATGAGATCTTGCACTCTGCTCAACTTAGTTGCTATTCTAAGGGGGAATCCTCATAGAATAGGAAAAGATTATTTAAACTGTATAAACAAAGAAAAGAAAGAAGCAGCAAGATTTTAAACTTACAACTAAATAAAACTTTTTAATTTGGTTTATTCTTAATAACTGTTTTTGGGATTAAAAGTAACAACACACCTAATTTCCTTACACAGAAAAAAATATCACATCTCAATTAATTATAGTAAACATTTTTGTCAGCGTTATTATTATTTTCCTTAATGGGTAAGATTGACTTAAAAATCAAAATAGTAAAACATCTTGTTTTGCCCCCTAAGAAAAACAAGAGACGGTGGAAAGAGAGAGAGAGAGAGCAATGGTTAAAGTATAAGGAAAACAGCTCATCCCACAAGAATGTGATGTTTCCTTGGTTTTCGCTTGTTTTGTTAATATGTTTCTTACACACAAAAATAAGATCTTATTTTATTGTCTTAGTAATTGTCAAGCATCTTACTAGTTCTTAGTTTAAAATTAAATAAATAGTTTTATTAAATATAAATAATAGTTAATGAAATATTTTAATAATAATCTAATTTTAATATATTATATATCTTTAATGTTTTTTTTTATTATCCAATCATGTATTATTAGGCATATGTTTGGATTGATTATTTTAGAGCTATTATTTGTTTTCATAAAAAAAAAAACTATTTATGGTTTTCTCTCTCTCTCTCTTGTTGTTCGGTAATATTTGTAAAAATTATATTATAATCTTGGATTATTTCTATTAAAAAGGAAAAATATTTACAAATATATAAGATTTTAAATATTACGATAAAATATATTACTTTTAATAAATATTTATTTATCATTTAATCTTAATTATTAGTTATTTTAAATCTAAAATTAATTAATACAAATAAATTTATGCTCCTTTTTGTTATTTTATTATAAAAATTGATTTTTTAGATAATTTAAATGAAATAAATTAAAATATAAGAAACTTTTCATGTAATCGATCAAAATAATAATTAATATATTTTTATTTGATTAATAAAGTAAATTTTAAAATAATTAATCATAACACATATATTATATTATGTTTAGTAAATTTCCCTCTATTAAAAAATTGACAAATTTAGGAAATATATTGATCAATCTCATACTGTCATTAACTAATTTTATTGAAAATTTCATTAAACTCATGTTATTATTCACCAATCTCGCATTCATGATGCATGAAAGATTAGTCTTTTATTTGTAATTTTCCAATGTCAAAATTATATCAACCAATGTAACTAGATGAATCGTTTATTGTTCTATTAATTTAATTTATATGAATCATGGAACTGTAAACGCACGGTTAGAATTTTGCTTGCAGAAAATTCCAAAGAAAAATATGTTGGATCGGATCCAAATTGCTATATTATGACAGAACCATAAGTTTTTGAAAATGTAACTTGCAATAATTATTATGATAGAATAAAATATTTCATGAAATAATAATGAAGTTTTATTTAACATACTATTTTATGTTAAATTCTTAAAAAAGGACTTTTATGTTCAGATCAAACTTAATTTCCAAAAATGATATAACAAGAGAATTAGACAGAACATGAAATCTTGCATTACAATTACATAAGCTGAAGCAGTTTGAGTGGTGTCAGATCCTCAAAATCCAGAGGGAATCTTGTGCTGTGCTGCTTCATGTGTTTTTTTTACCGTTAAGATCTTTTGCCGCCGAAAAAATGACAGCCACTTTCAACCGTCTGATCTACAAATCGCCAACATGTGTGGTCCACCTCATGCAGTGGACCCCACCATCACCATTCTAATTCGAGTGAGGGAATGAGATTAAGAGGGTCTTTTTCCCACATCTCTCTCTCTACTTTGTCTGTTCCCCCACCACCATCCTTTGAGTCACAACAAAGCCACTGTAATTCCCATCTCTTCATAATTCATGGTTTTTTCTTTTCTTTTTCTCTGTAAACCTCAAAAGTTTCCATTTTTCTGACATGGGTATCTCTTATTTTCTTTGTTTTTCTTAGTTTTCATCTCCTTTTGTCTCTTTGGACTTGTCACTTTGGTGGGTTATACCTGATGTGTATGTGGGGTGTCATCACTATTGGGCTTGTGTTGAAGAATCTGTGAAGTGGGGTGTTGTTATGTTGTGGTGCGGCTTGTGTTGTTCTTTATGCGTTTTCTAGCTTTTGGGGTTTGTTGCGGATACATCTTGTGTTTTGTGGATTGGTTTTTGGGTTGGAGATGTTGGGTTCAGGTACCAATTTGGTGACCACGGTTATTGGGTTTGGCATGAGTGCCACTTTCATTGTGTTTGTCTGCACCAGAATAATTTGTGGAAGGCTACGAGGGGGTGTTGAGTCTCGGATGATGTATGAGATTGATTCAAGAATTGATTTAGAACAGGTAATTTCATCTTTGTCTTCCCCTTTTCTTGTGTGCTGTTTTTGCTTGAGAACATAACTTGATTTTGGTACTTTGCTCAATTTTTATGATTCTTTTATCAATACTATAATCTCTATTTTCTTTGCTCATGAGTAGTATATTGTTGCTTTGATCCAATATTAGTATGAGGAATGAGGGAGGATAGCTTCAATTTTCTGTTGTTTTTAAACTTGAGATCCTGATGCAAATGCTGCATTCTATTTCCAAAAATAAATTTGTGCCTTAGCTATAATTTTCAATCAGATGTAGAATTGGCTGTTTATATCAATGATTGTACATACTGCCCCTAAATTTGGTTTGACATTTGTCTTGGTTAGATGTATGAATATTCTAATCCTAGGTTTAGTGGACACTGCTTTGTCATTGTCAATATATCATCTAATTTCAAATTCATGAATTTGCATGTTTCCGGACCCTCCAAATAATGGTTAGCCACTAGTGTCTAACTTGTATTTTAGTTTATAACATTCTGTAATCCGTTAAGGTTGTGCGCTTTAGAATTTAATTTTTCATTGTTTACTGATAGCCAGAACATCATGTTAATGACACTGAACCTGAACCTGTTCTGCTTGATGCAATCCCCACTTTGAAGTTCAACCAAGAGGCTTTCAGCTCTATTCAAGATACACAGTTAAGTTTAGTCTCTCAATTATAGGTCATAGAGAACACAAGTTCCTCATATTTTCATTGACAAAAGATTTTAAACTGATACAGTAACTTTCTCACTACTAAACATTGTTCGTTTAATTTTTTGTTATAAGATCTCATGATATACTAATACAAGCAGAACTTGATAGATAAATAAGCTCATGCAAGAAAGGGTCAATGAATAGATAAATAACCAAGTTTGCTTCTGCAGGTGTGTAATATGTTTGGCAGATTACAAAGAAAGAGAAGTGTTGCGCATCATGCCTAAATGCGGCCACAGTTTTCATCTTTCTTGCATAGATATATGGCTGAGAAAACAATCTACATGTCCGGTATGCCGTCTGCCATTGAAAAACTCTTCTGAAACAAAGCATGTGAGACCTGTGACATTTACCATGAGCCAAACTCCTGATGACTCTCACTCATCAGAAAGGAATGAAGATATTGAGAGACATGTTGAACCTACTGCTAGTAACTCCTTGCAACCATCTTCTGGGGAACCAGAAGCTAGGCAATGATCTAAGAGAGCTAAAGGGCTTGTTCTGCTCAAAAAGATAAAAGTGTAGAATTTGTGCTTCTATAGAGGAATGCTTCTAATTATAAATTGGATTCATATTCTTTGTCTGTAATATGGCCTTCATATTCACTTGGTGGTGTAAATATGTTTTCCTTTTGTGGCATATGCAGGCCAAGGTTTTGGTGGGATTTCTTGCATACCAAGTTGAAGTTTTTTTGTCATTGCATCACCTACTCAAACAAGAACATTACTCTTTTTATGCATTACAGATTAAACAAATGTCTGAATTCAATTTTTTTTTCCTTGTACAATTACTTTTCAGCAGCAACTTTTTTCTTGTCATTGGTCGTATCTAGAAAATTTGGATAGTGGGATAATATGTATCAATGTGAAAGAAATGAAATTATTAGAAAAATAAAAGCATTGCTATTTACATGTTTTAATTGTTTTAACATGTTGTATAGTGTTTATTTTTCCAACTAGAGAATATACTGGTATCTGATAGCTGATTATGCTACCATTTCTCCCATTTACTGCAGATCCAATTTTTATAATAGTATTTATAGCAGAAAGTTCTTCCATTTATTTGCATCAGCAAATGGTTATACCAAATATATCTTCAAACAGGCCCCCTGAAGTTACTCACAACAATAACTACACATTGAAATATTATACCAAATATATCTGTCAAGCTATGCAATGAAATAGCGTTAATATTAATGCGGTACACAGTGTAAATTATAATATTTTTATTATAATTTATTTATGTCTTTCTATTTTTCTCTCAATTCATCTATCTATCCATAATTTTAAATTGACATATAGCAAAGAAGTTCTTGCTTTTAAATTTATTTTAATTTTCATCTATGGATTTTTATTTATGTCGTATATGTGTTTCTTAACATTTTCGTGTTTCTGACTTTTCAAATTTTACTTTTTTTTTTTGCTTGAACTTGCTGTCTTAGACTTTTTTATAACATGAAAAGAAATATTAAAAAGAGGAATTTGAATATTATATGTAAAAGATAATAACAATAAATATTGTACGGATGTGTGTGTGAGACAGATCATTATTCTATTTAAGGGTAATATAGAATAAAATTATAATTTTTTCTAACTTACTAAAAAATAGTGTACTTCCAGTTGTTAGTATTTTAAAATTCAGAAAAATAAGTAAATTTAAAATTAAAACTTGAAAGGTTGGAAAGATGTAAAGCCAAGAAACATAAACATGAAATAAATGAAACTTTAATAGAAAAAATTAAATGAAGTAATTAAATTGAAAGATTTTTAAAAAAAATAGTATTATATATAGTTGGATAAATTGATATAGATATTGTAGAAAATTCAAAGAAAAAAGTCTTGTTCTTGTCATAAATTGTTCTCTCGTTGTTTCCCATTGATCAATCTGAATAAATTGAGTTGAGTCATTCTGGAAATGGGTTAATTTTCTGTCTGTGCACAACTCACTATTCAGCCCATTGTTGTACTCCTTCATTTAGTTGCAGCCACAGAATCATTATGTGCAAGTTAGTTCCCCCAACTTGGAGCGTGGAATTCAAGCACACAATGTTAAATCTGTAAATTAAATTACCAAATTTAATGCCCCATCATCTTGCAAGTTGTAACTTTGATCTATCCATGTGCACGGTGGCATATTAGAATCTTGATTTTTGTTTTGAAAATGAGCTATCACTGCAGCTTGGAGATGCATTTTCATGTGAATTTGTGGAAGTGTTGGTGCAGTACTATGTGATTGTTTATTTTTGAAGTATGTCATAAAGGTCAATTTGGTTAGTAGAGCATAAATGAAAGGAATAATGGCAGGAGTTAAGGAAGTGCTTTAACTTAATGTAAAGAATGCTGATTGAAAAATGGAAATGCTAGTATAATTACTAATTATCTATGAACTAAATCCAGCTTATGATTGTTCCAGTCTCTTTCAGATTTTCAAAAAGAATGTTCAGTACATACAAAATGAATTAGTTTAATCACTTTTTTTTTTTTTACTTTGGTTTCTTAAGCATATCTTTAACATTTAGAAAAAAACTCTGGGTTCTCTGTGAGACTTGCAATATGCATATTGCATAATTTTGTGATACTGGAAACTGTTTAAAGGGACATCTGTTTTTAAGGTCTGTTCTTGTTATTCTATAGATGAACGTAGTGAAGCACTATTTGTTACCTACAACACATGGTATAAAGGATTCACAATCATCTTTCACTCTTATTTTCATTTTCTGAATTCCACACATTTTAACTGTCTCTTTAAAAAGAAAGTATAATAGTATGCAATTTTTGAATAATAAATTGATGACAATTGAACCAAAATAACCTGTTTCTTTTCCTCTAAAAATCTTGGCTGGTAAACTTCTAAGAGTGACACACTATTTTCCCCTTTTTTTCCTGTCAATCATTTTTTGTATGTGCAAGACTGAATCATATGATACAAAATAAATCATGTTCAACAATATTCTAAGCAGGGCCATTCTTGACTTTTTGGGATCTTAGGTGAAATAGAAAATTAGAGTCTTCTAAAAAAATAAAATGTAATAAATAAAATAAAAATATATTAATAATTTTATTAAAATAATACATTTTTTTAAGTGGCTATAATTTTTTTTAATAAAAATAAAAAAATGTTCTTTTATTCAAACAACTCTTATGTTATAATCCATTATAGAAACAAAAAAAAATCATAAAAAATGAGTTCTATGAACATTCTGAGATGCAAAATTATTAATAATAACATTAACATCAATGTTTTCTAAAAATTCTTTATTGATTGATAAAATTACAAGACTATTCAACCGTTTTTGTAACATTGATGACCTTAGATAGATTTTGATTAACTTTAACTCTAAAAAACTTTTTTTAGTTAATGATATAGTCACTGGAACTGTAAAAAAAATTCTATAAGTGATTAAAACATTTAGATAACAATTTGCAGATTTAAAAAACTCAATAACTGTTTAATTTTTTGGAGAAAACTAAAATTCTACATGAGTTTTAATGCTAAGAAGAGTAAAGTTTTAGAATTAAATAAAGTTTTGAGTTTACAAAAGTTAAGAGTCGACTAAATTTATAGCAAGTGAAGTGCAAAAAATTAAAAGATATTTTTTATTTTTTTTATCTTTTTTCAATTGTAAACTGCAAGAGCTAGAATTTTTTTCAAGTGAAAGTAGAATACGATTTTTACTTTGACTCTCTTTTAAGCTTGTGTCCTAAGCGATCGCACTTCTAAACTACTCTCAGAATCGGGCATGATTCTAAGGCTCCAATCAATTTGCATTATTTCTACGGACAATGGTTGATTGTATAGTCCTAATTGTAGGGAAAAAAAATAATGGAAGACCAAAAATAATCTTAAAAAAATTTATCAAAAAGAATTTTATGACAGATAATATATTTTAAATTTTATTTTGACCAAATTTAATGACATTATATTATTTATGTAACTGATTTAACGTATTGTGATAATACATTGTTGTGATTTTCATTTATTGAATATATGCCAGAGAAGCAATTTTTTCTCTTGAACCTTTTGAAAGGCCTGCACAATCATTGCAACTACTTAGATCAGTTTCTCAGTCAATATATATTTTTTCTAAACTACAAAGTATTTAAAACAACTTCATTTGCCATGTCTAAGAAAAGTGAAACTAAATATAGAACTTTCATGACCCTCAAAACATTGCAAAGCAATCAATGTCTAGTCTCTCATAACACAGCACCATATTTACTTTGTGTCTCCTCTTGCCCTTTTCTTGGTCAGGTGGTTGCATAGGTTCGACAAAGACAGTGGTGTCAGAGCATGTGGTACGAAGTTAAGAACCACCAACAAATTAGAGTGTTCCCTTTTCTTCTTCATTAACACAAATGCCAGAGAAGTGTAGAACTTCCCATGTTCACAAGCAGTCTTCAAATATGTGATATTGCACTCTATGCATTAATGACCTCTTCTTAATGAGGAAATAGTTTGATGCGTTTAATAAAAATTCAGAAGAAATTGTGTTGAATTAAAGCAGATTAAGGACAATAATTAGTTGGCATTAAAGTGGAGTTGGAGCAAATTCTGCTAATAGTGGAATATGGAACTGTTAAAATAAAAATTAAATCATGTTATCGATATTAGTTAGAGAATCAATAAATAGAATGTTTTTATAAAAAATATAGTAAAAATATATTAGAACTCACATAGATAATGTATTACTATATTTTTTAATGTGTATACTTTTAAAAATTTTAAACCTTTGATCAATGCCTTAACATTTATTATTATTATTTTCTGAATTTTAACAACCAAAAGTAAAAAGTGCATTAAGAAGCTCACTAAATGAACAAGCTAAAAAATAATTTGATTTTGTAAAATTGCAAGTAAAACAAATATCGTGGCGAAAACAAAATGTTTTATGATTGCACTGTTAAATTGTAAAGCAAATTGAAAGGCAAAGGAATGTCTTCACATCTTATCATGGTATACAAAATTCTAATGAAAAATTGGAACCTTATGGTCTCTTTTGGCAAAAAATAAAGTATAACTTTATAGGTTAAAACCTTCCCATTAAAAGGAAGACAAATTTTAACTTGCACTTTAACTCAAATCAAATGTTAGTAATATATTTTTAACACACATTTACTGAAATTTATTAAAAATTATAAAAATTTTATTTCTTTACTTTAAATTAAATATTTTTTCTCATATATTTTTAGATTCTAATAAAATATAGATAAATAATAAATAATGCATTAAAAAATGTGTTAGCAAGTGTGTTATTAATATTACTCATTTATTTATGAATTGTTTTAGTATCATACTATTGTCTATTTTTTTATGTTTTGTAAGACTTTAATTTAAAATAATTTTTTTTTCAGGAAATTAAATAAATGATGATTTAATTTCTTATAATTATACGATGGCTAATGAAAAAACAAATTATAAAAAATGAAAAAGTAATTCTTATATTGCATTAGCTAACATTGTTATATATATATAGAATAGTTTTAATAGTATATGCTTTAATTGGAAGTGGTTTCGGCATTTAAACTTGTAAGATTGCTAATAAAATTCAAATAGATGACAATCAGTTTCTATTATGATAAACTTAATTATAGCTGTATATTATGTAATGGACTTTTTAAACAACATTTTTTTTATTACAAAATTTACATTAAAAATTGTTGTTTATGAAATGAAAAATGTATAGATTTATTTTAATGGGAGAAATACATTTTCTAAGATAAATTGTAATTATTAAAATATTAATATTTTTTAATAAACTGTCAAAAATAATATTTTATTTTTAAAGTATATTTCTTCATTTTACTAAAACAAGAAAGAAAAAACGCGTATTCATCTCGCTCATTATTCAAAATCCAATACGAATTCCATTTTTAATGTTTAGTATATTTTGTACTCGTATTAATCATTATGTACATATTTACAAAATATGTAAATAATTTTTTTATATTATTAATTTTTTAGAATATATTAGTTATAATATTAAATAATTTTTTATGTATATTACACTATATTTAATAAATAAAAAATTATAAATTACTTAGAAAATAAATATTTAGATCTTTATTTAGCATTTAAAAATTTTGTTTAATATTAATTTAGGTATTACAAAATTATGATATTAAATAAATTTTTCTAATGACATGAAGATAGTCATTTTATTAAGTTATATATTAAAATAAAATTAATTTTATATATTTTATTATTTGAAAAATTAATATTTTAAATGTTTAAAAATAGAATGAATATGTAATATAAAAAATATTTGATACTTACTACAATATCCATAAATTTGAAAAAATATTTTATATCATTTTTAGATCAACGTGTAATTCATTAAAAAATAATAATATTTTTAATTAAATTACTAATTTTATTATCAACAATACGTATAAAAAAAATATACTAAACTCTAGAATAGATTTGACTAATTTTAAAATACTAAAATATTATATTTAAAAAATTTTAAATTTATAACCATATTTGTGCATTTGGTTTTCTTAATATCATGATACTGACTAAATATATATAACAACAGATTAATAAATATTTTATTTTTATCCATTATTGATTCATGATAAGTGTTATAGGTTGATCTTAATGTCCAGTAAAAAAATTATTAAATTTATTAATATTTTTTTATAATTTTAATCACAACTAAAAATTTAAGAAATTAAAGATAAATATTTTTATTTAATTTTTATCCAAAATTTTAAATTTATAATGAATAAAATATTTATTTATAATAAATTTTATTTTATTCACTAATTATTATTATAAATATTTTTTGTTAAATTAAATAACCTAACCTTTTTTAACTTATAAAATTATCATTGAACTAAATTGAATAAAATTTATTTCAATATTATTTTATTAGGAATTATAAAAAAAAATATCTTAAAATAAAAAAAATCCAATAGATATTATATTAATGTATATATATTTTTATATTATACTGAATATATATATATATATATAACAAAAAAATTTGATATATTAATCATTGTTGTATTTTGAAAAGATTGAAATGCAAAATTTTTAAAATATATTAAAAAATAAATAATATAAGAAATTTAAAATTTTGAAGAAATGTCATGACATCTTTAAGGTGAAAAGATGTCATGATATTTGAGTTGAAAGAAATTAGGCATTTTTTTTTTTATAGTAATTTAACTTTTTATAATTTTTAACTGTTTTACCTTTTTATTTATACTAATGACAAATTTTGAGTTTCTATATTTTCATAGTTTTTTTTTAAAATTATTTTTCAAGATATATTATTCTTAAATATTATATAAAAATAAAAGACTAGAAATTTAGTTTATATATATATATATGGAGAGAGAGAGAGATCAATCTGGTTCGGAGAGGACTGAAGAGTGGAGTTGAGTGTGAAAAGTTGATTCAAGGATTCGATTCGTCTGTTGAGAGAACAATAATGATAGTAACTCCCGGAAAAACATAATAAACTTCGGCTACAACAAAACAACGCAACCTAGTACACTGTTCCTCTTTATATTAATTCAATTTAACATCACAAAAACAAACCCAGTTTTGTACTTTGTTCTCTCAAACACCCCAAAAGTAAAAAAACTGATCTTTTTGATGGAAGAGTCGCACCCATCAATAGCAGAACTCATTATGTCTCTGCAACAAGCAACTTACATGGCAAAACAGCTCTCATCAACAACAAACCCAACCCATCTCCACCAAATCCACTCTTCTCTCTACCATGCTCACCGCCATCTCTCCTCCTTCCTCTCCACCCTCCCCTCTCCCTCTCCGCCGCCACACGCCGCCGAAAACTCCCTCTCCTCCGCCAACGGCGCCGCCGAGCCCATGCAGGTGGAGGATGATGCTGTTGGTGGTGGTGCTGATGAAGAGACCACTTCGAAGTGCACCATTGACAAGGTTGAGGAGAAAATGAGGGACTGCTTCATCAAGAACAAGCGCCCCAAACGGCCCTTGTCGCCGTCCGCGGCGGCGGTCGTGGAGGAGAAGCGGTTGTCTGATGATGGGTTTGTGGGGCGGGTCAAGGACTATGATCCACATGCTATGAGGTTGAGGGCATTGGATCTTGTGTACCAGTTTCATGGCTAGTGTGACATGGATTACATGCAATGAATGGTGTTGTTAGTTTTATTATTATTATTTTTTGTTCTGGCTATAGAATTTTTAATTTTCATTTAGGAGAATTAATTTTGTTGATGTCCATGGTTCTTGGGCATAGATGATTTGGGGTGTAGAGTTGTTAGCTCAGGCTGCATAAGTTAATCAAGTGCTGTGATGCATATAAAAGTAGCATTGGCTTGTCTAATTATTTTTGTGCAAATTGTCTTCTTGGTTTTGTGGAAAGGAGAATTACAAATACAATTAACCATGATGCATCATTGTAATGGTTAACTGTTAGTAGATTATTGGTTATGATGGTAGCTAGATATTTAGTTATTTGATATTCGAACTCAAATGAAACATATAATAATTTTCCCTTTATGATGAGGTAAGCAACTGTTTCAGCTTCAGGAATAGATTGTTCTTTATTTACAGACTAAGTCTGGTGTGATTTCAGTCTAGTACACTGCCTCTGATAGCAGTGTTCTTTACAAGAATGTAGATTGCACAGGGGAGAATCCAGTCTAGGTATATTTCTCTGAATGGATATAATGGTTTGAACCTGCAATATTTCTTTCAGATATGAACATGCCCATATTCTTGAAACATCCATCAGATGAAGAAAACTGCTGGGAATCTAGTATGTCCCCAACCTGAAATGCCATAGCATAGCTCTCCTTAGAACTTTGATTCTCAATTTGAATCATATACTTCTGCAACGAGGAGCCTTATGAATATCTGAATCTCCTAGCCTTCTTCTGCTTGTGGTTGCTCTTCAATTTCATAGTAATTCAGATTGCTACTCTTTGGCAATCAAGTTATGCAACTTTACAAAATCATCCAATGTTAGTTCCTCAGGTCTTGACTGTAAACATCAGAAGCTCAGCTGGGTCAGCATTATCCTTGAGAAACTAATTATCAGGACATGTGTGGTTTAGTGAGGGCATGAAAATAAAAACAAAAATAGAAAGAGTAGCACACACTGGTCACTTACAGTAGCTAGAAGACCTATGCTTGTTAAAGCTTCTTCGATCTCAAGGGATGCGGATATGTGCTGAAGTGACTTGCGAAGCATCTTACGCTTCTCATTGAAAGCTGAATTAACCTATAAAAATCCGTAGAACTTAAGTGTCATTAGAATGATGGAAGAGGTGTGACAGTATCTTGGGTTACAGTAGCTAGGAAGGAAACATAAGCAAATGGAACTCAGTAATTCATGCATCATTGAATATTTATAGTACAGTAAGACTTGGAATGAAATTAAAGGTGAAGATACTTAGAAACTCAATGCATGACTGACAGTACGTGCAGGAGAAAGGGGTACCATTGAGAAGAAGCTTTTACTGCAAGAAACTTGGGGATATTCTGATGGTAGCTTCAACTTGAATGAGACCACGGCCGCATCAACCTACACAATATGAAAATGAGTCGGATATTGACAATATATAGGAGCCTTTACCAATTTGACCTGCTGTATTGACATTTTTTTGTGTCGTTTTTTTATGCCTATATAAAATGATTTTCTTCACTTATATTACCAGTAATATGTTTCACTTTTTTGCAAACGAGTTGCATCGGAGGCATAACATACATTAAACCAAGAATCATATATTCAAGCAGTGCCAGTCTTATACTCTGGATTATGCTTAATAAATCACGTAAAGATGAGAAACAGTGAAGCTTTTAGTAGGGGATATTTTATAATTTATTTGTTCGGAAATGCATTAAAACAAAATGCCGCAATCAAGATCATATAGGCACATTTAAATATCAGATCACTTACATTAGGCTGAGGGAAGAAATTTGTTCTTGGGACTTTAAATTTGTACTCTGGATCTGAAAGGAAAGTCAGAACTTCAGCATAAAATTAAGCAATTTGTAGGCAATGATGGATTACAGCATCTCTGGTTGCGTATTGATGTATAACTAAATCCTTGAAAAACCACATGCAAAGCAGTAAAACAAAATCTTTACAAACATTTGCTTGATTTACAGCTCCAGGTACTGTAAATGCTATCACAGGTTAAAGACAGGTTTGAGAGTTCAAAAATTTCTTAATTGATTCAGCTATACAGGTTTTATTTGATTTATTGTAAGAAAACTTATGATATGATCCATGATTCTAAAAGGATAGCTCAATATAACACTAAACTACTGTGTGCAGAATATGTACCTGAGTAGAAATTAACAAATACATTGATGGGACGATACTCGGGGGTCCGGAGTGATGACTCTACCAAGCGCATGGCGGTCTCCTCCTGCAATGGTTTATCTGTTTAGTGATAATTGTTATCACATAAAGTTTCCCTTATTATTGATAGAGGTAATCTCATTCCATTAGGTTAAAACCTTGTCATTTTTTATTTTCAAAGGGGTGTTAATTTTACGGATAAAACGCCAAAAGAATTAAAACAGTGAACCTTAAAAGGAAGGCTGATAGAAACTGGTCATCAATTCCTGGTAGTGGATTTACCATAGAAGACGAAGAATTGAACAGAAAATAGGTAACAGGGTGTTCAAGAGAGTCAGAGACTGCACTGCCCTCAATCTTCTCAGCATTTTTCCTTACCCTTCTATCTTCTTCCTTCTCCTTTTATATCCATACACAGATCAAACTTTCCCTTCCAATTAATCTTGATTGCTTCATTGGAAAACTGTCTTAAACATTCCCTACCTGAGACTCAGATCCTCTTCCTTTTTTTGAGTTTTTCCTAGTATACAGTTAGTAATTGGTGGTTTCCCAACAGAGGTCTATTCTCCCATCCTTGTGAGCTCTGGGGAAGGTGAGATTTAAATAGCCTTACCATGTAATCAAAGAGGCCATTTCTGTGACTCTAAACCCACAATCACTAGATCACAAGGAAACGACCTCATAGTATGCTGAGGTTCGCACTTCAAAGCATACATGACCTTTGGATATCTTCAGAATTCAGGCACTTAAGTCTCTCTTGATAAAGAAAAAAAGGCACTTAAGCCTATAAGTTAATTAAGTTTCACCAAGGTCCTTTGTAAAATAATTTCAAATAATTTGACCCTACCTTCAGCTTTCTAATTTCTATAATTTCTCTCGTCATTCTACTAAAGTTTTGTATGCTTTGGTTGGTAATACGGATCAAGATGCACAAACAATTGAACATGAGAAGCACTTAACCTTCAGATCAAGAATATTGGGCAGATAGGTGATTGAGTGATAGGAATGGAAACATCAGGGGTAAGGAGGTAATGAGAAAAACTAAAATTAGATAATAAATTATATAAACACTAGAGAGTTATCAATTCTAACCTGGAGCAATAGAACCACTTCTGAGAAAATGTCACCCATTGGAAGAAGTAGTTTGATCACATCTGTACTGATATTAAAGGGAATGTTTGCAACCACCTGAAAACAACATACAATAACAGGCCAATTCAGGATTTACATCACAATAAAGATCGACTGCATGGATCACACGTTCCATGTCAAAAATCAAATTCTTTGATATAATATTCATTATTAGATCCTTTTTAATAATTTATTATAAAGTTCTTTTAAGTCTTCCTCTATCCCTCTTTTACTTGACTATAAAGTCATGGTACTCACTGCCTCTAGTAACTTTCTTTGCACATATCTAAACCACTTCAATTGATTTTTTGTATTTTTTCCACTATAAGTCATACTTTCTTTGGCAATCAGGGAACACCAAAACTTCATGGTTAAAATATAGCTACCTAGTTCAGAAGTTAAGTTATCAAATTAATTTATATAGGTTAATGATACGAAAAGTGGAAGATCACATCAAGCGTGAACAAGCTAGCATATATAGGTCCAAATTGTCAAACAGGAACTAACCCATTACACCCACTGAAGCTCCCTGCTACCCGTGCAAAGTGAAAGATATGTTTTCTAATTCTTACAGTGATGAGTGAAGCAGAATGTTAGGGTCAATTTATAACATCCTTAATTTTACTGTTTTTAGTTATTGTCTAAAATGCTTGTGTGATTTTTCTAGAGAGGCTGCATTGAACTAAAATGCGATCCTTTAGAAAAGGTTGTTATTTATAATATTTTTTATTTTGCTGTACTTTTTAATTGCTTAAAAGTGAAATTTCAAAATTGTCTGTTTACAGTTAAAAAAATTGTCCGGATGTTAAACCTTTGAAGGGACTCACTTATATATATATATATAAGCAAGAGAGGGAGGCTTTGTTGGTTTTTTTTTGTTTTTTTTCCATTTCTTCCTCCTTCCCAGTCAATTCCCCACTCCTCTCTCAAGCTCTCATTCTCTTCTTTCCTCATAATCCACTCCTAAGCTCTCATTTTTCTTGAAAATCAAGGGTATCCAGTGTTGACAAGCACATTGGGTGAGTTTTCTTCTTCCTCTAAGCTTCACTTTCTTGCATTTTTTGGGGTTCTTCACACTGTTATTGTTCACAGAACAATAAAAGTGTTTAAATTGTGTTTTTGGGTTGTTTTACATCTCATTTGGCTTACCCATACACAGGCCTATATCATCGGAGTTGTTTGGCACCTAAACACTTAATTTTTCCATGAAAATTTCACCATTTTTTAGCACTCTTCTCGTGGTTATTGTAGCATGAACAGTAGCTATGGAGAGATTGACAATTTTTGAGCTATTTTTGTGTTCCGTTTGACTCATTTTGGCTTACCCATACCTGAACCTATATTATTGGAATTGTCTGGCATCTAAAACTCTTGATTTTGATAACTTTTGAGCATAAAAAACTTGAATCTTGTTATTCCATTACTATTCATATCCAAAAATTGCAAAGGGTTGTTCCTCTTTGATTTTTTGCTTTATACAACTTCCTTTTGGTTCTTATCATTGGTGTACATGTTAATTTAAATTTCCTGAGGGTCATGGACTCCTTACTTGAGCATTCTAGAAACTATATTAATAATAAAAACTTTGTGTTCAATTAATTCAGATTATGTTTGCTAGTTTAGAAAGTATAGTCCTCACTTTTGCATTTCTGGTTTCTGGATCTGTTTCCTTTATGCTTCCAACAAATGATGACATATGAGAGCGCACATGACATTTGACAATATCCTCAGTCAAAACCTACAGGTGTTTTTACCAAAGTTCAACATTAATCATGTTACTACAGCAAAACCAGTCCATAATTTTAGCTTAAAAATCAGATATGTGAGACAGACATTGGAAGATAAAATATAGTCAGGCAAATGAACGAACTGAAGTAAAAATAAACTGCAATATCAAGAATTATGCAAAGATTACAAGACTCTGCCTCCAACAATGAAGACCAGACAAGGAGTATTGGTAATACAAATAATGTCAAGATATATTATTGATTAGTGCTATAAGTCACTGGATTTCAACGTTAGACAACATCAGCTAGAAAAACTATAGTGCATGTTCAACTTTTATCTATAATATGGTAAGTGAATTTTATCTTGAATCTAGAGAAACCTATTCTGCATCTCATCAAGAAGACTATAGGCAAGCAAAATAACGTTCAAAATCACCATGAGTTGTACCTTCAACTTTCCCGTACTGGAAAATCTTTCATTTACGAGGGCAGCCATGTGTTTATCCTGAATCATATGAAAGATAGAAGAGCAGAAATTTGAGCATAAATAGTCAGCGATGAAGATTCACCACTCTTACATATCACAAAGTTGGAAATTTTACACAACCAATGGTGTGATCAATAATAATATTTAAATTATTGAGGTATAAAAATTAATAATGACACAGACCAAAAAATACATATATAAACTCATATTGCAAACGCGTGCAACTAACTGTCTCCATGTTGACAAAATGCAAAGAAACTACAACCCATGAAAAGCATGAGGGTGTGTGAATCATTGTATTTAGTTAGTTCTACTGATGAAAAAAACCATCAAACCTTCTCAACAGCAAGAACAAATGCACCAGAATTAAGAAGAACATTAGTCAAGGAACCAGTTCCAGGCCCAATTTCCAACACCACATCACCTTCTTCAACACCAGCCGCGCCAGCAAGTTGCTCATTTATGTCTGAGTTCAACATGTAATGCTGCAAATTACATCAACACACCCAAATGAGCAAAAACTTCAAACGCATTCCAACAACCCCCCCCCCCTCACACCCACCACACGTTCGATAATACTCCCCACTGGAGAACCCAAACGATTTCCACAAAAATCACTTCCAAACAACATAACAGTTGGAAAAAAATTTTGGGATTTTGAAGTGCTACAGCACAAAAATCAGGTCAAAGAAAGCACCCCAGCAACACATCCACCCTCTGTTCGGTGAAACGCCCCAACGAAGCCCCTTACAATTTCCAAGGTAACCACCTTCAAACAAGAAAAAATATTGGATTTTGGAGCGCTACAACAAAATGGTCGTCCCAAAACTTTTCGGGAACCATAACAGAAGAGAAAAAGAGGGGAACCTGGCCAAGAGATTTTCTGGGGAATCTGCCTTTGGAGTTGAGAGCTTTGAGAGTGGCATGGTAATCATCTGTGCTTCGTGTCGAACTTCTGCTGTTTCTTTCAGCGCATTCTACGTATAGCGTTCGCCGCCGTGCGCCGGCGATGCTATGGTGCGCCGGTAGTGGCAGTTTCTGGCGGCGGTTTAGCGTTGTGGCGTAAGATATTGGCGGGAGCGTTTGAAGAGAGCATAGCGATGAAGAACACATTTTTTTTCCGTTGTTCGTTACTTCCGTTGCTATCTGTTTAGAAACTTCCCAGATATTGTAATGGTTTGTCAAAGTGATGTCAGAACTTAAATAACTTCGTTTCAGGTAAATTAATAAAATCAATAAATTATATTAAAAAATATTTAATTTTTTTTGTAAATAAAATATTTTTAATTCAGTTAAGATAAATCATTATCCTATAAAATAACTTAAAAACAAACTCTTATTATTATATACAAATACTACAGTGTTGTCTTTTTTATTCTCTGTTATTTTTACTTTAATTAAACCCTTTGTTTTAAAAAGAACGATAACAGAGTTATAAAATGAGTGATAAGATAAAAAGAAAGAGAGAGAAAAATATTGTTGTAAAAATTTATATATTATTACGCATACTTCTATTTTTTGAATTACTACAAAAACCTATCTTTGAGTTTTTTTTAATTAAAATACATTTTTAAAATGTGTATATAATATACTTATTTTTTCATAAAAATTGATTTCAGAAATGTTTCTTAGAAGACACCTTTAAGTGTCTTTTTTTAATTGAAATATATTTTCTAAACACGTGTACATTAAATATAAAAAATAAATGAGAAATAAAATTAATGAAATAAAGCATGAAATTTCATTTTTTTTGTGCTTTTCAAATATTAAGTATTAGGAATAGTAAAAAATTCAACAAAAAATAAAAAAGGTAATCAAAAAACAAATACCCTGTTCAATCTAATTGATAAAAAATATCTGTCACTGTTTATTTTTATCTAAAATATAAGTAACAAAAATTTATTTTAAATTAGATTGATTATTAAATTCTTTGTCTTTATTTTATTATAAGATTTATATTAAAAAAATGCTCATCTATTACCTCCTATATACTTGACTACACTCATTTATTTAATGCTGGCCTTATTCATTTGACTATTTACTATTAGGTGTATTTTTAGAATGCACTATAAATTTATGATATATAACAACTTTTTATTGATCTTGATAAATTAATTATTTGTTTTTATAAATAGAATGGAAGAGAACATAACAAAGCAAGGTTTTTACAAGAAGAAAGAGAGAAACGGAAAACACAATTGCAAACCACTGTTTGATTGCACCTGTATTCTCACTGGCATGTTCTCAACTGTAACAAAATCACAAGGTCCACAGGTCATTACAACTCTTGTCAGTGCTTCAACATTTTGTTCATAGTGCAGTGAGATTCAAAGCTCAAACATATGTACACACTAGTCAAATAAAAGGCGGCGCCTCACAGATTTTGAAAGATTAGAACTTGACATTTTCCTTCTCATTTTTGAGCCTCCATTGTCTATGATATCAGCATTCTTGGATGACTCTTCTCCTTGTTTTGATTCATGCCTAACTTTGGTTGATGGGTAGAACTCTGTAATGTTTAGTTGGATGCTTTTTGAGTTTGGTGATGCTGACTTTTCATTTTCTTGAGATCTTGAGGTTGAACTCTTTCTTCTTTTCAAATCCTTCAATTCCTGCATATGTCAAGCACCAACATTTCCTTAGACTCGTCAAGCTTGCAACAACATAAAGGGTAACAATGCCTGAACAGTAGAAGTAACTTCCATGTCCTCCTAGTTGGAACGATTCACAGACAAGAATTCTTCATTTCACATGAAAAAAGAAAAAAATGTTCATCTTCTGCCCCATCTTTACAATAAATTATGTAATATGTAAACCTGATTTTGATCTCAGCTCAACAGAAATGCATAAATTATGTAAATGCCCTTAGTAAACTATATTGCTCCCTAACCAATAATAAATCCCATATGCATATTTGATGAGGTAAATATAAAAAAGACAATCTAGAGGTAAATATTTCCTACTTGGAAACAATTAACCACTTAAGTGGTGTATTAAGTCAATAAAAGGTCATTATAAAGAATGTATGAATATAAAAATGACAAAGGAAAATATAAATAAAAAATAGGCTAGATGGGAAATAAAAAACACCTGCTCCTGCCAAAACCTTTCAACTTCTGATGGAAAAGCAGCTCCTACAAGGTCCATATTTTCATCTGTCAACAGAAAACTAGATCCATCATCTTCATGAATTTCAGGTACATCAGAGTCATCCAGTAGATTCACCGTTTCATCGAGCTCTGCAACATCTTGTTGCTCGCCAGATTCCTTTGATGAAGCTTTAAAGGCAATGTTGCCCACACAACGTTTCCACTTGACCACATAAAACTGGTATCCATATCTCATTTTCACACGTTTTAAAGAATCAAATTCATATTGCCCAAATAACAAATCTTCTACTGTAGTTGTAGCCATATTTCTTAAAAAGATCGTCGACATCACAGGAAACATCATCCGTCGAATGTAGGATGGATCCCAGTGCTGATGAAAGTTTAAAAAATCAATCAACAACTCAATATTGGGTTTTTTCCATTCGATGTGAAGGCCATCATTTGCTGCCAAAAAAGGTATATAAATATAAAATGAATGAATACAAAAGCAACCCTACCAGAGTAATACTATTAAGAAAATGTCATTGATAGCATTCATCTCACAGTTTAACATACCAGAAAAGTAACCATTGTCATTGCATAAATACACATCAATGATTTCATCACTGGGAAAGTTTGGTTCCTCTGCAATCTTTTGACAAATTTTTGCATGCCAATTTTCCTGTCTTTTCTGCTCCTTGTGGCTTCTATTCTGTCAATCAAATATTATATTGAGCTACAACATGTTAGCAATGTTTAATTCAACCAAAAGTAAAATAATAAATTAAAAACAAATCAGTAATGTGGCATTCTGAAATACTTTTTTAACAAATCATGGACAATGACCAAAGTGATTGAGAGGCCATACCAAAACACAGGAGAAGCAATCACATTTAAAACCCTCTGGTTTTCTCAGGCAACCTTCATCATCCTTTGTAACACAATATTCACAGGGAAACTTCATATGATCTCTTTTGGTGCCTGGATGCCCACAGAATGAGCAGTGAGGTTGTTTTTTACTTGGGGAGTTCCCATCCATGTCCAAATAGTCCTCGGATTTAATGCTAGTGGGAATTTGTGAAGCATTCCCTTTCCCTATCTCGTGCAATCTACATTAAAGACCATAGTCAATCTAGACTGTTAAGACCGCAAAAATTTAACCATAGTCTCACTACACAATTTCATTCCTATACATTAATGTCAAGATATAATTGAGTTTATTGAAATGGATAGAAAACCCTTGAGCTCATTAAATATTTCAATAAAAATTGGGTAAGTTACAAACACCTTCATGGAGAAGGAAATCAAGAGGGACCTTATCACATTAGGTTCCTTAAATAAGGGGGGAAATTGTTAAAATTTAAAATAAATGTTTTAGTAATTTGTCCCATCTCAAGAGGGTATTCTATAGCTTTTAGAAATTTCCGATGATATATATGTTTATCATTCTGAAGGATTTATACCTATTCAATATATCATCTTCATTAAAAGCTTTAACAAAATTGAGAGCAGTATCAAGCCCAATCCCTCGAACACCATTCATATCATGATCATTTCCAACCAAAAGAGAGATAGCTATTAAGTGTTTCCTCTTCAACCCAAGCCCAGCTTCAATATCTGACATATTGTAGCATTCAAATGGTTCCTGCATGCAATGAATTTCTCAAACGTGCCATGAACAGGAAAGGAAATACATCATATGAAATTTCTAAAATATGTGAAGAGGCAAAGGATGAGAGATGAAAATTATAGTGTTTCAAGCTAGGTGGGTGAAATGTGCCTCTTCAGCTAAATGGATAATCATACTGCACAACTATAAGAATGGCAATATGTCAATGGCACTGAATGTTTGGTAGTAAAGTTCAAACAATAGCATGATAAGGGTTGTGATGATGAGAAGGACACATTGAATGAGTAGTTACATAATAAAAGACATATCAGTAATGAATGTATTAAAGAGAAAGCAGGAGTAGCATCTATGAGGTAAAAGTGTGTATAATCTCACGCCTAAGATTGATATGTCGTGTGAGGAAAATATCAATAGAAGCTTGAGGCTAAGAAAAGTTGACTTTGACTACATGGAGGGTATCTCAATGACTAGAAGTAGATGAAGACCGAGAAAAACCCTTTATAAAACCATTAAAATGGACAGAGATCTAAATGGCCTCCATGAAGACTTGGTTTTAGATAGAATACAGTGGCGTTGTTAATCCATAAAGCTGATTGCACACAACGGAAAAAAAAAAATTGCAGTTATCATATACTAAACTATTTCTTACACACTATATTTTCAAAATATGTTAAATAAAAAAATGCAAGCTTTCACAATGGAGGGATATTTGAGTAGATACACATAGATATATAGAACTGTAATTTCCAAGTTTGTCTTTTGAGCAGAAGAAGGTGCTTCCGGGGTTTGTAACTGTCAAGATAGTTCAAAGGACATTACAATTCAAATAAACAAGTGAAACTTTTAACTAAATGTGTGGTATCAATCAAATGCTGACATTGCTCATTGCAGAGTTATACGGTTACAGAAAATACCAAGGTGTACATTGAAGTGCCTTTGATACATATCATAAATTTAACCTAACTATATCAGGCCAAATAATAGTAAGTTTGGAAAAAGTACACTATAAAAACTCAAAATTCAAGTGATCAGCCAATATTGATATCTAGATTCATGATACCATTTAGTAAAAGTCATCAGGCATATAGAGAGAATAAGTCATATGTATCACATAGATAATTCATATTTTATAAAATAAGTTGCCAAGAGATAGAATGCAATATAGAGAGAAAACAATGAAGCTTGTGTCACTTACTTTGGAATTGGGACAGAAACATTTTATAATGCTTTTGGCCCCGAAGAGGAATGCATCACTGTCAGATGTGATGCAAGCATCAACATGACCTTCACTATTTAATTGAGCACAGAGTGCTTCAGCCTCTCCTTTAGCCTTTAGTACAGGCATTCCAAGTAGCTCAACAAGTTCCTATCACCGGAGAACAGGTAACTATCAAGAAAGGCCTTCCTAAAGAACTAAAAAACAAATACGACAAACCTGCATCCATATCTGGCAAAGTAAGTAACTAAAAAAAGTGTTCTTGATATAAGATATAAAAGAAAACATTTAGAAAACAAATATGGATGAATGCACATGTGTAGCAGCTAAATGCCAAAATATAATCAGCAGAATAATTTCAAGTTAATGGTAACTATTAAGTTAAAAGAAATATCGCACCACACATTCTCGAACACAACTTGAAAACAAACTGTTCCTCTTAGCTGAAACACCTTCTTCTGGCACTGGCAAGCTAGTCAATTCAATGCCAGAAGACCGGAAATATCTCAAGATCCTGGCCTGTGATTTCAATGGCGATGGAGTCCCATCAACAACAAACACTGGAAATGCTCCAAACTGCAAAAATCACCATATCATCATCATCATCATCATAATCAAACATCATTTCCATGTTTTGTTTGACTCTTCCATGCTAACTTAACATACACTATTAAAAATAACAGAACTAATTTAGATAACCACCATCACAATGTCACTCCATTGAAGTACAACCATAATTAAGCATTTAGTCTCAATTGGTGTTACTTAAAAATAGCCATACTTAAGCAAAACCAAAAAGGTAATAACACATTTTAACACATTCATTTGATTAAACTAACCAATTAATCTCCTTTTCCTAATTCAATAAAAAGGGTTATAGAAAAACCATTTTCTCCCCTAAAAGGCAAAATCCTCTAACTTTATATCACATTATCTACCATCAAGCAAAAGGGTAGAGAACCTTAGAGAAGAGATTGATGGTGCGAAAGAAGGTAAGCCTAAGATGAGGTTTCCTGACACGGGTCTTGATGGCAGTCTCATGCACAACAATCCAGAAGGAAAGGTCAACAGCAACTCGCTTGTTCCTCAAGAAATCAAAACCCTCGTTGCGCGCATAGGGTTTCAGAAGGTCCCAGAAATTACTACCAACTCCCATTGTGTTCTGCTTACTTACGAAAATGAGTACGCAAAAACATCATCAAAATTCAAACTTGTTAGTTAACTCAGTGAACGAGTACTGTGCTAGGTTTTTTCTTTGGAAGAAGACGAGACGAAGTGTGTGTGTCTCCGTTATTTTTTTGGTAGTGTACGAAAACTGAAAATCTAGCCGTTGGGTATTTCTACCGTTACAGAGAACTTGATGTTTTTGTGTGTGAAAAATGGCTGATAGTTCAAAAGCCCATTTGGGTATATTGGGCTTAGTGTTGCTTATATTCTACTGTGGGGAAAATATTAAATGTGTATTTAATATAAACTATTTTTAAGGTAAATTTGAATTTTCTTTATGTTTAATTTAAGTTAAAAATTTATTTTGTGATAAAATTTTTAAATACAGAAACGTACATAGATCTTTAAAAGACAAATAAACATGTAATTTGAAAATGGTACAAATAAAAGTGTGATGCAACAATAGTAACAGGAGCACAATTAATCATGGACATAATAAAATATTAATTATGTATTGAATTGTATGAAATTTTATAAATTTAATCTTTTCCATAAGAAATTTTAATCCATAGTCCATCATTAAAATAGATAAAAATATACCATTTATACATTTATTCAAAATATAAATTTCCTAAAACTTATAGCAAGTGTCAATGGATTTTGTCCCACGAAAGTAATAGCAATATGAATATTATAAACATAAGTTGGTTCATTAGACTTGAAAAACATTTGGATTACTCTTATTTTATTTAAATAGGCTTTTAAATAAAAAAAATCATTAACTTAAACTTTTTTATAATAAATAAACATAAGCTAAACCATGCCTAATGTGATTCAAGTCATAGGTTACTGGCAAATCCTTGTTATAATAGATGTGTGTATTATGTATGACACATTTTAGTTTAGAATAAGTTAGGTATATAATATCTACACCCACATTTATATTTACAAAATTTTAGTGATAATTGTTTTTATTTTAAACTCATTTGATTTATAAAAACCTAACCCTTCTGGGTAATTTTCATGAGGGCTCGATGGATCTGAATTCAATTATCATCTTTCTAGAAAAAAAAGGTTAACGATTAATAGAAGCCACTTAATTATAGAAAAATTGATACATAATTATGTAGTTATAGGCATTTCCCGATTGAATTCTTATTATATTTTACAAACCTCATTTTTCATTATCCTTGTTTTCATTTTAAAAAAAATATATAAATAATACACTCTCTAACACACTTTCTAATACCCCATTTTACTAATTTTTTGTTTGTCTGACTAACATAAAAATTTTGATGGTTAAATATTGCTCCTACATCATACTTGGGACTTAATTCCCCTTTATTGTGATAAAATGTATTGCCCTTAAGCATAGTTAAGTATGCAAACACTGCATCTTAATAGAAAATGTTAAAGCTTTAATTAGCCATAAAATATTGAGATGCTTATTTATTTAATTGATGTTAATCCAAGGCATATATTACCATTAATTGTGAATATGTGAGTAAATTGAATTATAATATAAGCGAACTTTACTTATTCACAAGAGTTCACATTAACTTGTTTGAAGTCTACGTAGTTAGAGTTATATTACTAAGGGTAAATCATATTTCTCTTTTCCACGTTTAATATTATTTTTTGTTAATTTACCCCAAATTATTTTAATTTATGTAACATAATAGCATATTATTTTATTCAATTTATATCAAATTAATTAGAGTTGGCTTTTATTTAACAAATTTTGAGTATTCTTATATTTACCGTAATAAATCTCTTCTACTTATAAAAAAAATTCTCTTAATTATATAAATAGACTCTTATGCAATTATATAAATTCAGAAAGGTTAAAATATAAGAAAATTGAATAAAATTTTGTTAAATTTTAAAGATTATAAATGTAATTTATTCCATTTTAAACATTTGAATCAAACCAGTTTCTTACTGAAAAAACAATTGCTCTCACACACATACATATAAGATATGATTAAATGATACTAGACGTAAAATTTAGTAAATATTTTTTTAATCAAAAGTATATTTAATCAATTTAACTATTAAATTAAAAAGTTTTTACAAAAAAATTCACACAATTTCATAAATAATTAATACATTATAACTTCATTTTATTTCAATATATCAGACAAATTAATCTTAAACTTATTCATAGATAAGTCTTACTTAATATCAATTTGTTGGATAACGCATGTGAAAGTATAGTTACCTATAAGTAAAATATTAGCCCAATTAAGATTGTTAGTGATGGATGGAACTCAAATACTTAATATTTTGGAGAAGTATAAAAGACTTGGTTCTTCTATTATTTAATTATATGTACCATTTACTCATGTTACAAGCAAAGATATTTTTTTACAACATGTTAATATAAAGGAAGAACAAGAGTTCCCATAACTAAAGGCACTTGCATGTGCTTTGGTAGAGTGAGCAACAAGCTCCTTCAAAACTCGAGAAGTAGCCATGTTTACGTAACGTGTAAAATGCATTTGTTTTTGAAGGCTACTATCTTCATTCTTCTAAAATGCATTTGCTTTCTAAATGGTAGCATCGTAATGTGTTCATTCTTCAAAACTTCCAAATTCGAGAGTCCCACCATTTCACACTTTAGAACATTTTCTAATTACATGCATATTTTTATATAACAATAATGTGATTTCAAGTGACATAATTATAAATGTGATATTTCACCACTTGCATAGGAAAGAAAAGTGGTGCTATCATTCCAAATGGTGTTATTTTAATGAAAAAACCATAATTTAATAGTAAAATGATATAATTATAATGTAATTTTGGTGCCAGAATTATAAATGTAAACTCACAAGTTTATCTTAAAAATGAGTTTACATGAACTTATACAACTTTACGAGTTAAATTGACAATTTAACAATCATGCTCAATGTTACATGTTGAGTTGAAATAATTCTTTTCTTTCGTCATCGTTTTGTTAATTTAAGTTTAAGTCTTGTTCTTTATTAATAATATATTTTTTCCTTTTCAAAATAACCTTAAAAAAAATCAAATGAAAGATTTAACGTGTTCTTTTTTGTTGCGTTTTCATGAAGGGTGACACAGTGTTGATTAACTTTTCCTAATTGTTTTATCTGAAAATTGATTAGCACTCAAATCGTTTTGTTTGAATTTGACTCTACTTTTTGTTCATTAAACTAAATCCTAAACCTCTTTAATTTATAATAATAATTAAGAAAACATGGACCGAAGTGTGCGTAGGAGCTTTCAATTCAAAGAATTCAAATGCTAACCATTCAACCGACATCTTCTTGTCAACCAAAGATCTGTCTTGTGTTATTCATACTTTCATTTAAGTTATTTATTGGGGGCAGTTTTTCAGCATTTTTTTTCTTACTATATTCTTTACTCTAATTCCATTGCATCATTACTACTTAAGCCTAATTTCAGTGACTTAATTTTAATTAAGTTGAAACGATTTATTGACAATACAAAGAAAAAAAAACAATGTTCTTGAAAATCCAAAATCAACCATTGTTTCTGGGATCTGGCCCAATGTGTATAACTAATATTTTTATTATGAATATAGCATCACTCATTTTAAATAATAACTTAACTTTATGTCCTTACGTATCTTATATAACTCATTAAAACCTGCATTTTGATTAGTTCTTTTAAGATGATATATATAAGCATAAATTGCATAAGCTATATTTGTTCTATTACTTTTATATTAATTTGTGAATTTTCTTTCATATTTATAAGTTTTGGCTATAAATAAATGGTATGATTCCTATCAGATTATTGACATTTTAGGATTGAGGGATAGAGACACAAAACGAGGATGAGAAAGAGGACCATCATGGTTGAGCCTTAGCGCTTTGACATATGACGTGACCCAAACGGAACACCACTGATCAATTTGAGGAGAAAAGTGGATTAATTTTTAATGAACATTGCTATGAACGTATTTTTTTAATTAATTTAAAGAATGAATATTCCATATTTTTAGTTAAAGAATGTCTTAATGATACAGATCTTGTTACAATTCTAAATTCAAGAAAATATTTTATATTCTTTTTAAATTAATAGTTTTGATTTCTCTAATATTTTAAGAATGAGACATTATTACAACTAAATCACTAATTTTATTATCTATAAATATAAAATTAGTAATTATGTTATTTACCGTATAAAAAAAGTAAAAAATATTTTTAATTATAAGAGATAAAGTAGATTTTACCTGTTAACTTTCTTTATTTAACTGTTTAATTAGTAAAGACATAATTTGAATATTTAATTTAATAAGTATTTAACTAATTTTTATATGAGATATTTATAATTATTTTAATTATAAAATTTAACAATATAAACTATTTTTTTTATAAGTTATTTGTAAACTTTTAAACGGCACTACAGTCTCAATTATTTTCCTCGAGTCTTGTTTGTTTCCCTTACTAAATTTTTATTCTTTTGTGCAACGTGTCACACAAGTTGAACGCATAAGATCTTTTATATTTGATAATGAAGTTCTCAAGTAAATTTTGATAATGAATATTAATTACTTCACACCAGTAATTTATGGTAAACTTACACCTAATGTCAATGAATTCTATCCTCTATATATATATATATATATAAACTTTGGTTTTGCCTGAATTAAACTTCAACAAAATTTCTAGATATGTTTAAAGAATAGTTCCACGATGTTTAAAGATATATAATAAAAAGCATATATACTAAAGTTTTATTAAAAATACATGATATATATTACAAAATTTAATACCATTAATAATATAATTTTGAATAAAAGTGAATTAATGTTTAGTAGTTTAAAGCTTAATCACATGTTAACAAAAGGGTATCTGGAAAAAAGGAAGGTTGAGTATTGTGTCGGCAATAGTTGAATTTGAACACAGCGAGAAGATTCTTGATCACGAGGGAGGAGATGAAAATGAGGGACCAATATATTTGTTTTTTTCTTCAAACCCAAACGTCACCGTGTGAAGAAAAATGCCACTTGGAAGCACGTTTGGAACGTGCTTTTGAGGACACGTACCCTAAAGCCTAAGGCAAAGGGACCTTCACAATTTACAAGGAAATTGGTGAACTCAATATTACAAGCCTCAAGACTTTGTTCCTATCAAATTTATGAATATCAAATGCTTACATCGGTTACTACTTCATACAACACATTCATGAACTCGTAAACTTTAGTTTTAAGCTAAAATAATTATGAAATTTTAAATTATTTGTTATATTCAACGCTTATTTATATTTAAATTATTTTATATTTGCAATGACTTTGGTCAATTTTTCAAATGTCTATTTTTATTTAGAATTTATGTTTTTATGCTGATTTTATAATTAATATACTTTTGCATTATATGTATAATTTTTAAAAATGTATCACATGTTTTGTACATGTGACTTGTATCTTATTTGTGCTTTACAACTATTTACTTAACTTTTCAAATTTAAACATAAAAAAAAATTATAATGGTGATCATAGATATATTAAGTAGTACACGACTACACGTATTGTTAATTGATGCAACTAATATGGCCATACAAGCATAATCACGACGTAATACACTTAGGATGATCCCTACAAGTTCCTCTTTTTAATTTATTATAAAATATTTTATAATTTTTTATAAAATATCTACTATTATTTTTACTTATCTTTAATAAATAAAGTTGGTGTAAGTTAAAACAACAAAAATTTGAAAATATTTACTTTAGAAGTTGTGATTTATCATCTCAATCATGTTTTTCTTGTGTCGAGCACAGGAAAACAATGATGAAATTCACACTCATTCATGTCATGATGAGTCAATAACCTATATCTCCTTAGATCTTAACATGATACTTGGTTTTGCACCTTTTTTTTTGTGTGTGGCAATGAATGAATTGAAAGTTGAACAATGATGTTTGCTAAAAAGGACACGTAGAAGATGTAAGTTGTATCCTAGGATGTAAATTGTAAGATGATAAAGACTTCCATGGATGATATCACCATAGAGGTTGTTGAAGAATGCCAATAGTGATATTAGAACTTCAATAGTAACAGTAGCGGCAACTGTTGAAACTTTCCAGGAAGTGTTAACATTAGTGTCTTTAGGTTCTAACTCTCAAAGTGGACTCATTACTTTAGATGGTCTCAATCAAAGGTTTATTACCAACATAAAAGGAAGGGTCTTAGCATTTGCATTCATTTCTCAATAAAGAAAACTCTAATAATTTAAAAGTAAATTTGAGAATATGGATGCTGAATTTTTTTAATGAAATTTCTGGTTCAATTTGAGCATTGAAAATAAACCATGTAGGAGGAATATTGCTTTAATTTTGGTGAGAATTTTCAAGTCTAATTGTTTGTGATTTCAAGTGCTAACTAATAAGAACCTTGCTTGTCATGAAGCCCTAACGAGGCATATTGCCTTGACAGAAGCACATATATATTTGTGATTGAGAGACCATGCAAAGGACCATTAAATATAGCATCCTTATCTTGATGCAAGGCTTGGTGATTGTATGGAAGAAAGGGTACCTACTCCTACATTGTTGAGCTTCACGGATAACGCAAAGAATGCTATTAGATTGTTCTTCCAAGGCTTCCCTTTGGCCATTTCATGTTGTTTATGGACCACTTTTTTGTGGCTCAATGAGAATGGTAAGTAAGAAAGTCACCTTACTATGCCTATGGTATAGAAATACAAAATGGTGATGTTGATTGTTGTTTGAATGACAAGTCGTAACTATCACAAAAAATATCGAAAAATTATTAAAAACTTCAATTTTCTTGATTTGTTATGCTATAACAAGTGGATGAAGAACAAAATAACATATAGTGCATAGAACATTATAATGTACTAATTTATTTTTTTAAAGATGAAAACAGGTCATGCTAATCCATAGCCTAATTGTAACTAATTTTGGATCTCAAGTTAGGCTATGTTTTCTTTTATTGAAATGTTAAACTAAACTTATTTATTAAGTGAGTCAAGTCAAAGCTTTTTCTAAAGCATATTTAATTAAAAATTTTAAGATTCAAGTCATAGACTAACCTAGGAAGAGACTTTATTATAAAGTAGACTTTTAAATAAGTTAATAAGCTAAGTCAAATATTTTTTTTTAAAAATTAAGCTAGAATTTAAAAAAAATAGCCCATATCAAATAAATATGTTAAATTTAAACTTTAAGAATTAGATTAAACTTGAACCTTATAAAGCTTAAGTAAACTTAACCTGTATTCGCCCTACCTCTTTTTGTTAGGGGGAGAGGAAATAATAGAAACATTCATCTTAGTTGTATATAGTTAAGCAATTAAGTAATCAGATAACATAATAATTAGATAGTTAGGATTTAATTAACTACATATAATTTCAGTTTAGATAAATTTTTTAATAAATATTTATAAAAGTAAAAAAAGTAAGTAATAATATGAATCAAACTCTTTTTATATGTCAAAATCAATTTATATTTTCTATTTTTTATAAATTATTTTTATTTAATTTCTTTAAAAATTTAAAAGATAAGTTATTTTTAATTTATAAAAAAAATATTTATTTTTTATATTATTTTTATTCTTTTACTAGGATTTATATATAAGTTTACCCAAATTAAATTATATTTATGTTAATTATATGTCTTATTATATATCACTATACATATTCATATATGAGCCCTTATATTGTAAATACCTAAGTTCATCACTTGACCACTCATAAACACTTTCTTCTCATTTCCCCCCAATTACAGACAGGTACTATGCATCAAATTCTCTCACTTTATTGCTCTCCTTAATTTTTTTTTCCTTCCCAATGAAGCCTTGAATCAATAATATTATAAATATTAATTAAATTAATTTAGACGTTAAAATCAGTTGATATTTGATGATTCTTTACTTCTAATTAATAAAGTATTTTAAAAAATAAATTTATACGAAAACTCATTAACATTTACATCTATAAATGAGTAAATGATAATAACAAAGTCATAGTTGCTAAGCTAGAATGATCATTTGGCCCGTTGGAGAAGAAACCCAGAAAAAGATGGGAATTTCAATTTGATTGACTTATTTCACATAATTTTTTAATTCTAACGTTAGTTTAATCATTTTTTGTTATTTCAATATGAGAACCTAAATGAAACTTTTAATGGTGAGTGATTAGAAAACAAAATGGATTTTTCAATCAAGAATAAATAATTGCAAAACTTATAATCCATTGTTTTGACTTCATTTAGAAAGATAAAATAAATTAATTGCTATTATTAGTGGGGTTGCCATAAAGCCGTTTCTCTTTACAAAGCTTATATTCTAACTTTTATTCAGTCTCATCCACACCTACTTCCAAGTTCCAACATATACTAACCAAAACACTTTGTTTAATTTAATATCCTCTGTTTTACTGTTCCTTGCAATCTTAATGGTACTTATTTCTTCATTTTTATAAGAAATAATATATTTTTTTTTAAAATTATAAAAATATAAATGTAGCTCAAATATGTTAATTATATTTTTTTACATTTTAATTTTATTACAAAATTTATATTAAGTAGATATTTACTATTCAATATATAATATAAATAATTAATTCAGTTATTTGATATAAATATTTTAAAGGAAAATATAAAATTATAATGTATAACTAATTTTTCTTAATCTTGATAAATTAATTATTTATTTATTATAAAAAATATTCTACAAAACCTGCCAGTTTTAAGCATATATAGAAGTATAATAAAACTGCCTAAATGAGTATTACACATCAATCCTCCATCAATAAAACTGTCCACCCTTATTTAAATATAGTGTGTAGATAGATATAATTAAGTCATATATATATATATATTATTAATGAGTGAAATTATTATAATTAATGTTTTAATTTAGTTTTAATTTAATTAAATAAAATTATTAATTAAATTAAAACATTAATTAATGATCTAAATATATATTATTAATGAGTGAAATTATATTTAATTAGATTAAAACATCAATCCTCCCTCACTCAGTTTATTTAATTAATGTTTTAATTTAGTTTTTTTATTTTATATTTTTAGTAGTTTATTATCAAGTATATCATATGATATTAAAAATTATATTTAATTATTATAATTCAGTACTTGTTGTGCGGTTAAATCAGTAAACCTTGACCTGGTGTTTATATAAGTTCATTTTTAAACATTGTCGTTTAATATGTCTTAAATATATTTTTACTTTATTAAAAAATAAATTCATATTATTTAAAAGTGATACATACATTTTATCTAGTAAGCAAAATTTTATACATTATAATTTTTATATTAATTGATATAAAAATTAATAAATTTTATTAATATGAAAATTTATAATCAAATATAGTGTAAACAAGTTACTCATCAATATTGTCAAATTAAATTCTTAAATTAATACAAATATATAAAATATCTTCTTCTCAATAATATAGAAAAGATTACACGACAAAGAGAGTATTGCGTTTTAAAAGATATAAACTTGAGTTTATATTAAAGGAATGAATCATTAAAAAGTGCATGAAAAGAATGTAAAAATTGTCTTATTAGAATTCCTAATTTGGTTACTTTGAATTAAACACCACATTCAGCAATTAGCAGGAGTTATATTGGTAATGGACCACTTCTGACGTCAAAATACTCCATCTTTTTTTTAAATATAATTATTTCAAAAAAATTTATGATATTTAATACAACATTCTTTATAAAATTTTAAATATACTTATTATTTTTATATATTTATTTCTTATAATTAATAATAGTAAATTAAATTTTTACAAATATAATAATTTTTAAAAATTTAATGCATTAATTAATTTTAATAATTTTTAATCTATATAATTTAATTGAAATGTCTTATAAATAAGATAAGAAGAAATTAAACTAAAAGTGTATATATATATATATATTATCCTCTTCTTGTAAAAGTTGTTAACAATATTGATTGGAGGAGTATGAAGAAGAGATATATGCATGTAGCTCACATGACATAACTGCTCTCTTAACCATAGCTGGTGTTCTCCTTGTGTTACAATTAAATACTTCCCTTTAAGAGTGTACCTAAAAAATCTTTCGTTATTCAATTCCACCTTTGCGTGGAATCAACATTACATAAACACATACATAGGACAAGCGAGATTGTATGAACACACTTACACACACATTCTCTCTCTCTCTCTCTCTCTCTCTCTCTCTTCTTACTTTCTCTCTCTAAACTTTACATGCACAAATGCTTGCTTAGACTAATCAAACAAATTTCCATTTTGTGTGACCAAAACTCTATCTTTCTTTATTCCTCTTTCTCTGTGGTTGGCAAAGTCAACATGCAAGAGCAAGATTTTTAGGCTCAAATGGTTTTCATTTCATGGTTTGAGCAATTTTAAGTACAAAAAACATAATCTTTTTGTTGAATTGGATTCTGGGTTGGTGCCTGTTTTTGAGGCTGAATAGGAGAGAAAGAGGGGTGTGATGAACAAATGAAGAACGAAGAGCAGGCTCGTAGTTTGTTTGGAATTTCACTCTCTGACAGACCCAAATGGCAACAATTCCTCATTTGTTCTTCTGGGTTCTTCTTTGGTTATCTTGTTAATGGCATATGTGAGGTAAATTATTGGATGATATGTCATACATGCTTTGTACCTTGTGGCTTTTCTTGAATCCTTTTTGGATTGGTTTATGTAATCTTTGTAGTTGCAGAAATAGTGGCAATATATGAGAAGAAAGAAAACAAAATTTGATTTTTTTTTTTGTTTCTCTGTGTGTGTTGGTGTAGAAGGGGTTAAACTTGGTCTTTTTTTGTTTGGTTTGGGAAATTTCTGTCCTGTTAGTTTTCTTTTCTTTTCTTTCATGATTAGTAGCAAAAATTAATTTTCCAGGAAAATTGTTTCTCAAAAGTCCAAGATTTATCTGCCTTTTGTTATTCCTTCTGGTTATCTCTCTGGGATACTAATTATTTTTCTCTTTGGGCTGATTTTCAGGAATATGTGTATAACAGGCTCCATTTTAGGTAAAATTCATCACCTTGGTACTATTTCTTCATTACTGCTTTGTAGCTTTGAATGGAGACTTATGGTGACATGGTTTCTTGTTTCAGCTATGGTTGGTACTTCACATTTGTTCAAGGGTTTGTTTACCTGTTTCTGATTTACCTCCAAGGCTTCACAAGCAAGCAAATGGTGAATCCATGGAAAACTTATGTGAAGCTTTCTGCTGTACTCATGGGTTCCCATGGCCTAACAAAGGGATCTTTGGCTTTTCTTAATTACCCTGCACAAATCATGTTCAAATCCACAAAGGTAACTGACAAAAGCACATGGAAAAAATAAAAGCCATCATTACTTTACTCAAATTTGAAGGAACTGAAATGTATCAGTTATGGTTTTAACACCTTAAATTAATTTTATCTTATTCCTAAGTTAATTATACTGGGAAACAGATTGTCTATTTGTCTCATTTATGTGCTTACATCATTGCTGAATTAATGGCACTTATAGTTCAATTGCTCCAAATTAGTTGACTTGTTCTAGAAATTCTATCCTGTTTTTTGGCCTCTTAAACTGTGTCAAGATGTTATATTTAACTGAACATTCAAATATATTATAATCAATTTTGGTGTAACAGGTTCTGCCAGTGATGATAATGGGCGCTTTCATACCGGGTTTGAGAAGGAAGTATCCAGTGCATGAATATATATCTGCAATACTTCTTGTAGTTGGCTTGATTCTGTTCACACTAGCAGATGCACAGACATCACCAAATTTCAGTGTCATTGGTGTTATTATGATATCTGGAGCATTGATCATGGATTCTTTTCTTGGAAATCTGCAAGAAGCAATATTTACAATGAATCCTGAGACCACACAGGTATTTTTCATCTTTTCCTACTCTTTGCACTTTTTATGACAAAATTGTGATTTGGTGAGTTTGGATTCTTAACTTAATCAAGCGCTCATTTATAATTTTTTTTACATGAGGACTTATGCTGTAAGTTTAATCATGAAATTTATTATGATAAGTTAAAAATATAGGTTATACTAATAATAAGTTAAAAAAAACTTATGAAAGTCATAAGTTATATCTTTAAGCGTCTCATAAGTTCTTCCAAACATTCCCTTAAGCTATTGTCTATTAATAGCATATAAAAAATTCTAATACTTTTTTCATTGTTAACACAGATGGAGATGCTCTTTTGCTCTACAGTGGTAGGTTTGCCTTTCTTAATCCCACCCATGCTTTTTACAGGAGAATTATTCAAAGCATGGACTTCATGTTCACAGGTAAATTTGGAATATAACACCTCCTTTTCCACACTCTACTATGTTATGCTTTCTTGTCAACGGAATCACCTTTTCTTGTCCTTGCAGCATCCCTATGTGTATGGGGTGTTAGTCTTCGAAGCAATGGCCACATTTATAGGTCAAGTTTCTGTCCTCTCCCTCATTGCAATTTTTGGTGCTGCCACCACAGCCATGGTAAATTGCTTTCATGAGATTTTCTTGCTTTTATTATTATGTCAGTTTGGACCATTCTACAGCGCCTAACATTAATAAGTCTCATGAAAAAACATGCACCACCATGAGGTCTTTCCCTTAAATGCTAATAAATGACCAAACATTTATATTAAATATTTGAATTTGAATTCAAAGTTGACTTGGCATAATGCATGGGATGCTATGAAATCTCCCACCCTTTTATTTAAGTTAATCTTATTGATTTTTTTTTAATCTGGGCAACATTGTATATTATAAAAAATCAATAAATAGTTAGTTTTTATTAAACATTATAGTATTTAATGACATTAATGCATTGAATTACATAATTTTTAATACAGATTTATTATACATAGATTTTTATCATGTGGATTTAGAAAAATCAATTATTTATTGATGACATATTATAAAAATCAACTACAAATATGGGATGATGCTTCATATTTCAACTTTAATCACGTTGTGTGGTCCTCACTTACTTTCCTTCATTGAATTTTCTCACAGATAACAACAGCAAGAAAAGCAGTGACATTGCTATTATCATACTTGATATTTACAAAACCATTAACAGAACAACATGGGAGTGGATTACTACTCATAGCCATGGGAATCACATTGAAGATGATACCTGATAACAAACCCACCAACACCAAGAGGGTCTTAAATCCTTCTGCCAGGGTCAATAGTGCAAAATCTAATGGTGATGAAGAGTTGGGGACTCTGCCAGATTCTGTAGAAGAAGAAGACGATGAAAGGAAGCCCTTGGTCTAGCACAATATGCAAATTTTATTTTTGAACTCATTATTTTTAAATTCATGATTTCTTTATCATTTTCATATCTTGTTAAGGAAAAAGAAAATAATTTGCTGTTCAATTAGCATTTTTATATTAATTGTTTAATTGAATACTTTAGATTTAAATTCATTTACAATAATAGCGCATTTATAGGTTTTTCTTCGCTGAAGCATTTGAACAAAAAACTTACTAAGCTGTATGTTTCCTTTTTGAGGAATTTTTCAAGACATTTTTTTATTAGTGGGTGAAATTTTTGTGTTTTATCAAATGATGTGAGCTTAATTTCTTATTTAATAAATCTTATTCATTGCTCAATGATATTTAAATTTCACCTAACAGTAAGTTTCTTGAAAAACAAAATGTGTTGAGTGTGTGATTAGTAATCTTTTAATTTTTTTAAAAAAATTCTGAGAGATAATATAACGAGAAAAAAGAAATTACACAAAGATATATGTTTTCATCGAAAAGATTTTAAATTAATATTGTCTATGATTAAATAATATAATTCTACACCTTAACGAACTGTTTGACTGAACTTAAAAATATAGTACTACATCATAATAAACAAAAAATAGTTTTTATTAGTAAAGTCTTGACGTGTTTTAAACTACAGGTATAACATTCATACAGAAGTGTATGTACTAGTTATTAGTCAAGTCGTGACGTGTTTTAAACTACAGCTATAGATTATAACATTCAAATTATACACAGCTAATAACTAGTGCATACAATTTTATTTGAAATTAAACAAAGTTTAATAATAGATGTAAAAGAAGAGTGTTTTATACTCTGTGGTAAGTCCATACGGTGGCCATGTGCTCATCATGGAAACGTGTCAATCAATTACCCTTAAACAGTAAAAAAGAATTGCACTCATTGTCTACGTGTTTGTGCAAAGGCATGCAAATTGACACCAATTAATGAATCACTGTGAAAACACAGTAAAATCATTTATTACCACAATTGACCACTATATAGTATATACCATAAAATAATAATAAGTGTTAATGGGTGAGAGAGCTGGCAGCAGTGGTGGCACCACCACAAGGCTCCTCCAGAGAGCGGTGGAAGATGGTGGTGATTCAGAAAGGAACAGTGAGAGACCAAGAGAGCCATGGAAAGGAGAATATGTAAAGAGCATCGTGTATGGAGGGCTTGATGCCATTATTACTTGCTTTTCTCTCATTTCCTCTATTTCTGCTAGCAGTAGCTCCTCTGGTATGTGTCCCATTCCTTTAAGTACTAATAATTATCTTTTGCAAGTAAAATTACTATTTGCATATTGATTTTTGTGTCATTTAGGTTAAATTGGAGTGTAATTAATTTTAGTGAAATTGATTTTGAACTATTAATTATAATTAGGATGTGAATATAAATTAAGTTAACGGTTTTTTTTTTTTTTTTGTGTTTAAAGGTGTATGATATTTATATACATAATTATTGAATCTAATATATTGATAAAATAAAATTTATCATTTATTAATTTTTCTTATATATCTTTTATATATGTTAAAAAAAATTGTTAATTTAACACATGTTTAAATTATTTTGAATGTTTTTCATGTTAACTAATTTTGTAAGTGTAAAATACAGGAGGACAAATTCTCTAGTGTACTTAAATCTTTGAAGGTCATCACATTCTAATGTTGTGAATACGTACGATTTATGAAAGAAAAACATTAGTATCACTTTATTCAAATAATGGCAAATTATTTGATTTATTATTATTAGTTTTATTTATCTACAAATTTGTAGTTGAGTTTGAGTACAACTGTACATGGGCGAAAATTGTTTCATCTAACTTCGGTTTCTACGAAGAAAAAGGCTTGGTTGGTGGAGATTGCAGGTGTGGTCCCTTGTGATGTAGTTAGAACATCAAAGACCTTTTCTTGAAGTTATGGAAGAAAAGGGATTTTTGTAGTGTTATGATTGTATGATAGGTACTTGCAGCTTCTTGTCCTTTTCACAACAAAATTACACTAACTGTGCTTGTGCAGAAGACAAAATTTTGATGCAGATTGAAATGGGGGAGCATCTTTAATTTTTTTTATGCTACATATCACAATAAAAAGGGAAAATGATTAAGTATGGCTTCAATACATGAACCAGCCCATGCTTTCTAATAGGAAAAGCTCTTTTAAATGAATTCATCTTTGAAGTTATAAGTAAACCTTGTCCTAATATCCTTTCATAACAGAATAAAGGCTTTATTTGTGCTAATAATAATATAAGGAAAATGTTTTACTGACATCTAAAATTTAGAAGTGTATTTTTTGAATGCGTGTAGATATAAAAAAAGGAAAAGTAAGTAAGAGATAGAAATAATTGTATGGGATGTGTGACAATTTCTAGATGTTCAAATGATAGAACTCATAATTTAATATGAACAATGACGATATAGTTCCTCCTAACTCTAGATTCCTACCTACCTATAGTTTGAGACCATTATTGTGGTATACAGCTATGGCTTTTCTTACTAGTCACTACTAGACTAATTGAACACTATGAGTGGAGGGTATGGACTAAAGGAAGTGTGTGTGTGTGTGTGTGTGCTTGTTTAGTCATGTTTGTCTGAAATATGATACTGATTCTCATGTCATTGATGCAAAAATAGATTACATATATATGAAGGTGTAAATGATATTTTAACTGATGTGCTACATTATGGATGTAGTAGATGTGCTGGTTCTTGGGTTTGCAAACTTAGTGGCTGAAGCAATATCAATGGGGTTTGGGGACTTTGTGTCTGCTAGTTCTGAGAAGGATGTGATAATTGAGGAAAGGAGAGTGACAGAATGGGATGTCATGAACCATAGGGACAATGAGCAAACAAAATTGGTCAGACACTATCAAGCTCTTGGAATGGACTACAATGACGCCACCATGGTATGTATGAGAGGAAAAATAAACCATTTGGTTATTATTGGGAGAAATTTGTAACAAAATTTTGCTAAAGCCAACTGATTTTTGTTTCAAAATATTCATTTATTTGGCCTTTATAGATAGGAAGTGCCAAATTGCTTCTAAGTTTTAACATCAATTTTGTTACTTGGTGCAAGGTTGTGGACATATTTACAAAATACAATGATATTTTGGTGGACCAAAGAATGGTGGCAGACAAAGGAATGCTGCCATCTGACCAAGAAGTGAAGCCTTGGAAGAATGGCATATGCACCTTTGCATCATTCATGCTCTTTGGCTCAACTCCTTTGCTTTCTTTCATCATTCTAATACCATTTACTGACAGTGACACTGTTAAGCTTGTTAGTGCTTGCTTTGTTTCTGCACTTGCCCTTGCTCTTCTTGGGGTGGCAAAAGCAAAGATTGCTGGTCAAAACATCATGTTCTCTGTGACTATTACACTTTTCAGTGGTGCCCTAGCTGCGGTTGTTGCTTATTTAGTAGGATGGTCGCTTAAGCATGTGGCAGGACTAGAGGGTTGATCAACTAGAGTTGAAGTTATTGTATATGAGAACACTTCTTGGGTAATGAAAGATGTATTTGGTTAAACTGGCCTTGGTGCTCGCAACGTCCAAATTTTGGTATGTCAACCAATAGAAAATATACTTTTGGTCTCTCAAAATATATCGATTTTTCTCTCAAAATTTACCATATTTTAATTTTAATCCGTTTAAAAAAAATGTTAATTTTAGTTCCTTTACTAATTTGGTTTTACATAAAAAACGACACGAGATATGTCATAATATTTAAGTTAATAATCTACTTATTTAATAGTTACTAAGAATTTAAATTAATAATTTTAAAAAATACTGAGACTAAAATTAAAAATAAATTTGTAGAGATTGAAATTAAAATTGGGTGTATTTTGAACGATTAAAAATATATTTAATTCGTGTCTAATATATATATTTTGGGTAGCTTATAAATGCTCTTAAATTTTGTATTTGTTCACAGCAGTTTGCTAAATTTTCTGAAAATCCTGTTTATGCATAGGTAATATTAGTTGAATTTCTGTAAGTGTTAGTATTTGATTCTACTACTTTCCTATATTAATCTTTTTCGATTTTTCTATAATAGTACAAAGTCTTCATTCTTGAGAGAAAGAGATAATTTTCTATTCAATTCTTTTTTCTTTGATATGTGATTATTGAAGCCAATTATGTATTTTGTATTGGTTCAAAAAGTATGGCGACTGAAATATCATTTTGATTTGACTCAAATGAGATCAGACAAGTAAATATTTAAAAAGATGAAAATCTTCATTTTTGTTTTTAAAAGATAAAAATGTCCATTAGTTTAAATATTTGAAATTAATTCATATATAAAAAATTAAAGACAAAATTATTTGTTTAGGGTAAAATTTACTTTCATTTTTTAATTTTTTTTTCATTTTAGTCTTCCAACTTTTAAAATTTTTTTTTCTTAGATTTTCAATAAAGTTCCTAGCGGCTTTTCTTTTTCCTTTCTCCTTTCATATTCTTATACTTAAATCTTAATCTTCTTATCACTAATATTAAGCTATAAACAAATTAACTTTCTAAATATCTATTTTTTATCTCTATGTCTGCCATAACAAGAACATGAAGCATCCTATGATTTGCAGCAAGAGTAGGAGAGCCACCATGTCTCATTACTTGGCACTAGAAAACACAGAACCCTACACTATCTTCTCTACCCCAGTATTTAGGGAAATAACTCTCGAAAGATAATGTACTTGTTCTAAATTTTAGAAGGAATCTAAGAGTCAATGGAAAAATGTAGAAGTTAATTTTAAATTCATCATATTAAAGGTGAGTGCTTGATGTTGTTAATAACAAGAAGATAGAATTTTGAGAATAAAAAAATGAAAGAAAAAAAAAAGAAGAAGTGCCAAAAATAACATCAGAGATTTGAAGAAGAAGAAGATGATGAATAGTGTTACATAATACACGTGACACAAAACGACAATTTTTTTTAATAAAGTTAGAGTTTTTAACAGAGAAGTACCTATTTGAAACTTTTGTAAAAGTTAGAGGATTAAAATAAAACAAAAAAAAGTTAGAAGATGAAAATAAATTTTAGGAACGAAAAGAGTAATTTTGTTAAAATTAAATAAATAATTTTTTTAAAAATGTTTTAAAGAACAAAAATGATAACTTTTATCTTTTTAAAATTAATGTAAATGATATAAATATAAATTAAGTTATACTCAAGTTTTTCATTTTTAAATTTATTACTTTCTACTTAAGCGAGTTAAACATGAAGAAAAATAATAAGCAAAATTTAAACTCATTAAATGTCACTAGTTTGGTATAACTAGGAATGAGATAATTATAACATTTTTCATAGCAAAAACTTATTTCTTATTTTTCATCATCATTTTTTTCAGCTCCATGATACCAAATGGAGCTAAACAACACTTCAAAATCAAAACAAGTGAACAGGGATTTTAAGTGTACAAATGAAAGAGATTTGACATAAAAGATCTCTAGTAAGTAATAACTATCACTCAAACCTCTAACAAAATACTATTGGTTAAAGATAAGGGAACAAGAAGAGTGTGGCATGGTTAATCAAGAATAATCACCTCTTCTTCGTTCAGTGATAACTGTAGTGCATGTTCTGCTTCTTTCAAGAATAGCCGAGTTAGCTGCTTTTGGCCTCGCCGATATACTATAGCACACTTCTTGTTTCTAGTCATGAACTTTGATTCCTCTGATTCATTTCCCTTTATGCTGAAATTTTGGGTGAATGAACAAAATCAAGGAATATCGCACACTAAGAATCAGTTTGGATAAACTTTATAATAGACATTTATAAGAGACAAAATGAATCAAGGAAATAAAATTAATTAAACTTGTATAAATTAATTTTTTCCTCATCTAACAAAGCCTGACATTCTTGCTTACAAAAGTCTTATGGATAGGGTTTTACAATTGAATAACTCAAACTAGAAGCTGATCCAAACTGGGCTAAGTGAGGATTCTTTCACGCAAAACAGAGAAGTTTATACATATTGGAAATGCAGGGCTTAAAATTTCAACCAACATTAACACACTTGAAACAAATGGTGGGGGTAAAATGTCTGACTGAAAATTATGAATCACATTAGTTAAGCATCATTATTATAGTACAAAAAAGTGCATGCATAAGGAAAAAATATCAGTTTCTAATTATTATTTTGTAAGAGGAAAAAGGGAGAAAATAAATTGAAGAAAAAATGTCACTTCATACCCAACAAAACCAGATTTGTATGCAACCAAAAATGTTAAACATGTAATTTCAATGGAAGAGCACGTGCATGCATTTAGTAGTGGTTTGAGTCGTGAAAGCAGATTGAGTAATGTCAGCACCAATTGTAACTCAAGTTATAGATGAAATTTTGAATCCAAGAAAACCTTATCTACAGCAGTTTAATGAGAGATTCTTACAAATATCGATTGAACCACGACATAACATCCAAAGAATTTAATACAAGCATACTCAATCTCTTTCATAATCAAATAAAAATAGAACTTTCATGTAACCTTTTAATAATTAAATAGATTAGGAAGTTGTTACGCTATCCATAAGGATAAGGTTAAATATTTGTTGGTCATTGGTTTTAGTATAATCATTGAAAATTCATTAAATATATTTAACAAGAAATAAAATAATTGATTACTCAACTCAGGTACCAATAGTCTTGAAAAGGAAAAGATAGGTACTGGAGCAATTCCTGATGATTTAAGGGACATGAATACTATAATCAAGGACATTAATTTCTACCTTAAATTGCTCATGTACTGCTTGCTATCTTCTTGGCTATCAATAATAAGGGCCTTCTTTAGTAAACCAAGATCACTTTCCTCTGTTCCGGAACTCTCTTCAAGCTCCATCATTCTTGAATGCAGTGAAATCAGTAAGGCATTGCAAGACATCAATATTGGTGTTCTAGTGTGTGCTACTGCTTATTTTCTCAATTAATAAAATGACACATTGAAAGATATTCAACATCAAAAGCAGAAATCAAGTTGCAGTCAGAAGCATGCAGACTAGGAGTAAGGCCTGACACTCACTTCACACGAAGAAGATCAACAAGCAATTGTAAAGCTCCGGAATCACCGCAGACCTCCCACACTGCTGATTGGACATCTGTATCTGATAGTTGTCTATCCCCTTCAGGTCCAACAAGCTTTATAGAAAGCATAAAATTGTATTAATGTTGAATTCTGATGAAATTGAAAATAAAACAATTCAAATTAACATAATGCTTATTACTTTGCTTCACGGTTGTCTAGATGTAATATATTGACTTTATTTTATCCCATTCCCAGCTTAAAATCAGCCAACAATTAAAGGAAATGGCAGGAAGGACATGTAAGTGACCTTAAATGCATTATTACTGATTATGTTTATATAACCAAGTAAACAGTTTCTAAAGTAAATTAAAACATAAAAGGAGGTTATGCATTAATCATGTCTTATAGAAAATTATAGAACAATTATTAAGGCATGTAAAATTGTATTTGACCTTGAAAAAGAATTACAATAGCAAAGGGGATTCAGTATATCAATATTGTCATCAACAGTAACTGTAGAAAAGGCAAGGTCTGTTTTGTTAAAAGATAAATGCATAATATAATTTTTAGACATTGTCCTCATGATGAAAAGCACGGAATTACATGTCAAGTAGCAGAGTTAATTCACTTATAGTAATTAAGTGCTGGAAAAGGGTAGGAAATGTGGTAACTCTTTACAGGAGCTTACCAAAGCAAAATAAAATACAGTTTCAGTGATTATGGCACAGTTAATAGCAAAGATGAAAAATAAAATGTTGCATAGAAACTGCACCTCTTTGAGCATTGAAGAAACCTTGAAAAGTTCATCTTCTTGCATGGCTATGGTCCTCAAAGTAGTCATAAATTTCTCAGGAAATACCAGCTTGTTTACATAAGATGGTGTTTTGCGCTGACCACTCCAACTATAGTTGCAAACTTGGTCAACCTTGCACTTGTTTTTATCTCCACTGTTTTGGGTGCCTATTGGAAAAAATCCATGATCCAGCAAAGTTTTGGGTAAAAGACATCTCATTTCAGCCTTCTGTAAACATAAAACAAAAAAACAGAAAGAAGTGGGAAGTTTTAGAACAATAGTTAGTTTAAAATTGGTCAAATAAATCATATTCTACCCTTTTCAGAATAAAGCAGAATGTTGAAGAAAAAATATTAGCAAACCTGCACTTCAAGAAGCTGGCTTTTGGACTCTGAAAAGGAAATAGCATTAATTGCTTCCGGTGGATAGTGGACCTGGAGGACCCAACAACACCTATAAGTTAGTAAGCCATGTCTATATTAGTAACAACTGTTATCACTTGAATTGAAAAGCCTGTGATAGAGAATATAAAATGAAGCAACATGGCAGCAACCACAGACAAAATCACGTAGGTATTGTCATATTATAGTTGCAATACTAACTGTGTTACGGTGGCAAGAAATTGATAAACAACAGGTAGAAAATACTA